TGGGACTTGCATTTTTTTTTTGTTTAAGTAAGTAAATCATTGAATATATTAAGTATAGAAGGATTATTATCTTAGTTATCATACATAAAGGGTACCATGGCCATAAGGCATATCAGGAGCACTACGGGCGACTCAGTATAACCACAATTTTTTTCCTACAACAATTTAGATTAAAACATCTTATTAAAATATATAAATCTAATCCAATATTTATGGTATTATATGTTAAAAACAAATTCCAGGCGGGCAGAATTTGAGTTCGAGCCTTCTATGCCTCGAACATAATCAGTCTATATTCTAAGAAAATTATTCTTATGATCTTGTCTAACAAAAATAATAAAATTGTAACTAGACAATATATATTTATGGGTAACATTTAAGAAAAAATAAAATAAGGGGTCTTAGTAAGATTAAAAGATGCAAAAACAATAATTTTTAGAAATGTTGTCTGCACCAAATTGGATTAAATTGAATTGAATTCACAAATGTATTCCTAACTTAAGTTAAGACTTTAAAGTCTGGTGTATATTTTATTTCTAATACGCCGCCTGGTAGCGGTCTATTTCATTGATTTCCCTTCTTCTGAATTCCAGGCGTACAAAATAGCGGGCAAAAAGCTAGTTTAATATATAATAATACAGTTGGCCGTGAATATCCCGGCATAGAATAGGCCGCTCCTTCCTTTCTCGTGAGTGTCGTAAGAGGCAACTAAGGGAGCTTATGATGGAGGGATTTGCAGCAGCGTTCCTTTTAAAACATTACCAAAAGCCAAACTGCGGTTACCAACTCGCCTGTCAAGCGCGGGAACTACTGGCAAAACCCCCTTATGAGGGAGGCTATGTTCAGCAACGGACAGTTAACAGCTGACACAACAATACACTTACAATAATAAAGTTTTTATTATTTTAAACAAAGTAGGACGAACCTGAACTAAACTAATTCTTCTTCTTGATATCCAACTCGCCCTTTGAATCAAATAATGATAATGAGTTATTGGAACAAGTGGATGAAATTGTATATCTTAGATGCAGATTTACTGAAGAATACACCGCTGATATAGCAAGAAAAGTGAATAACAGAAGTAGAATGAATGGAGATACGGGAAAGCTATTTGGAAGCCACAATTTCAGCCAAATGGCGTAATTGGCAATATACAGTTCAATAGTTGTCCCCACATTGCTGTATGGTACTGAGAGTTGGGTATGTAAGAAATAGATTAAAAGTAGGATAAATGCAATCGAAATGAAAGCGTTACACAGAATTTGCACAATAACAGTAATGCGTGTGTATAATACAGTCGTGCGTGAACGAGTTGGTCTGAAAGAAAATGTTAATATTAGAATAGGAAAGGGCATGGTGGTTTAGACATGTGGAAAGATTACAAGATGAAAGTTTGACAAAACAATATACAATATGAATATGTATGGACGAAACTTATTATGATCAGACAGATCGTGTTCTTTTTGAAAAGTCAAGTCTCCAAAATCAGTGTGTTTGCATGAGACGAGATATGAAAATGCAGGAAGCAAGAGATGTGCGTAAGTTCTTTTCTGTCTATCCCGCAAGAAACTTGGCGTGAAGACAAATAGATAAATATAATTACGACAGTAGTCTATGTATGTATTACATGTTGGTACCTACCTACTTGTAATAAAATCATAGAAAGAAAGTACAAGTCTGAAAGTATATTTAATATTTTATCAAAAGATTTCCTGCCTACTGCGTAGGTCTGTGTTATGCATGATATACGAAAACGAAGGCCAAATCAATTTCCTACAATCCTTGTATACTGTTTATGTGACCACTCATCAAATTAAAATTTGAGCCGCTTTTGATCCGATTTATGGTTTAATTTAAAATACCAAAATCAGGCTTCAAAGAGTTGAAACGGGGGATTATGTTAACATGAGGAAACTGTGTAATTAATACGATATATTAAATTAATAAATTCCTAATTGAAATAATTGGATTTGTAAATAAATAAATACGCGTATGGATATATACGAATATTCTCGTAAATTAAATAACTTCTCGCAGTGTGATTTCTGGAATCATAATATTAGTGTAACTTTTTTATAAAATTTTTAAATAGTAATCAAGTCAAAAACACCTGATGACAACTGGTAGTCGTCACCTATAGGCATGAACAACACCATGAGCCTTAAAGGATAAATCTAAGCGTCTGCTTAAAACCCTTTATACTACTCGATGGCAGTAACGCTAATGAGATAGTTGCCTGTGGCACTAGTGCTTGGTCAAAAGTTATTCAATGAAATTGGGGCGAAGTCGTGTTAATAGTGGGACTTTGATCAATTGATCACCAAGAAAAAAATGTATAGCACCAATATATTATAAACTAAAAGTTGTTATTATCTTATTTTTATTAATACCAAAAATACCAAAATTAAACTTTGAAGTAAATTGTTCTAAAAAGTTTATAATACGATGTGCCCACGACACCGTCTTCCGTTCAATACTCTTTGTCACGCAAAACGATACGACGATGAGTCAAAAACTCACATAGTAGCAGTAATGTGACAACACGCTGGTAAACATGGGTTGATTGTGCAAAATGACAGCACAGACAGTGTGTTAAAGTAGGTTGTTATAGGTTAATGAACAATGTTGTGTGCCGATGCACGACCCTCTAATTGAAAACTGACGAGTACACCAAGCTGTTGAATGTTGAATGACAGAAATGTCATGATACCTTAATGTGAGAATAAATTATGAACACACATTCATAGCTTTCTCTAAAATTACCTAATTTCATATAACCTAACAATATGTAGAAGAAATAAAATTTATATTTTGTAACCTATTTTCTAATCTATGTTCTTAAAATTCAGATAGACTAAGCCGGTAGGTACACATATAAATAGTTGTGAATAATTCCAATTCTATGTAGAAAAAGAAAATATATGCTCGTAAATATAATCCTTTTTTATACCAAAATGTATCTGCTATAAAGTTTTATAAATAAATATTTATACAAAGTACATATAACAACTGTAGTTTTTCTTTTAGAACTTTACCATCGCTTTCGTAACCTTCCTATATAACTCACGCTTCTTTATATTTTTGCTACCTAATAGGATTATAATGAACACAAAAGTATGATATATTTTTCTAATTTAACAATATTGTTCGCAATATTGTATATAATAGGTAAGAACTTAAACAAAGAAAAAGCTCTACTTATTTGATAAGATTCCATTATATTTTCATTGAAGGTTTATACTTTGAATAATCTACATTTTTAAAACAATAAATAAAATAAATTTATACGTGAACCTAAATTGCAGTGGAAAATATACTTTCTTACGCTGTAGACAAGACAGATGATTTTAATTTCACGACGAACAAATAGTTTTAAAAAGTTCTTTTTAACCAATAAATTACACAGGACCCATATCTAGCAGAGTTTCTTGGTTCAATAGATTCCGTTAAAAGGAAGAATGCATTAGATTGAATTTTTTCCGTTTTCAGTTGTATCGAATTTATCTTCCCCTGGATACTGTTCTATATTAATACTTTTTCAAACGCCTCGCAAGTTTGTTTCATACCGTATTTTTGATTAATGTAAACTGAACCAAATAAAATTACATTTCACATTAAAATTACAACTACCATATCCGATTATGTCAAATATCCTATATAAATAATAACAACAAAGTTACTCCAATTACCTTGTCACTGAACAAGGATACTCTGAAGAATACCAGAAACAACGAACACCTGGAAGACCATCCATAACACTCCAGGTGTCCACGACATCCGAGTCAGTTCTATAAAACTTTTTTATACAATCCTAAACAGACATCGAATACACAATTCATTTACGCAAACTTTGTTTACCACTGCGTCGTGGGAATCGATAATAATTCGAGTTATATAAAGAATAAAATAAATTAGAAGACTGCGTTTACTAGCAATAATCATAGCAGTCGCAATGCCAAACATCGAGAAATCGCTAAACCTTCATAGCGAGTTCTAAGATAAGTATATAACAAACATTTTCATATTATTATTTTATCATCAGCATAGTTGTATAAAAAAACTTAGTACAATAAGTAAAGCTACGATGAACAAGTATAACATTTTTTATTATATATATGAGTTTAACATGGTTTAAACCTTCAATGATTGCTGTACTTTGTCATTCATATTTTTGTTAAAAATTAAACGTGTAGATCATCATCATTATATCAGCCTTGAACTGTTCAATGCTGAACATAAGCTTACTGGTAAACATAAGTTTTACCAGTAGTTGCCATGCTTGGCAGGAGGGTTGGCAACTGCAATTAGACTTTAGAAATGTTTTAAGAAGGACGCTGCTGCCTATCCCTCGCCCTCCCTTAGTCGATTCGTACGACATCCACGGGACAGAAAGGGGTGGTCTATTCTATGCCGGGACCACACGGCAATGCCTGAACTACGGTAACGGTACGGGAAACGTGTAGATACCTAATAAAAATATGACTAAGTAAATATAAAATTTGCTTTTTGTTTATATTTTGTTTACTTGTTTTTATAGTTATATAAGGATTGAATAGGCACTTCTTTGACAATTTTATTGAATAAAGCTCAAGTTTTAAGAAATTAAAATATATAAGATGCATCTATATAAATATTACAAAAATGTGGAAGTAACTGCCCGTCTACCCGAGATTCACAGCTCGGAGATTAGGACCTTAATCTTTGAGGGAGACTGAAGGCTAAGGATAAGTTTACTTTTTCAAACCACTAAACGACTTTAATGTAATTAATTACACCTACTTATTGGTTTTTATATAATATCCTTAGACTATTATTTACATTTTACTTTTAACAATTTTATTTTGATTAAATTTAATTTTTTGAATAAAAATAAATTTACCATTTGAATAAAAAAAACAGTATATTTTTATAGTCATAATTACGATCTACTCATTCTATATGGACTCAGTTATTTTTTGTTGACAATTTCCATATAATTTATGTACACAAATTACTCCTACCTAGTACCGGCGACAGGTTGCCAAACAGCGTCAAGTGGCGCATGCGCAGGTGGTGGGGGCTCGCCGGCGTCTCCATTGCCTGTCTCTGTTCTGCCTTCCCAACCCTATGGTAAAAAGAAACAAATTTAACTAGGTATTACGTTACAAATAGTAAATGGATACAAATGTCTTGGGACTGCTGTTTTGGCGGTCTATAAGAAAGATCTATCTTCAACACTACTCATTGCATGGGTGAAATTATAGTGAAGATGAAATATAATTAACAATTCAATTCTTAGTCTATCATATTTTATGCGACCTTCTTGTCTAAAATACAATAGCCGTCCTCAACTAGCCTTCAGCTTGTTGACCATTCTAATTCATCAAACAACCTTATTATATCTACATAGTTACATGATCGTGTCAATTACATTTCTATGTCATTAAGGAACTTCACCGCAATGGCATAATAAAAATAATATCCGTATTCTACCATCGTTATCATCATTTAACTGTCCACTGCTGAACATAAGCCTCCCTTTGAGTAGTTTAGCCAGTAGTTGCCTTGCTTGATAGGCGGATTGGCAACCGTAGTCAAACTTTAGAGATGTTTTAAGAGGGACGTTGCTGCCCACCTCTCGCTCTTCCTTAGTTGGCTTTTACGACACCCACAGGAAAGAAAGGAGTAGCCTATTCAATTCCAAGACCACACGGCCATACTCTATAAAATTGATCAATTATTTACTTGATTATAGAAATTTAAAAAAAAAATATTATACCTATATTTTATTAGCATTTTAGTATATATTGTAACCTTATAGATAATATGAACGTTACAGCAATAGAAGTGGTAATATTATATATTCTCATATACATTCTCAAAATACCATAATATTCGCCATTTTACCTGATATTATAATTAAGGAAGCTGTAATCCATTCTGTGCCGGTATCACACGGTATAATTCCGAACAGGTCACAGTACACGTAAATACAAATTTATTTAAAAAATAACTCTATAAACAACAGCTTGCAATGCTATTTTCTTAACAACAGCCTTCAGTAAGCGATTTCCCAAAGTTATTGCAGGGACATGACTCGTTTTCATGCATAACGTTAATAGATTTAACAGAGAGTAGTTCATCCCTTTTGATAGAAAGGCAGAGCGGTTAGAATTTTTATTCGTTGGAGGGGCTTATTGAGCATGACTCCGGGATCCCGACGATTTTTCACACAGCTGTTAGAATGGCTGGGTTACTGTAACTGCGCCGGAATTTTATCTCGCTTTTACCAGCTTATACGAGCTTTCTGTTACAATATTTTTATCTAAGTCAAATATTTTGGTGGTGCGTATTGCTGATAATAGCTTTAACTTTTCATGTTATGGTAATCATATGTTTTTAGAATAAATTAGATAAAATACAGTACATTTTTCGCGCTGATAACGTAGCTTTATATAGGTAAAAAAAAATTAAATTAAGTATTGTTTGAATTTATTCAATATAAATAAAAAAATAAGCCTTTCCTCATTATAATACTAGTATAAATACAGGAGTTTATGAAATAAAGAAGGATAAGAATACTAAAAGGAAGTTGAAATAAAAACAAATATTAGATATACATATTATGTACACTAATTGGAGAGGTGGGAGAGAAAATTAAAAAATATTTTTATTATCATGATAATATTATTGAAATTGTAAAAAAAAATAAAACAAAGAATGCATATAAGAAGAATTAGACTGCCTTATAATGACCTAATAGCTAGGTTTTATACTCTCTTAGGTAGGTAGATAGATACATATTCTTTATTGTTTCCTCCAAAAGGTTACAGTAGTAAACTCATACAGATAAAAAAAAACAAGAAATATTCACACTGAAAAAACAGTGGGTGACCTTATCGCTAATAGCAATCTCTTCCAGACAACCTTTGAATAGAGAGGAGTCAACCTTTGGTAGACTTCAGGAGCCTGTACAACTGGAACTGGCACGTTATAATATGAGTTTATTACAAATGAAGCAATATAATGAAATAAAAATATATGATACTTATATACATCAACCCAAAATAGTGTGGAATTGGGAGTCCAATTTACATTACAGGTCAGATTTATATAAAAACAAAGCAATCGTTCATCATTGCTGGCTACGAATTTCTCCTCGTAAGGGTTCATATCTCTCATCATACTCACAAATAAACTCTACTACCAAGGGAATTAGTTCAAGTTTTTATTTCGAATTTTCCATCTCTTTGACATATTAGTTTTATTTCCGTAGTTGCCTCTTACGACATTCTATGAATGAAAAAAGTGTTGACACGTACCTATTTTTACTCTGTCTCCATTCAAAGAAGTAACCAACAATTGATTCCCTAAAATAATATTCATAATATATTTGAAAACTATATCGATATTTTTAATGCGTAACCCTAATTTGGGAATCTCAAATTATTATTAGACTAAAAAAATACCTTCCAAGAATTTCAGAAAGATCTTTTTTTAACTTCTTAATAATAATTTCATATTATTTTATAATAATAGAATATTGGCACTAAAATAGTAAAAACAGACAGCGAGTTCTTCATAGCAATTTATCTAAATAAGTTTATCTTAAAACCGTGTCATATAATACATAAATAATAATGATAAAGCAGATTATAAACCATTAAAAATATTTTAAATCCAATTGTGTCGTTAATTCATTATTATATGTACAAGTAATTAATTTAAAGAATAATAACCATCAGTTCTAAATTCGCATCTCAATTACAGACACTAGTTATCGATTTATTTTTATTTAAATTGTAATAATAATATATGTTATATACCAATATTTTATTTACACAATATTTTATGTAAATCCACTTCAATTTAAGATTCACTACCTACATAAACATTAAAAAATAAAATATAAAACACGAATTCGGAAAATTTATTAAATAGAATCAAATCAAAAACCATTAAAAGTCATTATATTAGCTCACTATTTTATTATATTAGTTTGCAATTGATATATTGCCAAATGTTTCACTGACCTTACTAAATTTATAAAATATAAGTTTGTTTTTTACCTATTAACGGCTGAACCAATCTTCATGAAATTTTATATATACCTATGTAATAATTGGTATGGAAAAGGGTATAGCCTACTTTTTACTGCGGTCAATCAATATGTCCCGATGACGCGACCAAAGCGCACGTAAAATCTAATTAAACTAATTAAAAGGCAAATGACTATTCATATTTCTCTAACTTATTTAACTACCCTAAAAGAAACATGTTTTTAGTATTAAAAAATAAGTACAATATAAAAAAAAGTTTAAGTATTTTTCAAATAATAATGCAGCAGTTTATAAAATAAGTTGGATAGAACCAAAATAGTTTTCCTTTTAACTTGTATTTTACGAGCGGTGGAGCGCTGTAAAGGCGCTCTCCGTAATAAAATTAATGGAAGACTGAAGACCGCTAACGGCAGATAGAAGCAAAATTTCTTGGAATATTCCACAACCTTTCTAAATGTGCCACTAATTATGTACTATTCATAACGCTCTTTTTCGTTGATGATATTAAGTTTGTTGTCTCTAAACATACTTACGTAATTTATATGGGATGACTAGAGAAGCCATACTGAGAACTCAGAGTATGTTTACATTGAAATAAAGAAAAAAATATTTAGTGACATTATTAACATTAATATATACCCATGCTTTTTTGCTCCCTGTGTTATAAAAAAATACTAAATAGCAAGAACAAAAATTATGATCAATAATGCTACTAAAATACCGCCTACTCGCAACATTATGTTAGGGAGTCCTTATGGTTTCAGACGCAAGTTTTCTGTAGAAGCCTATACAAACAATACACAACAATAAAATTAATAAAATGGGTCAGTTTCTAAAGCCAAACTCGCGACGAGATCCGCAGCAACTATCATGTAACTTGATTTCAAATTACTATACCACTGTCGTATCAGCACTGATTCGAAAATATCCGTTGAACTTTTTTGTCCGCCCGCTGACTTCATATAAACAGTACAAGTCAGGTTTTGGCCAAGATTCAATATTCGACTGCATTTTTTCTGTATATTATGCAATATGGTTAGACTTTACTATGGTATTGTTCCTATTTCATTATGATTTAAATCGGTTGATTTTTTATAGGAGGGAATATTAATTGATATTTCTGATACCTTTCAAACTGAAATAACGCCCGATATACTATTTAATAGGAATATTAGGTCAAAATATAAATTAGGTCAAAGTATAAGGTAGGATTTATTTATTAGGTTAATATTATTACCTAATAAATAAATCCTGAATAGGTAGACGATAGTGATGCCTTTTCGGACGAGTTATACAGAACTCTAATGATAAGCAATCTTAAGTGGCAATAGGCTAGTCACATAGCTCGAACAATCGATAAACGATGGGTAAGAAAGTTTCTTGAGTGACGACCTCCTACGGGCAAACACAGTGTAAGACGCAGCAGTTTAAATAATTGTTGTAACGAAGCCCAAACTGAACCTACATAAAGTACCTATCTTTAAAGTACGTATCGTATTTTTATATTTGCTTCTAGATTTTTCATTTAAGGCGACACTTAGAATTGAGTATTGCTGTCACTTATGGGCCGGAGCACCTAAATACCAGCTTGAACCTTTTGACTCGTTGCAACGACGAGCTATGAGAATTGTCGATGATCCCAGGCTCACAGGCGGTATCGAACCCTTAAATCTTAGGAGAGATTTTGCCTCACTCTGCGTGTTCTACCGTCTGTACAATGGATTGTGCTCAGAGGAATTGTTCAATATGATGCCCACAGCCACTTTCTACCATCGTACGGCTCGCCATCGACATGGAGTTCATCCTCATGTCCTACAGCCTCAATGGTCGCGTACTCAGGTTGTGGAATGAGCTCCCTGCCGAGATTTTCCCAAGAGACTACAGCATGGGGTCCTTTAAAAGAGGGGTAAAGAGGTTTCTTCAGGGTCGGCAACGCACGCGTAATACCTCTGGTATTGCAGGTGTTCATAGGTTACGGTAACCACTTACCATCAGGTGGGCCGTATGCTTGTTTGCCACCTCAGTGGTATAAAAAAAAACTTAGAATTGTACCGACTTTTTAGAAAATTGATCTTAAATGATATCAGTTTTGCTTTTATAATATATTTTATCCTAAATATAAAGTAGCAAATAAAATAATATTAAGTATATATGTAAAATATATTCATTTCAAAATCCACTAAAAATATCAACTACGGTTCTAAAACCCATGACGTCTCTCTCGATATATTTACATTAAATCAAATCTTCACCTTCGCTCATCAGTTTCAGCAGCTATTAATTTATAATTAATCTTTTGTTGTTACAGGCTCACACTATGCCTATTTCGGTCAGGCAAACAACACTGATCGTGACTTGTACCTATCCTAATATTTCCTTTGCTTGCTCAAAATTCATTGGGTATTTTTATAATTTATCGTAACACAGCACGATATTTACAATATCATGTCATAGTAAATTAATTATACATAGTTTCATCAAAATATTTATTTAATTAATTTTTTTTTAATCTATTGACCGCCATTTACTCTCTATTTAGCGTAACAGTTGACTGGTAGAGAATGCCATCAGGCATTAAGATCGCCCTGTAGACATATTTTAATCTGTGCAAAAGTATAAATAAATAAATAAATTATATATTATTTTTAAAAGTTATGTTTATTTTTATTCTAATGGCATTACGGGCTATGCGAGACTGCGGACTACGGTGCGAGGCGAAATGCTGTGACGCAAGGCGCTCAAGACGACTTCCGAAAGAAGTCGAGACAACTGTCAGAACAGACAAAAACAAAGCGAGTTTATTAATTTTCCGTATTTATATAGACATAATTTATATACCTACGAACTTGGGCAAAGCTGCGGAAAACAGCCAGTTATATTAGTAAAGAAAAAATAAGGAGGGATTTCACATACACACTTCTCTATGGTTGTGGATTAAATCTCTGCAGAATACAAGTAAAAGAAGAAAGAAATTTGTATGAAGAAAAAAATAGTGTATCTATAAAAACAAATTTAGATAGGTATTTAAGTACGTCTATCAATTGTCTACAGGGTCGTGAAGCAGTAAACAAATCAACTATATAAATAGGACGTTTCTATGTTATTATGTTGATTCTGTGAGTCATATTCAAACTCATTATTATTACATTACAGTACAAATCGTATTGATGTAGTTACCAAGTCTGTATAATGAAAATCATATAATTACGAAATTATAAAAATATTTTACTAACAATCCGAATACTTTTTTAATAATATTATTTTAGAACTGTATATGTATATCGTATCTCGTATACAATACTTATTTATCAGTTTACGTATCTGCTATTTGTTAAATAAATATAATTATATAGAATAAATATAAGAACTTATAAATCCCATAATTTTGTTTGTGTCATTACAATCTACCATAGAATTAATTCTGTATAAATAGATAATGTATTATGTTAAAACAAAAAAAAACTAAATTTAGTTATCTAGTGAAAAACTTATCTATAGTAAAATGTCGGCATTCGTTATAGATTCAGCTCCTTAGACTGGATAACTAAATGGAAAGAAAACGTATACATATATACTTCCTGTTTTCTTAAAGACAATGAGCCCAAGTTACAGCTTCGTGTAATTTCGTGTCAAATATTGTCTATATGCAAATTTGTTTAATTACTGTACAAATAAGTTGAGATAGTTTTATACAGTTAAATCAGGATAAATTATCATTGAAGAACTCAGAAAATTATAACTAGGCATATTTTGAGGTCCCATAATTTTTCTTCTAAAAATTAATAATAGAAATGAGACTCGATTTGACGAAAATATATTTATTATTATTAATATTGGAACTCTAAACTTTAGTGGCCGAGATATATTGATTGACAAACTACATTTACAACCGACTTTTAAAAAAGTAGGAAGTTCTCGATTTTGTTGTATTTTTTATGTTTGTTACCCCAGAACTCCGTCACTCATAATTTAGAAAAATATTTTTCTATCTTAAGGAACAAACATTCATATTGATCCTATAGATGTTCTATCAAAATTGGTTCAGTAGTTTTGCCAAGTTTGAAGTCGGTGTTTATTTTTCGTGAAACAATTTTTGTGTCACATTTATAATAAGTATTAATGTAGACTTTGTATTTTTTTTTATTGTATTTTTCATTATTATCTTTTAACTGACTCAAGTCAGACATTATCTTACTATGTACCTAATATCCAATCCAATCTATATTCTTAAAAAGTAGTATTATATGTATTTTTAATTATTTTAAATACGTACCTAAATACAAAACTGGTGAAGTGCTTCTCACATATACTGCTCTTGATGTATAGATACATAAATTATTGCAACATTTTAAAATAAAAGTAGTTCCGTTCCTGAGTACCTACATATTACATACTTACCTATTTAGGAATATTTCTAAAACCCTAAAATTAATGATCACTGAAAAGGTGAATTAATTAACAGCCCTTTTGCGTAATTATCTTTGTTTTAATTTCATTAAATCAAATAACGACTATTACAGAAATAGCATTTGTTACATTTATAAAAAAAATATTTGATAAAAATTAATTAAAACAGTAACGCACTGCCATTAATACGCGATAAATTAGATAACTTTATATAATTAATGTTAATAGTCTCTTGCAATTTGCAGTTACATTACAAATCATCACAAATGACCTTAATTAATTTGAGTCCTCTTCAAATACTTATTAAAAAGACGCATGCTGCAATGAAGACGACCTTAATAAAGAAAAATAATATACAAACAAAACTTAAAAAATGATGACACTTGATTTATGAATTCAACTGAAACTCTCTATCTGCCTCAATACTAAACTAAATTTATCCGTTTCCTGCAGTCAAACTACCGAAAAAATATTACTAGAAAGGAATTTTTTTACTATTGTGAGTAAATAAAACTATATTTATATATATGTATACCTATTCTTATTTCTCAACAAGGTACCAATATGTTGTGTTGTCAAGTCGACCTCAACGCTCCCCTAGGAAATCATTGTGGCTCAATTCCTGATGAAATCAAGGATAAATCCTCTTTGATAAAAATTTCGCAGATCTATTTATTGTAATTTCAAATTTATTGTAGATAAATAAGGTAATAAAATCTGTGTGTAAAGTAATCCTTCCAGGAGCATCACGTCGCATCCGTTTCATCGTAAATACGGCTTCATTCACTAAGAATCTCTGACCAATAACTACACATAGGTATGTGGTTGGCTATTGACCTCTTAAACTTGTGTTGATCTAAATGGTTAGTGATTTCATAATCAATATACACATATTGGTGAATATTATTTATCATATTCAAAAATTTTTCTAGATAGTAGGTTTATCTTGGATATACTTACTAAATACTAAAATTATACTTAATAATTTATAAAAAGCTTTTATAAAAATGCAGCAGCAATATAAAAGCAATGTTATACTGTGGCTATCAAATTTCATATAAATCAAGTGGTTTGTTTAAAAATAATTGTGAATAAACTGTTCCATTTCATTGATCTCTTTGCATAATAAATACAAACAAAGGAATCTTTGAGTTGCGAATGTGTAAACATTGTCGGCGAATAATTCCCTAACTCACCTGGAGGTCTTCATAGCGAGATCTCGAGGAGCCGGTGGTATTCGGCCGTTCTAACAACAGAAGCTGTGTGAGTATTATCACACCGAACACCGCAAAGAACATTATGAAGATGAAGAAACTGATGTTGGCGCGCTCTTTGGCACGGTAGGGGGCCGCGCGCCCGCGCCACCTCATCGTGCCGACGGTGCACTCGCATGAGCACGGGAAAACAACGGTCGCTAAAACGCGCGCCACAAAACTGACATTATCATCAGGGCCGCGGCGCCATACTACCTCGCGCGCCGCTCCGCAGACCGCAGCCCCACCGAATACACCTTCCCACACTAACGTGACGCAGAATGAACAATTGACAGAGACAGAACTGCACGCTGGGTTACAAGTTCTAGTCGAATCTTATCTACCCAATGTAAGAAAAATAACTTTTATGATAACGATTCAACTAGATTGCGTACGATGAAGCATCGTTAATATTTTTATTACAACTCCATACTGTCACAAACTTTTTAGGCTCTAAATATTAGTAGGAATAAAAATTACATCTTACTATAGAATATCATTCAGTTGTACTCTATTCTTTTTAAATAATAAATAATTTGTAAAAAATTACAATATTTTTTATCCTCTTTGAAGTAGGTAAATGTATGGACTAATGATTTTGTAAAAATAAATAAATTCTACCAATACAGAACCCATTCAATGACTAGCAACCCGAAATACAATGAACGCATGCGTGCCGCCCGCCCTCCGTTCAATGACTTGAATGGTCTAAGCTTGTATAAACGATACAACTCTGTAGGCATATTGAACGTTCATTATAGGCTTTATTCATTACAACCATTTAAGGTAGGAATTACAAAACAATGTAAATGTAAAATGTCTATTCTTATCGCCTAACTCACTGAGTTAGATATTTGCTTAAAGAATAATATGCGATTTTTTCTAATTTACTCGAATATTAGGTATCTGTGCTCCAAACTGAAAACTTCAAATTAAAACACTTATATTAAAACACCTGATGATTCTTTTGAGATATAGATACCTACTTCTTATACAAACGTCGCACAATATTTATATCTCTATCGGTTTTAATATAATATATACTTATACAGTATTTTATTTCTAAATGACATCTACTAATAAATTTGTATGTAGATACTACTATATCTGTGCTAGAAAATCCAACTGTTGCGTTTCCGCCTAACTTTCATTTGGCCTTCATTGATATTTTTCTATGGATAAAACTTGTAATTAGCTCTCATCATCAATCATTCAAGAACGAAAATATAATAAATATTATTTATTTTTATAATATTATAATACTAGCCTCTATCCTCGTGACCGGTCCGGTATATATTGATTGACTAGGATAAAAAATAGATTATGTGCTTGCTATTACACAAATACATGTATGTCAAAATTCCAAGAAATTAGTGGGGAAAAGACTGTTAGTAATTGCGCAACTTGCTATTTTCTACATGATGCATTTTGGAGTGTGTGATCAAGAATTGCATGACCTGGTTCCTCCTTTACCCTTTCGATATTGGACGACCAGACGGTGCGAGAGCCTTCACCCTTGTGTCGTAGACATACCACCTACACGCACGAGGCGCTTTGCACCTTCCTTCATTATACGTACGGCCAAGGAGTAGAACTCTCTTTCTGCTTATGTTTTTCTATCCAAATATAATCTGCACCAATTTTACCCTAACAGCCTGATTTTTTAAATCAAATTAAAAAATATATAAGTCAAAACGATATTTTTATATATTTATTTTGAAAAAAACATTTAATATTATTTTTGATATTTTAGGCATTACGGTAATCAAAATATTTAAATTTATTTAACAATGAAACAATGCAAACCCCGGTATCAAATTTGAAACTTCATGTATTTAAGGGTTAAGGCAATTTGAATAAGCTATTCGTGGGCCCGTGAGCCCCATCTTAGATCACATCACCGCTTTCCATCAGGTAAGATCGTGATTAATCGCGGGACCCTTCAATATTAAAAAAAATGGGTCTAGTAATCCGATTACCATCAATATACCTGATTAGGTCGACCTACACGTGATCCCTTCTGGAAACCATCGTAATTAATTCTTGTTTAATTACGATCATTACGATTGTCTGTCTCACATATCATCCCTCACTCAACGTATACCGATAGCGCAGACAAAGTTACCATTCCATTTTCTTCCATCAAAAAAATTAGCAAACACTTGTTTGTTTACTTAAACTCACTTTTACATTTATAATATTTGTAATGATTTATTAGTGCACATTTTTATTAGATAAAGCGCACGGGAATGGATGATAACCGTTTCAGCCGAGCGAAGTCGCGATAACGATACTCAGATAAAAATAACTCAACATGTATTACGTTCAAATTTAAAATAAACAAATAAATAAATTACATGCTCTCCACAATAATTCTCATTAAGAAGAGTAAAAACGTATAGAGGTATTTGTCAACTGTTGCCTTTATACTAATATTTACCGAATATGCCCAACTTATGTACTAAATACTATAGAATCCCGATATTACTTCTTTTTTTTAATGGGTAATAATGGAAAGGCCCCCCATCCGCGCTAACGGTCTACGCTAGCGAGGTACCAGTGAAAAATGATTAATGAGGATGTTAAGACAGGTCCGTTGGCCCATCGTTATAAATTCACCTGGAAGTAAATATGATGGTTTCCAAGGACGACCGCGAGGAGGGTGACCTGGCAATGTGTATTGCTAGCAATGGGGAGCTAGCCCCATTAGTAACAATCTCTTCCTCTCTTTCTGATATAATTCACATTCCTTTATGTCAAGTTTTTATCAGAGGGAGATTTTGTACAAAAGTCATTTGCTTATGTAACTCTATCCCATTCGAATATCGACCGTGAAATAGTTGTATGACTGTGTTTCTGTTTGAATTTACAAGGTACAAAGGCATAACATCTTAGTCCTTAGGATAGTCAAAGCATAGGGGTATCGTGGGTGAAACATTATACTCTGTTACGTCCATGGTAGGTACTGCTCATGTCTATAGGCGACTGTTACCACTTTCCATCGGATAGATCGTTAGCTTGTTTGCCATTCTAAGTTGCATAAAAAAACATATCTACGTAATTATAATAAAAAAAGTTACGGCGAGTCACTTTTGACCACTTTGGAGACTGTATTTGGTAGAAGATAAATAAATATTCAGTAATAAACCTGCAAAATAAAACATTATACGATTATTGAACACAAAATTTTCAGTTTTAGGCAAATATTATATTTTTACTATTTGTCTACGGAATCGTACATTTTATTTCTTAGTAGTTAAAAGAACAATTAATAAGCGGGTTTATAAATATTTTTATAAGATAATTTAGTACTAGATCGCATAATATAATTTACTTATTTTCATCGTAAAAGTGTGGGTATTGCGTAGGTTGTTGTTTTGATGCAGACGGTAAGATAAGAAAAACGAAAAAGGAATAACATCAATTCTACTCGTATTATATTACAATTAGTATAGGACCGTCCTGAAAATACGTATAGAATTTAATCAAAAAAAAAATCACAATGCACAAGTATAATAAACAGTTGAATTAAGAACCGTCTCTTTTATAAATCGGCTAAAGGCTGCAAATAAAAAACTCTTTCTAGAAATCTAATAAAAATAAGTAACCAAAAACTGTGATCTATGGTTACTTATTGTAACATATTCTTGAAAACTAGGCGGACGTGCATTAGTACCTACATCCAGATTAGACGCTAGATATAAGTGTCTAAAAATCTGCTGAAACTGCCTGCTCCGCAGAACCTACCTCCTTACTATATACTCATAATTCACGAGGAACGCTTAAGTAATACGTCATGCAGAATTTCTATCTACACCCATATCCATAAACATTCCTTACAACATGTTACACGATGTTTACGTTGCTCATCAATACTAGGACCGCATAATTGTATTATTGTTCATTTTTTTTAATGTAAAATGTAACGGTAATTCCGCTTGCGCTATCGGTATACGCTAACGAGTACCAATGAGTGAGGTGACAATGAAGACGGTTCATAGTGACTTCATTAGAGCTTAACCACGATTATTTCCAAGGGGAACCGTGTAAAATCCGACTTAAAATGGTATATTGCTATTAATAAGCCACTAAACGCTAATTATTTACTAATACTTCTCTCCTTCCCTGTATTATAGATGTAGAGTAGATGTAGATTGATTCCATTTTCAAACATGAAAAAAACATACTTTTTTTTTTAAATGGAATGGTAACCTCGCCTGCGCTATCGAGATACGCTGGCGGAGCACCAGTGAAGGATAATAAGTGAGGATTAAGCAGGTCAGTTAACACATCATGATGAATTCATTAATAATGGTATATACTCGTACCATACATATGATATGTACGAAATGATTGATCATGAAACGACGTAAACATTTAGTTCCGTATATTGCATTACAGTGCTCTAACAAATGCATTTGCGTATTTAACACGATTTTCAAATCATAAAAATATCAGAATTTTTGTAATTCAGATCCCCGTTGAACTTTTTAAAGAATTTAGAGCTTAAACCTACTACTACGTCCCATTGAATAAAATAGTTTACAAAACTATATTACTGTCTCCAGTCAATAATAAGAAACTGTATTCCATCATGGTGTATTCCATCTAAAAATATAACAAAATAACTAATTTGTGTTTTATAAATTACGTAATATTAAACAAAAATGTAAATAAAATTGTGTTAAATGCGACATTAATAGATAAAAGAAGCTATGTTTTATTACAAATTCTATAAATTTGATAATAAATACAGATGAGTAGACAATAAAGTTAGTATCGTTAAGTATATATAAAGTTTGCATGTTTACATTACCTAATAAATTAATTTACTTGTTCATGTAATAGTGGTGCCGAGTATCTATGCTATATTACCAATTTTAAAGAATATGCAGAATTAAGCAAAATAAATTAGTATTACTGCTATTATAGTTTCTACTACTTATTAGTCATGAATTAAAGTTTAATTATAAATAATGACACATTTTGAAGATAAATACTACTTTAAAATATCTATGAATAACTAGTTAATTACATTTGTAGTACGCGGTTTCTAGTAAAATTGTCACCATTTAAAATACAAATATTTTTTACAAAGTAGATTAGATTAGTAGAGAGATTATTTGCTCTGTGCACAGACTTTGTAGTTCTGTGGCGTATACGCCAAGCTACGTCATATCAGACAAAAAAGTTAGTGTTTAAACATATTGTGTTTTATAAATATGTTTGTATATTTGTTACTTTTAATTTACGTTAAACAAATGTTTTTGCTTTTTTTGCTGAACTGATTTGAATTAAATCATTATAGTTAAGTTATAAACTAATTAAACACGATTATATATTATTGAATCACACGGGTATAATCACAGAAATCAACTATTTGAATTTTGATTGAATGAATGTCTCTCAAATGACTTAAACACTATTCCAACGTTCTTAAAGTATAGACTGTAGTTATGCATTTATAATTTTGAATTGCAAGTATAATTCTTAATCTACGATAGGAATTATTCTTAGTCTATGCTCGACGGATAAATTATTACCATTAATAAAAAATAGAATCACAATCTAAAATTGTTATCTAAGGAACCGTAAAAGAACTTTTCCAAACCAATAAAATTCGGAAAAATATTGCAATACCCAAGATAATATAATACCTAAAAAACAAGGAATTACATAGAAGGAATGATAAAAACTGTAAATCATATGGTTGCCTCCCTTCTTCTTATGTAAATATAATTAGTAAAAAGAGGACGAAAGATACATCATCAGTTTCTATTTTTCTTAATTCATAGCAGACTAATGTATAGAAAATACACATACAACCTGCTTGCATATTTTCTAGGTGAAGTATATCGAACGTATAATCTAGTAATGTAAATTAATAAAAATTTTACACACACATTTTCTATACATATATGGCAACTGCTGATGTAATTTTCGTCCGCTTTTTACTAATTATATTTGCATAAGAAGAAAAGAAGCAACCATATGATTTACACTTTTTATTTTATCATTTCTTCTATGGAATTTCTAGTTCTTAGTACTTGGCAGTACTGTCAGCTGTCCGATGCAATTGTCAGTGTCATTTAGAAAAACTTCAGATTTCAGAGATCTTCAGTTTTCAATTATACTTTTAATATTAGAGAAATAAAATTAACTATTAAAGAATCATGGTACAGCAAAGTGGCCCACCAGATGATAATGTATTTAGGGCTTTTATAAATGCTGTTTACAATACCATTGATACTCCGGTGACCTGGTTCAGAGGTATGGTATATTTATTTTTTTCGATGGTTGTTGTTATGTAAGTGCAAGTCTTTAAGTTTCATTTATTATTTTAGAAAGAGTTGTGGAGCCAAATCAGAAAAAGTACCCGTGGTACCACCAGCAGTTCCGTCGTGTTCCTACTATCGATCAATGTTATTCTGATGATGCTCTCTGTGACTTTGAAGCCAATGTACAATTTAAACGTGATAGGTTAGTTCTATTTTTTGCTCCTATATATATATATATATATATATATACATATATTCATAATTTATTTTAATTTAAGTACACCTGTATTTTCCTGTTAAAGCTCTATTATTTAATTAGCAGTAACATAAATAATTGACTAATAAGGAAGTAATTTTTATATTATCTATAAAATTAAATCTCAATAAACTAAAAAATCATATATGTTTTATAGTTTACAAAATTAAATATAGATATACATGGACCTACTTGCTAATAAATAAATTTTTTGTGTAATAGGGGGGGGGGGGCTGATTCTGAGGCGCCAATACTCTAAACCTATCTCTAAAATTAAAATTCTTATCTCTTTTATTTGCTTTATCTCTTAAAATCTTTATTGTAAGGACCAATATGAACTTATTTTCTAGTAGATTGAAGTTAAAATTCTACATTATGATGGCCCATAAAATAGTAATTTCATAAAATTATTAAATAAAAAAAAATGCATTAAGAGATAGATTTAGAGAAATAGCACCTCAGAATAGGCTCCATTATCTTAATATCACACACACTCTTCAGAGAGTAGGCAAACAGAACCAAGTATCAATAGTATTCTCTCATTTAATTTATTTAAAGGTCTTGTTTACTTACTATAAGAACTGTGGTAAAGTTTATATTGAATGATCCATCATAGTTGATAAAAATCTTACAAAAAAATATACTTTCATTTTTGGCCTACTCAATTTAAAACAAATTGCATCAAATCATAAAATTTAAGTATTTTGGATAAAAATTTGATATTTCAATATTAATTACAAATTAATACATTCTTTAATTCAATATTTCAGAGCTGTTGATACTGAAATTCTTAGTATACTACGCCAACGTTATGAGGATTGCATGATGTATGAGTCACCTGATTATTTAACATGCAAACCTCTTTGGGACAGATATAAGGATGCTGAAGAAGCATGGTTTATTAAATGTAAGTATATTTTAACAATAAATCAAATTAATCAGAACAACTGAAGTAGGGACACCCTCTGCCACATTTATATATATATATATATATATAGTTAATACCAGAGGGAGACTTTGTACAAAAGTCGATTGTTTGGGTACCTCTGTTCCATTCGTGTTTCAACCATGAAGCAGTTGTGTTGGCATGGCTGTGTTTCGGTTTGAAGGGTGGGATATGGCGTGAATTTACTGGGTACAAAGGAATAACACCCGAGTCCTCAGGAATGGCAAGACATGGGAGGTATCATGGGCGAAACAGTATACTCTGTTATGTCCATGGCACTGCTCATGCCTATAGGCGACAGTTACCACTTTCCATCAGGTGGGCCGTCAGCTTGATTGCCATTCTAGGTTGTATAAAATATATATATATTATTTATTCACTAAAATATACAGTAATTATATATATATATATATATGTTAAATACAATGCATACATATCAAATATAAGTGAACACAATGATGACAATCTTGTAATCAATAATAGTAGTAAAATAAGTATTCAAGCGAAGTTGATGCAAAGCAAAAGAAGCAATAACACCTAGGTTTGGAAGGAGATAACAATTGGAATTGGGAATGAAGGAATGCATATCTTACTATAATATAAATTATTAATAAAATTGCAACTACATAATGTTTGTATATGGAAGATATTCAAGAAAAACTGAAACAAGAGGTTGTAAGTGCAATAGAAGCCAAAACAACAGTATTTTAGTAATTTTGTATCAGCATTATACAAGTTACTTGATCAAAATTGGATCCGGTTTTCACAGTTGTGTTCTTGGAGGTCTAACTTATTAATATATATGTTTTATATTGACATGTCATCTAGAAGTGCTCTATTTCAACAGTTTTCCTACTTCAGAAATCCTTGTGTATGAAGTAGCAGGCAAAAAGCTGGTATGAAAATATATGCATTCATTCTATTCTCAACAATATGTGGACATATTAAGTGTACATATAAATACAATATACATATATAACCAGACAAAAAATGACACTATGATGACTGTGACATGATATGTGAAATTTGGCATAGAAAAAGGTGTAGATTACTCATATTTTTTACACAAAAGAAATTATAGGAATAGCTAGTTTCAAATCAAAATTAATATTCCATGTGCAATGGTAATACCCAAAGAAAATTATTATGTGGTAAAATAAATAGTAATTATTTTTTTCTATACTGTGAAGGTGGCAAACAAACATACAGCCTGTCTGATGGTAGACAATCACTGTTGCCTTTGAAAACCTGCAATATTAGAAGTATCACATGTACATTGCTGACCCTGAAAAAACCTTAATACAACTGTTTTGAAGAACTCAACACTATAGTCTTTAGAGAAAATCTCAGCAGGAAGCACATTCTATAACCTCCCTGAATTCCCTGTTAATGACTTACCACACTTAGTTATATTATCATTACAAGCAGTGATACTCAGAGGATATAGAATAGACCAATAGTAAAGTGATTTATAGCAGTCTATAACAGGAGCTATTATGTATATATTTTTACAGATGGTGATCTTGGGGCTTATGCTGATGCTAGAAAAGCATATATGAAGCAAAAACATCGTATGATTTGGGAACGACGTCATGGCCACCTGTCTGACTTAACTAAGTAATAGTCAGCAGAAATATACTTTACAAATGTATTTAGATGTATTGTCGATGCAATAAATAATAAATTATAGAACCTACTTTCATTTAAATATAAACCATATTACAAATATATAATTAAAATACAAGCTTAAAAAAATAACATTTATTCCAACATTCATTTTTGTTCTTCATGCAATACTGACAAAACTACTCCAATACATATATTATTATCTAGTTGGAACTACAACAACAAGAAATTAAAGATCACAGAATTATGAAGATGTAGAATAAAATAATACTATCATCTTCTCTTACTGTACTTGAAATACTTATACCTAATGTTAAAAATTTAAAATCTTTGTTACTGGTCACATAAAAGTAAAAAGTGGATTAGATTCAAAAGTACTTATGTATCTGCTACAGTCTTAGGAATCCATTTGTAAGTTTAAGTACCTCATATATTATACTAATTTAAAAAATGGACACTATAGCAATTTGTAAAAAGACACACAAAACATTTATATCCGATTAGCACTGGTCATGTTAAATTAATATCAAGTTTTAATACCTTTTTTGTGCTTTGAACTTATAAACAGAAAATTATTATAATCCATCCATAAATATTATTATTGGCACTTGATACATGACATCATTATATCTTCAATAAATTATGAACAAAATTGACATTTCAACAGTATTATAATTATTGGTAATGCTAATAATAATATTAATCATTACAAACTTGTCTTTATTTAAAATGCGAACTGGCAGTATTAAGTAAAAAAATGTGTTTACAGAAAAAAATTGATTTGATAAAAATAATATATATTTATAGGTCCCCCTTTACGATTAACGACAGATAAAACCATTTAATGATAAAATATCGACGTTCCACATTATTAAAAATATATTTAAAAGATGTTTAACGAATTTGTGTTTTAATTTTGGTTAAAACTAATAGCGTTTTTGTACCAATATCTTAATCATAGACAATAATTATGTACACTATATACATAACTTAGATTTTCTTAGTATAATGAAATTGCTTATTTTAATATTACAAACTAAACATAAGATTTAAGTGGCATTCATTGGTACACAAGTATCACAGTAGCAATGCCTTGGTACACAAAATCCTTCACAAATTTATATTAGATAATTATACTATTATACAAATAAAATTAAAAAATACTCATCTACGACCTTATTTTACAAATAAAAAAATAATTAATTAAATATAAACTATATTTTATACAAAAATTAGCATTAACATTTTATAAGTTTGTATTAATTTTGTAACTTACGATTGTCAAAATATAAATACTCATTTAATTAAATATAACTAATTATTTAGAATAAATTAGCAGTCTTTTTTTAACAAATTTTAGACTGATAATTTCATTTTCATTATAATTTTGCAATCTGACGTAATAATCTATTAAGTAGGTATTATACATCATACAATCCAGTAAGGGCGAGTTTGAGCTTTGGCCCAAAACAGTACTTAATCACCATTTATTCTATTCATAGACTTCAAGCATGAAGTAACGAAATAATTCAATAAATTACGAGTGCGAATGCTTCCTTGCACATATTATAATACATACAGTATAAATAACAAGTAATTTTTATATAATAAAATAGAATAAATCGAGATTTCAATACAGATTTTTAAAAATTGATATGTCACCATATAATTTAGCTTTTTATCAATGTGGAACAGCGAAATTTTACGCCCATATGATGTGTATACTAAATGAGTCATTGCACAGGACATAAGCATATAATATTCTATTTAAATAATATATTCTACCTCTACATATATATTTATAAAAGATTTGAACGTCTATAATTGACTCGAATTTATGATTTATATAGTAGTCATCAAGGTCAGTTCAAGAAAGATTTGAAAAGAGAACATGGTACACCGTAGAGCCAATCAAATTTGAAAGAATGTAAATTATGTCCAAAAGTACATAAACCCGAATTTATTAAACGACGTTTGACTAATTATAATAATCCTGTGTAATCATAACAATCAATAATTACGATTTTTATAAACTGAAATATATAAGCCAAATTACATGCAATTATATTAATCAATCGAGATCATATTATCAAAGGATAAAATTCTTTTGATAAAAATCAACATTGTATGATTTATTGTACTTTCAGTATGCATTCGAAAAATGTTACTGACGTTTGTATTAATTACATTTTGTTACTTAGTAACCTAATGTACTATATCTATTCCTAACATAACTTGAGCCTCAAATCTTAAAATGATATGTACACTTAATGTTAAATCTCCAAAAATGAATATTACAAAATACAAAATCACAGTTATACAGTATCATTTTTGGAATACCAAACATTATCCATTTATGTTTTAGTCCGTCTGTATCTTAAGTAACCTAAGAAAATATAAATGTCAAGGGATAAAATTAATCAAAGGTTGATTAAATTTTATGAAAAAACTATTATTCTTAAATTCTAACCAACCAAACTAAAAATAAAAAAAAAAACATGGAAAGACCAAGACATAAAAAGAATAAGAAATAAGTAGAACAAAATTATCAAATCATATTGTTGTCAAGTTAAAACAATATAATATACGAGTGATTATAAATCAGGATAAGTGAACGTCCAACATTCTAAACATTAGACAGGCACGAACCTCGCGATAACATTTTCCGAATGCATTATAATTCTTAATCTAAATAAACACACGAAAATATATGCCATCTAAAACATTATTGTTATAGACATCACATTGTTTAGGACACTTTTATTAATCTAGTTGATAAAATTCGTTGCGACCCTGAGTACAAACCTTGACGGCTTTGGTTAACTATCGCCCAAGAAGAAAAATGCCCATAACCAAATGGAGATTGAGGCAATAAATTTAAACTTGTATGGGCCTTCCAAGTGTCTTCCATTTTGCTTACACTAAGATAGGATGTAGAATCTATTTCTTTTTTATCAATATTGTTTGTCAAGTTTTCTTAATTTCTCAAAAAGAGAAGGCTATTTTGTGACTTATTTCAAGCTTAAATTTATTGCCATAAATTCTGTGTCCTCGCTGTGTCAAATCTCGATTTGGTATTTAACTTCTTGCTATTGCCACAATTTAAAAACATGCAATCATTATCTTTACACACAAGAGATTTTGGAAAGGAAGGAATGCGATTTCAACATTAATGGAAATGGCAATTATTATGATGCGTCGAAGTGTGCAGCCAGACGCATACGACCTGCAAAATAACAAACAGTAAATGTACATTAAAATAAGATGAATCGTAATAATTTAAAATATTTTATCCAGTATTTCAAACTTGTTGGCAAAATAAAAAATATTGTTTAACACCAGGGGTGCTTAAACGTGATCTACCTCAATATTGTTACACTACAATCGACCGACTCCGAGAGGCTGCAAGTATGTGTGATGCAGGATTGTCGACTAGGTAGGATATACCGTGGCATAGATATTAGGTTTCCGCACAATATGCATTTTTTTAGTCATTCAACTAGAAGTTATTCGAATGAAAAATCATTAAAATACAAACAAGGACAATTGTTAATCTGTCATAGGAAAGAAAAAGCCAGCAAGCAGTATACAGACCTAATTCCTTAATTACTGATAAATTTCAACGAATAACAGGTCAAAAAGAATAAAAAACTATAATATATTGACTATACACTTGTTATCAATTTATCTAAAATCTATATGTAATAAGAAAATACAATAACTTAATACTGTTTGTGACTACTAAATGATAATTATCAATGGGGTTATTTGATTAAAATTATTTTGTTTAATTCTGCTACCATTGTGTGTGACTGCCACTGCCTAGTTCAATAAAAAAATAGGTTTAACGATTCACTAAATGCATTCCGCGGCGCCGTTCGTGGTTATATTATAATGTCGAATAACTTATTAATCTTCTTCAAGAAATAAATTAACAAAAAGGAGCTTTCGATTCTGACTGGTATTTATTGTTAGGTTTATAATTCTTCCATACGTGTGTTTGTTACCTATCTTGACCTAAACGGCTGGACCGATTTGGATTGCAATTGTGTGTTTTATATTTCAATGGGTTTTATATTGTATATTTCAATGAGCTCTTGGATGGTTTAAAAACACAATTGGGCCCGGTAGGTGGCGCTGCTATCGGTATGACACCAAATTAGATTTTCTGAACAATTGACAAGATTACTTAATTTTACTATATAGGCCTATATGGAAAGGTATCTAACTAGACACTGACATAATAATATGTAATATGACATCTATATAAGCTTTCCAATTACAATTTTTGTCTAAAACTATATCAAAATATCTACTATTTGTACTGATTACTTTTGTTAACTTTTATTTTACATTTTTAGAGTAATATGCACTAAACTGTATTATTTGTGTTCCATTTAAATTCATATGTAGATTATTTTTCCGTCAGCCATCTTATAACTTCTTGTAATGTATGATTTCAAGGTCATCTTTATTTTTTTTATTACTATAATAGCCTAAAGAATACATTTGTGATTTATTATATCAGGCAAGTGATATAAGTCACTAAAATAATACGGATCAAAAGCGGTTTCTTAAGGAATGCCTACTTTATTTTGAGCTAAATCTGTATATCTTTTTATGCGATCGATCATTTGAGCACCCCTGTTATGTACCAATAAAACAGTTATTTATATCTTAGCAAACGGCATAGAGAGAAAAGATTAAATATAAACTTACGTTTTTCCTGACTGAGTAAAGCAGTTGGTGTTGGCAATGCGCTAGCTGGTGGAGAGCACCAAATATTCACCTTCGGAGATTCGAATACACGTGATCCCTATAACAATTTAAGTGCTTAAATTAAATATAACAGAAGAAATTATAGAAGATATAACAGCTATGCTTGCATGACTGTTTCGGTTTGATGGGTCTTCGTATCCGTCGTTAATTATCCACTACTAAACATAGGTCCCCCCTATTTGGGGGGGGTTTGCCATTAGGCTGCTGCCCATACCTCGATCATTAAGTTTCCTTAGTCGCCACTTATGATAACCACAAGAAAGGAAAAAAGGTATGACAGTGAAATTACAGGGTATGAAAGCATATCACCGTCATGCTCAATAATAGCAAGATATGAGGAAGATTATGAGCACCATAGTGTATTTTTTTGCCACGGTACTGTTCATGTCTATAGGCGACAGTTATCAGTTTCCATCAACTAGTAAGAAATTCTAAGTGTCTTAAAAAATATCTTATTCTTCTGGGATTTGATTGCTCATTTCGAACTGACATAGAAAGAATCCAGAAGCAATGAAATTTTAACATGAGTATTTTCAGAAAAAAACGAGCACAAAGAATCTTTGAAATTCGTCGTCTAATTGCGATAAAAGTTCATAAGGCGACCTTTTTTTTTAATAAGTTCTTATTAAGAAAAAACAACCATTGATTTAACACTTCATTTGTAAAAATTTTAAAATTAGACAACAAAAAAAAGTTCGAATGAGCAAGTACCTTCTGTCCGGGCGGCGTGTCGTGCAACGCATAGTCCTCGTGTGACGGAGCAGGCGCCAGGTCCCGATAACGTGCCGCCGACACGCCTTCACATAGTGACCACTGCCTAACTCCACTCGATTCAGAGAATACTTCTTGATACCGGCGGAGGAACTCCTCTAAGCTGTTCACGCCTGTTTTACAGATTAGTAAAAAATATCACAATTTGTAAGGCTTTATTCTAATATTGTTTCTATCTACTGTCCTTACCAGCCCCTAGACAAGCGGCAAAACACTCGGATCAAGTTATAATTATAATTAATTTAATCTAATGCAAATGCATTATATATAACGACTAGACGCCAGATATGACTGTCAAGTTTCATCTTAAGTACGCGCTAGACGTTTATATTGTTAAATTCATTTAGGAGGTTTATTGCCTCATATTTTTGGCAGATAAAAATTAGTACTAGAAAAATTAGTGACAATTTGAACATGTTTATGTAATATAGCTGCATTAATTAAAAAAAATGGGGCCTCGTCAAGGTAAAAAGAACTGCAGTCATTGTTTATATGCCAAAACATTACTAGGAATTGTTAGGCACGTATGAGGAATTAGGAAAAACATACAATACTTACCTAAATCGACACAGGGAAAAACTGGTTCGTAACGCTTAGTGTATTGCGCTAACATGTCGTTGGCTGTCATAGGTCCGTAGGAATCAGCTAGCACTTGAGCGAGCCGCCACACAGTTCTCCAAGCTGAGGTCAGACGGATTCTGCGGTCCGAAGTTTCCACGACACCAGCCGCGGCTAAATGCCGGATATTCGGTTCTGGGAGGCGCATGCGCCGGAAAGCGGATGCGAAATACTCATCGGTGGAGCCCCGTGCGACGCTACGGTCGGCGCTGAGAACAGCACAGGCAGCTAAAGCGGTGGTCGCCCAAGAAGGCACCGCTCCTGGACCCATCACTACACCATTCTGTACGCATCCACCGGCGGCATAAACGAGCATTTCTAGTGACGGCACTTCCAGCATATCGGGCTGAAATAAAATATACAATAATGACAATAATCTGAGTGTTTTATGTATCACCACACCATGCCATTGTCAGGACATAAGAGACAACTAGGGTAACAGTACAAAAACCAATACAAAACTTTACTAAACTGAGTTAAGAAATGGATGTTAGCACATGCTATCAATTAGGTTCCTCTGATCATAATAGATTAACATTCACCTATAAAGAAAAATTTTGTGCTCATTGCTAAGTTAGTTAAACACCAGTGCTAAGTTATGGAAAAATTAAAGTTATGATGATAATAATAATAATAATATCTATTATTTAGGATTTTTTTATTTAAATAAATATATTATGGCATGGAGTTGTCGGAGATAATTTAAATTTTATTAATTACCAATGGCGGAGCTCCAAACTGAGCGGCATATTGTGTAGAAAATTCAGTGAGGGAAACTGGAGTGATAGCTCGCAGACGATGGGCCATCGCCGCTCGAGCCGCGCGACTCGACAGCTTCACAGTACGGTCTCCGTTAGGCTCGACGACTGCCATGAAAAAATTTAGATATACTGATGACTGACAAAAAAAATCTAACAGCAAAACAATTACTAAATATGAATTTTTTTAACATAGAAGTAATAATTACAAAGTAAAGGATAAAGCCGTGAAATGTCTAATAAACCTATAATAACAATTGAAGAGTTTTGTATCATTTGATAAACGATTTTCATAATCAAAATAAGTTTATAGAGATATAAATTTTAAATAATAAGGCAAGTGTATATGTATGTCCAGGGTGGAAGGAACAGGTTGGTTAAAATGAATACAGCAAATTCGGATGAATGGTCTGAATCAAATGGCAGATTATTTTCTTACCAGAAATGCACCACAACCATATAATTAATTGATTCTTAGTTTTGACGCTGTGCTATGTATTTGAAATTGTCCGATACCCATGACGTGTAATATCTACACCGCGCGTGCGCTAATCTACTACACGCTTGTGGCGTTTACTTTACGCAGCTGATTTCGCGCGTGGCGGTAAGATTTTAATACGTATGTTACGTTGCTATTTTTTTGTATTTATAGTATTTCATACACATACATACATAGTATTTCACTATGAAATATTATTATTTCTTTATATTATGATTTCATAGATTGCATGATTATAATTAAAAAAAAAAAAAACAACAAATAAATTTGCAATTTTCCCGAAAGAATTCTCACTGGAAAAATTATTAATATATTACAAAAATAATCTAAGTATGTTAATCTCACATATCGTCACCGCTTCAGGTATCAGTTCGAGGAGCTCCACTAGTTTCACGCAGCCGTAGTGAGCGACACGAAGTTGTCGCCCGAAATGCGCGTGGTAAGCGGGCACGAACCGAGAGAACTCCATGCGCAGATTCGACGTGTAACAAAGGAGTTCAACGGCCTGTATGCAAATATAGAATTTACAAATAAAAATTGAACTTCTTCAAAATCCATTAAAACTGTATGAAAATATTCTTTTGGAAATTGATATATAAGTATTTGAATACCATATCAATTAGTAAAACAACGCACAGACTGGTATTTCCTTGAAACATCTAAAAAGTTTAATATAATTTCAGAACCAAATCGTTATAACTGATTATATAATTTTACTCGATAGATTACTTATAGCTCTTTGTGAAGAAAAATATAAAAAAAAATGTAAAAGTATATTTATAGTACGATCAGATAAAACTCACTTCTATAGCAAACTGAACGGTTCGCATGCGTTCTTCAGGCGTAGGTGTTCGCCGCGGCAAAGAGAGCGTACCGTCTACGTCTACAATAACCGCTTGAGGAGTCACGCGTTGCATCAACTCAGCCAGCGTACAAACTCCATAATCGACAGTCGAGAATGGCCGCCCGAACGTTGACTGGTACAGTTCGGGTATCTCCAGCGGCAGGATTACGCGGCCTGGCTGAGCTTTCAATAATTTCACCAGATCGGACGTCCATCGACGGCTCTGAGCAGCTGCGGATATTGTTATAACACGAGACGATCCTGAACCGAGTACCTATAAACGAGAAATGTAATTTAAACCCTTTATTCACTATCTATAAATTCTAAAACAAAGTCTGTTTAAAAACTTCACTTGTTGAACTATATTTAAATATATAGTTATAGTATAGTTTAAAATATAATTCAAAAGTATAAAAAATAACAGATATTGTCCAAGTAGAAAATGCTCAAAAATACTTACAACAATTGCATTGCTTAGAGCCGCGAGCAAATCTGGAAGTTTAGTGAATCCATAATCTGCCACTCGGCATTGACGACCGAAATGGTGATGGAATGCAGGGATTAGCCTGTGAATAATTTGGCCATCTCAATATGGACTATAACTTTTTGAATTGTTAATAAAATTAAAATCTTGAGCCTATGATTTATTCATGGTAATTAGACTACTTCCAGTATTCTCTTATAGGGAGAGTCCAGTAGTAGAACATGCTTGACAAAAAAGGACAAATCAATAAATTTGTTGTTTATTTGCCAAACGATGATATTTCAAGCAGACGTCACCTTCAAGTAATACAAAAACACACAAAATTTCAAAATTATTTTACATGCATCGTATTGTTATATCTGTATTATCTTGTATGTCTAAGTTTTGAAAAAGAGTATGATAAATTTATTTTTGGAAACAGTTAAGCAGGATTCACACTAAAATGCTACTCTCGATTCATTCTCAATCTAGTATATGTATCTACGTATTCATACTACAGTCTAGTCAAGTCTGTTCCAGTCACAATCAATTACGAGTAGTGTTTCTACTCGTGTGGATATGTGATTATGTGGATCTGGCCTTAGAAGAAGGATAGAAACTGACCTTTTTAGAAAGAATCCTTTCGTTGTGAACTTGGCCAGGTCTGTACTAAGAAAATGTAGATTACGTCATAATCGTATCCTATCGTATCAGCTATAAACTGTCCACTGCTTAACATAGGCCTTCCCCTTATGGGGGGGATACATCATAGTATACTTATATAATATCTCTAGAACTACTAAACGGGGTAGGTATCTACACCAGCTAAACTTTGAATTACATTTTTAAGTTAGTTGAAATTGATGGTTTGACAATTTTCACAAATTGTCTATTTCAATAAAAAAAAAATCCTTGGTAAAATTGTGCTCACCATCATTTTGACATGAAAAAAAAAACCTAATGTACTTATGACTCAGATTACTGTCTTCAGGGATTTTATGAACAAGAAAGAAATAGGGGTAAATATTTACCCCGGTTTGTAGTTTACAGGTCAATAATGGGTTTATAGATCCAGGGTTAAACTTACTTGCTAAAGGCAATACTGCAACGGGGTGCGGTTCGAAGCAAATCAATTAGCTCGCGTTCGAACAGAGCAAGTATTGGTTCCAATGCCGGCGCAGTTCGGCCGCGGTCCCGCTCGCTAGATCGGGAACTGTCACCTGCAATATAAGATAAAAATAATATTAATTCATAAGAATATAAAAGAAAAAGGAATTGGAATAGGATATCACTGGAAGGAAAGATCCATTTTATATGTTATTGTTTCTAAGATAATCATATAAATTTATTTTTATTTACATCAGCTTACAGTGGGGGGGGGGGGGGGGAGATGAGAGCAGCTGCTCCCCTTTAATTTAAATTTGAAAAAAATACGCTATATGAAAATATACATTGTTGAATCATAACTATTGTGTGGAAGTTATATCTATATCAATTTGCAAGAAATATAGGAACTGATCATATGAGTAATGCTAATGAACAATTGTATATTATATATTTTTTTTATCTTTTTATAATCTGAATAGTCTTATTCAAGAAGTAATATTTACTATCTGAGTAGCTTTGTTTAAGATAAATAAAAGACAACAAAGTAAACATCATACATAATGTTATTCAACATAAAAATATAAGAAACTTAATTTTGAATATAAGGCGATGCTCACACAGGAATTAAACAATTTAAAAGAATACACAAATAGATATTTATGTACAATTTCAGACAGACAAATATATATACATTAATTCCTGCGTTTTTCAAAATGATACAAATTAAAACAATATATATTACTGTGTGTAGGTGGTGTATCGGTGCCATCTGTGCGCCAGGTGAGGTGGCGCGAAGGGCTGTCCTTGACTTCAAGGCCGGGCACGCTGCGCAGCAGCAGCTCCAGAGCCACTCCGTGCCGCACGTCCACCAGCAGCGGCGAGAACATCGCCTCGTAGCACTCCACGAAACTGTACAAAAACTTGCTTTATTATACAACTCCTTTGAAAACAAATTTTGCGTTTACAGATATACCTACCTACCAAGGGGAAAAGGGATTGTTAATAATGTAGAGTATCAGTTCCATTGCTAGCAATATACCCTGTCAGGTCGACATTCACGTGGTCCCCCTGAAATCAATCGTGTTGAATTCCAGATGACACGATGGGCTATCTGACCTGTTTTTTCATTCGCACCTATCATCCCTCACTGGTGCCCCGCTAGCATATACCGTTAGCGCAAGCGGGGTTATCATTCCAATATCATCCTTAAAAAACAACCTACCTACCATTTTATATTTTCCCAGAGCTTAACTGAATTATATAAATTTGTAATAGAACATACATAAAGACATAAAAGTTTGTTTCAAACTGTTCCAGACGAGAATTATTAACAATTACATTAATAGCTACACCTTGTAGTCATTTTGTACTTTTATATCTTGTTAATAAAATGTATAAAGTTGTAAACAAATATGTTGTCATAAATTTAAAACAGAAATTATTATTTTTTTTTTATTTTTCTACCATTTAATCCAAATCAATCAATCAAATAAATGATGCAATTATGAGATAACAGACAGAAAATAATATAACTAAATTGATAACCTCCTTTTTTAGAAGTCGGTAGATTATCGATGACTAGACAAATAAAAAAAAATTAAGTTAACATTTTTAAGTTCTTTCTTTTTTTTCATGATTTTAGCACCTATTTGGATTTTAGCATCAATTTCAGTCAAGAAGAATGGGCATGAAAATCAGCTATTGCTTTTTTCAAAAAATTTAAATAATGAATATTGAAAAAATTTAACATAAACTTAACTCACGTCAACAAAGGTAGAACACCTCCGTGATTCTCCAACAATAACTGCACGTTCTTCGCTAAGGCAGCTACCTCTATGTACACAGGCTGCAATATCCGACTCCCATCTTCATGACCCGTATTCATAGACGCATGAATGTGGCACTTCCATGGCGCCGCTTCCATCTCCGCACTAGACACTGGACTTAGATCTATTAACTGGACCATTCTTCCGAACCCTTCGTGTATTATGACAGTATCTTTAACCTTCGCGATATCAGAGGTAGTTAGGGCGCAGCAATGTCGACTTGCATATGCATCACGTAAGCGTAAAAGGGGTAGAGTATAATTCTTTTGATCTAATAAGATCGCGCGTAATCTAGCACGGAGCACATCTAGATTCGGTGCAGGAGACGGTCTTCCTAGGGACAGTTCGAGCCTGCGACCTGTCCAATTATTATCGAGACGTCGCTTGTGGATGCGAGCGATCGCCAACCGAGCGTCCCACTCGGAGCGAAGTACGACCGTCGCTAGAGGTCCTTCGCCGGCTGCCCAGATCATCACGCGAACAACTGGCACATATTGTTCAAAGAGAATTGTCAACATTTCCTGTAACAAAAGAAATCTTTGTGTCTAAGTTAGTCCATTGATATTACTTATGGATAGTTTGTGTATTGTATTCATTAAAAATAAAAAAATACTATTTGACTTATTATAAATCATATTTTGAAATTAAATTATGAAAATCAAATTTAGTATCATAAAATTAGGCTAAAAAAATTATTAGGCTATAGTGACCGTTTACCATCAGACGGGCTGTATACTTGTTTGCCTACTCGCGATAGAAAAAATAAAATAGAAAAAATAACACAATTTACGAATATACCAATGAAGATGCTAAGATACATTTTATTTAAAAGTATTTTAATTAATAATAATATCATTGAAACTCGATCTTAACACGTTCTATACTTAGCTATTGTATAGCAGAATATAAATAAGTACAGGCTAAAACTCGCCAAGAACAAACTCTTGTTCCGGTCTTAAAATTACTAATAATAATACAAAAAGTGTACAACAACCTGCAAAACGGGTGATTCAAACGGAGGCAGGTTGGAAACAGTAAGCTCAGCGTTATCACCGTCACCTTCACTCTGCTCGCTGAAGCTCGCCGAGGAATTCCAGGGCGACATCGCACGACTCTGGCTATGGTCGCGACGGCCCTCATCGCAACTATTACTAGACGAGCCACCTGATCGGTCCAAGTTCGCTGAAGCTGAACCTAAACATCAATACAAACATATTGTCACACTAGCGACCCCCACAAGGTTTTTTATTTGTTTAAATATAGCCCATGTTACTTGCTGACATTGTAGCTTTCTATAAATGAAAGACTTTTTAAAATCAGTTTAATATTTTACGAAATTATCCATTATAAACAAAAATCAAATCTTTTCTCTTTATAATATTAGTTTAGATTAACCAGAGGAAGGTTTGAAACTTGTCTGCTTGGGTTTGAATGTCTTAGTGTTTTGTTGAGCAGCTATGCTTTCATGGCTGTGTTTCGGTTTTCGGTCATGGCAGTGAAATTACAGGGTTTTTTATTTTATTTATTTATTTTTTATTACGGAAGGGTAACACTACTATCTTCAATAATGACGAAGCATGAAGGGTTGATACGCTATTCATGTCTATTGGTGATAGTTACCACTTTTCATGCAGTATTTCTCAATTCGGTTGCATTTTTTTTAATGTTTGTTACCTCATAACTCTATCAATTGTCAAACGATTTGATTTTTTTTTACCTGAAAGTATATACTTACAGATTGGTGTCATAAAAATTTCATCAAAATCGGTTCAGTAATTTAATTTTTAAATTAAAATAACTGGTTTTGCCATTATTGGACGACGGTTTGTTTTTTTTTTTAATGTGGAAATCAATTTAATTTTATAATACTTAGATTGGCAAATATCTAAGTATCATAAAAAATAGACATAACTGGACTTATATTGTGAAAGTCGTGATATCAAACTATACTACAATTTCATATAATTATGATAGCATAGTCTAAACGCACCTTAAATATTATGAAGTAAATAATAATATAATAATGTGTTACGAGGTTCCAAATACATACAGAAATGATAAGTGATGTCACTTATTTATTCCTTAACCATACAAGAAATTGCGTAACTAACATGAGTATCTTAGTGAACTGATTTAAATATGAAAGTAGAGCATGAATTGTTTAGGAGGAAATAAGAGGTTATTGCCATCTATATGAACACAGCTAAGTGGAGAAACAAAAAATGGGACTTATTCCCTTCCGAATTTTGTTTGTAATGTGAATAGATATCAGTGATACACTATAAACACTATTAGGAAATTTAATGAGATAATGTTGCCTTATACTGTCCCTTGTCATGTAATATTCTTGATTAATATTACATCACAAAGACATCAATTAACCAATAATTCTAACTAAACATCTCCCGATCATTATCTCATAGAAAAACTAGCCAATCAAAGATCACTAACCATGGGTGCCTCTAATTTTGCGCGGCTTAGGCGCTGGCGGCGGACAGAATTCGAGAGGCGGTGGTGTCGGTGCAGGCAACTGTTGCAGCGCCAACGCCCAATCATTTGCCACCGACTGCGTGTTTGACGGCAACTCACGTGGTGAATAACATTGCTAATATAAAAATAAAATTATTAACTCTCATCTATGTCTCATGACATGAGAGATTAAAGAGGTCGTCATAACAGAATTGAAGGTATCGGTACATTAGATAAAAAAAATCTATGAAGGTTAACCCTGAAATTCTACACTATTTGGCATTCTGGTTATTCCTACATTATGAGGCTGAGGCACTAAAATAACTATTATTTATTATAAAAAAAAAACCTTTTTTTATTATTATTACGACACTACAGATAGATTTATTTGATTTATTGTGAAGTACAAATGTTTGCCTTATAGTCTAATGCATACAAATTCATTGATGAGTAAGTACAAGTTATTGTACTTGACTATTTCAAAATTGTCAATTATTTACTACATTAACAATAAGAAAATCATAATAGTATGTTAAAAAATCAATTAATAAAAATAGTTTATAATTCAATGTATAAGTTACTTAATATTTTCGAGTTCTCCCAAAGAATAACAACATTTATCGGCCATATATATAAAAAAAATTGCAAGTCAGTCATTAATTCTAAATTTTAATGTTAGTGTCAAAGATTTATCCGACGCTCTAAATAAAAAAGTGTCTATTCTACACTCATGGGGTGTTACTTTGGCCTTTTGATTAATAAGTGTGTACACATAAGTGACTTAGCTGGTTTCTTTTATATAAGTAAACAAATCACAAACCTGATGCGGTGGTTGTACGAAAACAGCTCTAGGCGGCGGTTGACTAGGTGGAGCAGTAGCGTAGCCCTCGTCACTGGAATACGCAGATTGGAACACACCACGAGCATAACGTGTACTTATTTTGCGACCAAATACATCCTCGCCATCCATGCGTTTCAGTGCTCTATAAATGAAATTAATGTTTTCGTATCAGCAATAAACAAGTAGATTTTGTTCTACAAAAAAAAAAACATTAAATCGAGGCAAAATTAGTTATTTTGATTCAAAAACTACAGAAGTGATTTTGATAAAATTTCTATTCAATCTGAAAGTATATACTTTCAGAAAAAAAAATCTAAAATAGGTTTTTAAATGACAGAGTTTTGAGGTGACAAATATAAAAAAAATACAACCGAATTTGGAATATATTTTTTTTAAGTCGGATAAAAACTATGTATCGTAAAATAAATAATTCGTTTTCAGTATCCTAATTCTAAATTTAATCCAAATGCAATTAAACCAAAAGTAGTAAATTTTAAGAGAAATAAGGAGGTTTGGAGGTTTATGTTTAAAAATCGATAAATTAATTTCATTTAGGTAATTTACAAATGTTTATAGCTATAGGAGAATATACGTAATTACGTAGCTTTAACGATTTAACGGTCTAACGAATCAACATTAAATTTGGCGTACACGTAGTATCTGAGATGAATAATATTATGTAAATGCTTAGAAATAAATATAAAGATATCACAGGCAAGTTTAATGACCTCTCAAAAATATATAGTACCAGAACCTAGGCCGTCAACCTCTGTTATTCCAAGTTACATGTAACTTAGAATGGCAAACAAGCTAACGGTCCACCTGGTGGAAAGTGGTAACCGTCGCCTAAAGACATGAGCAGTACCATGGACATAACAGAGTATACTGTTTCGCCCATGATACCCCCCATGCGTTGCCATTACTGAGGACTCAGGTGTTATTCTTCTGTACCCAGTAAATTCACGCCATATCCCACTCTTCAAACCGAAACACAGCCATGCAAACACAACTGCTTCACGGTTGAAACACGAATGGGACAGAGGTACCCAAGCAATCGACTTTTGTACAAAAAAAAACTACAAAATATAGTTCTTATTTAATTCAATTCAAATCCAAGTAAAAATACGTAAACAAAACACTTTAATATTGACTAGATATTCCGTTAATACCTATTTTTATATGCACATAACAAATTAGTACCCACATATTTTAAAAACACAAGAACCGTTATCTGCGATGTAAATACGTTATTTTAGTTCTTCGAGAATATATAATTATTCTCTTATAATAACACAAGTATAAAATGAGTGTGTTGTCACGTAGTGTTTTTTATATTTGTTTCTAATTAAATTTCCTATTAAAATAAAAAGATAAAACATGACCACAATTTTTTTTTAAATTAACACACTTAATTATGTATATTTATTTAAAGAAAAAAAGATATATTATTGTGAGTTTAATAATCCGACCAGAAATAAACGTAAATTTGAATATGATTCATACCAAATTCATAGTGCCATAATTTTAATTTCCGACCAATACACCAGTGATAGTAAACACCTTTAACAAAGTTAATTAATTTTAAGACTGTTAATATATATATAATTGCCTTGACCCCTGCCACATTGTACTACAACATACTCGACGAAATAAATACGTATAAATCAATGTTACGTTCACCATAACGACAACAGCTGATCAAATCGATTTAAAAATACAGTCGTATATTGATAGAATTCCTTTTTTTTTTATTATACTTAGTAATATATGGTATATAGTGTGAATACCGATTACAACATGTAGATTTTTCTCTAATAACTCAGTTCGTGGTATAGAATAGTATTGATTAGATATACTCTAATTACCAGAAAAATATGCATTATATAAAAGTGAAATTAACGTGCTCGAATTTTTAAAAAAACCACTTGACCTACAAAGGTGAAATTTGACAGGTAAAATTCTATATGGGATGTAAAAGGAAATTTGGAAATTCTCGCATAAAAAAGTACAATAATTATAGAAATGAAAGGTTCAAAAGTTGTAATAAATTGTTAACTATGTAACAAATTTTATATCTAATAGTCGTATAGAAATTATATTATATGGAAATATAAAATTGTTTTACAATCGAGACCGTTATTTAAAAAAAAAAAAGATATATATTTTGCGATATATTAAATCAGATAATATTCAAAATCAACTGTGATTAATATAATAAATCACGCAATATAGTTCAATGATAACAAAAATAAATTACTTACCCAGAAAGTAACATTATAATATACCTAATATCACAGCAGTTACCATTAAATGGTTAAAATATTACGTGATGCAGTTTATATCGAAAATGAACTATACAACTTAAAAATCACTATACTTCTCGCTTGTCTGGTGATGCAATGAACATTCGAAATTTAACTGAATAGCCTTATGAAAAATCAATTTTGTATAGGGTAATTTAATAAAAGGAAATAACGGAATTGGGTGAATAATTGAAAAAAATGTGGGTACCGCCACTTTTACTTTGTTAAGTTCAGAAACGAACGAAAACTATGGAAATTATGAAATTATTTTGATAATAATATTATCTAATGACAATGTATTTTAAGTTTTAATTATTATATTAATCAACAATCTGAACAATTAAAACAATAATGAAAATTAAAAACTGCGTTTTTGCCATTAAGCTAAAATATCCCTGTCCATAGAGTAAGTAATCAGTATATCTATCACAAAAGACAAGATAGGGAATATCTGAGTTACCACACATAAAACGCAAAAAATAAAAAATAAAATACTACATAATGCGACCCGCTTTAGAAGATTGATGCTGAGGCTAACTCGGAATATAATCAACGTAAAAATAGTACACTTAATGTAAAGTTGTCTATTTCAAAATTTTTCTTACTTTTCACGTGTGGATACGCGTACAAAGTAACGGGCAAAACCTAGACGTCCGCATTTTTATGAATCGTAATTATTATAGGAATCGTACATTTTAATAGTTTCGTTATTTTAATAATTAATAGTGAAATTATTCATATTCTATAATGACAATCAATAGTATAAATGCTTTGCTATTATTGCTTTCTCTATTTTTTTTTATTAAAGAAAAACCAACACAAAATTTCATAATAAAAAAAGACAAAAAGCCAATTACATATTTTCACAAATAAAAACAAGATTTAATTAATGCACATGACATCGCTAATACTTACAATCAACTAAATTAAACTTTGAGTAACAACATTATAGTAGTACAAATAATATAGGTACGCAGTTATGCAAAATAAAAAGTTGAAATCACACGTTCAAAAATGAACTACTAAAGAACGACTGACTCAGCACACGTGTTGCGGATTATATCTTAGAAATAAATAAATCAGAAACGAGATCTCCAGATATTTTATTAAAATTATTGCTTGCACGCCAGATATGAATTTTTTCTATAGTTAGTGGAAACAAATGGAAGAAATAAGGTGGCATTTATTCTTAATGGTTCAGTTAGGACATGTAGAGAGAGTTGATATAGAAGATCGGGATAATCGATTGGATCATTGGTATCGATTAATCGAATAGATGTAGTTTCAAAGAAAAAAATTTACAATCTATTTCAGATTCTCAAGCATATATGTGACGTTATCTTCACTAATTTAGCACAGATTTTAACGATTCTTTCTTACCTAAATTTATTCCCGTATTAGCTCCACACGTGTCCCGTTTTTTGGAGAACAAAATTTTGAATTACATAATCACATAACATATAGCCTAATTTGCATCATTAGAGTGGAAAGGGAGTGTTAGTAATGAGATCTAACAACCCCAATGCTAGCAATATACCCTTACAGGTCGACCTCCACGCGGTTCCCCCTGGTAACAATTGTGGCTAATTATTGATGAATTCGTCACGACGGGCCAACGAACATATTTTCATTCTCACCTAACTATCATCTCTCATGGATGTCCCGCCAGCGTATACCGATAGCGCAGGCAGATGGCCACTTAATCTTCACCCATTAAAAAAACAAAAAATGTGTATCATTAAGATGATAAAACAAAATGTAAAGAAAGAATATCGTCATAATATACATTGTCAGTTTCGTTAAAATTTTACAATCAACACTTAATCTACTACAATAATTTTATTTGTTGTAAATATCAGTTCTTAGACATAAAAATCTTTCGATAACATGATAATAGTGAAAACATATGGCGTAAAGGCAGAATAAATAAAAAAAAATTACATGACTGCAAGAAAAATAATAAAAACTGCATATTGCAAAGTGACAACCACAAAAATAAAAAAAAAAGAACCATTTACCTTGAAGCGTGGTCAGGTGTTGGAAACCTTAGAACAGCTGTATTCGCTGTCACTCTCAAAACTTTCCCACCACAGTTGTCTGCTAATCTCCTTAGTCTACGAGACACTCTTTCGGGAGGTTGGTCTGAAGGCAGGTTAGCTACTTCCATCTCACAGGTGGGTTGCTCTTCATTTTCTTCTGTTTGGCTAATCTGATTCAAATTAATAAAGTATATATTAATAAACTACAAGATAAATAAACTCTATTTTACTAATATTATTAAAATGAAAATTTGTAAAAATGTTCTTTATTCAATCCTTCCAACTCTTAAATAGTGTACTAAATAGCACTATTTGTGGGAGACAACTAATATTTGTTATTTTAATACGTTAAAACAAATTATAGTTTTAGAATAAGCCCAAAAATAATTTTTCAATTCTATTTTCTATATGTTATATACTTAATTGAGATTTTAATAAATGGTATAAAAAAATTATATAAAAGTTACTACATTATATTACATAAACATGTTATAACAACAATTGTCAGTATATTTGTAATCAATGTAATGCATAGTTAATTAATTATCTTGAAATAACTTTACAATACTTCTTTATATCTTATCTTCTATGATACTATAGGTACTATAAATTGAAACTATTTCTCTTCCCATATTGGAACAAAAACGCTTACTCTAAACAAGTAGAATATGTGTCTTATTATAATATATTTATCAGTCTTTATTCAACTAGTAGATAAATATTAAAAATAGTATATTTAAGATACTGATTCCATACATTATTGTGTAGTAAAATATTAAATTGTTATAATATGTTAACAAATCAAACTAGTAAAAGTAAATTTAATAATACAAAATTAATATGATTAATTTTTTTTTATAAAGTATAAAATATTTATTTATTTATTACACCACTAAAAGAACAATAGAAATATATTTATATATTATGGTTTAAAAAAGGTGGTTTAATAAAACCACCTTTTTTAATAATTGTTTTAGCAATAGCTAAAACAATTTTTTCCAGACAATCTTTGTGTAAAAGAGAAAAGAAAAAGACGGCAGTCATTTGGCATTTTGACTAGTAAACATAAAAAGCATCCTATGTCATTTTCAATCGAAAATACTATATCTATACAAAATTACATAACAATTGGATAAGCCTTTAAAGTGACAAGATGTAGCAAACTTTCATATTTATAATATTACCAATCTTTATACACAACTTCATTGAAATGTCTCACATACAAGTTTATAATATTAATAAGGATAGTAGGAGGGAAAGGGATTGTTAGTAATGGAGACTGAGAATCCCATTGCTAGCAATATACCCAACCAGGTCGACCTCCTAGCGGTTCTCCCTGGAAACTATCATGGTTAATTCCTGATGAATTCCTCATGATGGTCTAACTGACCTGTTTCCATTCTCATCTATCACCATTCACTGGTGCTCCGCCAGCGTATCCCATTAGTGCAGGCGGGGTTACCATACCATTTTCACCAATTAAAAAAAAAAAATAAGGATAGTAAGAATTCACTGAATAATAATCACAAAATACCTTAGGGTTCCTTGGTAGGTGTGCTGTCAGTTCATTGAAATAATAATGAGAAGAGGCACACGCAATTAAGGCAGATGATGTGTTCTGTTTATGCACCAATATCACTTCCATGTTTTTCCTAATATACAAAATTATTTGTTAAGTACATTAAATCACTTAAAACCTATAAATCACGGAAAATAAGTATGCTGGCTTAATGAAATAAATTGTGTTTAGTAGACAATTGAATACTCCTTAAATTACGGTATTAAAACTTCTTAGTTACTACAAGGTTATGTCATAAAAAAATCAAATTTGAATAAGGGAAACTTTCGAAGATGGAAAAAATGCACCAGAATCCTTACAATCCTGGAAACTGGCCGGAACGATGCAGCTAGGACTGTTGGTGTGTCGCTGTCAATAGTACAAATAGTTCACCGACGTTACGAGGAAACTTGCTCTAACCTTGCTATAGACCAGGAATAGGCAGAACTAGGTGTACCACAGCACGAGAAGATCGATACTTGGTGAAGACCATGCTTTGTAATCACTTACTCACAGGAACTGTACTTACAAATCAGTTTTGATGCCTCGGAAGAAGTAACCCAAGCGCATGGACAGTAAGACAATGACTTGCTGAAGCTAACTTGAAATCACTTAGACCTGCAAATAGCCCTAAACTGGAGCGTAGTGTTTGTATTTCAAGACTAAGACATGACCAGAACTACTTAAATTGGACTATTGAAGATTGGTCAATAGTTATGTTCTCCAACGAATCAAAATTTATGCTCTACAAATACGATGAACGACACAGGGCGTATAGAAGACCAGGGGGAAGATTCAAGCAAGCACGCATAGAAGAAAAAGTAGCCTATGGTGATGTGTCTGAACATGTTGGGCCATTTATGGTCAATTTGGATGAGGGTGCTATTTTTAAGCATAATAATGCAGACCTCATATAGGTTTCATTGTCAATGACTACCTAGAAGAGATTAACATTACTTCTATGGAGTGGCCAACACACAGCCTGGATATCAACCCGAATGAGCATGCATGGCTTGAGCTAGGGAGATGCGTAAAACAATAGAACCCTCCCCCAATCACGCTTCGTGAGTTCAAGAAAATCATATTGTAATACAAAAATGTCATGTTTCCTTTTTTTTAATACCACTGAGGTGGCAAACAAGCATACGGCCCACCTGATGGTAAGCGGTTACCATAGCCTATGAATTCCTATTAATATTTTTTTTTTACGGCGAGATCAGCAGTTCTTTTTTTCTTTATGTAATTTTTAATAAAAAAAATATAGTGACTTATAAATTTTATTACTTTCATTTAAGGGGTATTATATTGTCTATTAAACACCATTTATTTTATTAAGCTAGCATTCTTAGTTTCCAAGATTTATAGGTTTCTTTAGGAGACCCTGCATTCATTTCTCTCCAGTGTACATTATGCATTTAATTGTGCAGAGATTTAAAAAATTTGATTGTATGAAATATGTAAATAAAAAATGAAAAAACTCTTAATCTTTACATAAAAATTGGGAGACAGGCTGAGAGACTGTGGGACTGTTATTTATTTAAGAATAAACAGCTGCCAATAAATAGTTTCAAAAAATAAAATAAATCATTAACATACCTATGTCTGAAATCACTCAAATCAGCTGCAAAGTTGATATCTCCAGAAATTAATAACAAAGCTGCTGGTGCTGAATGCAGCTCTCCAAACCTTCTCATACATTGTCTTAACTTCTCATCAGCTGCATTTTTTTGTGTCCCACAGACATGAATAAGGCTTACCTGTTAACAATTATTAACATAACTTACATTTTCTAAAAATACTGGAAAGTATAAAGTCATAATAATATATTTTAATAATTGTTCCCATTACATAAAACATGTATGTGTATTAGTTATGAAACTCATTACATATCATCATATAAACATTATTAAAATACATTGTTAATAAGTAATTTTAAATAATTTCTCCCTATGTTGCACATAACTGACCCATGAATTTAACTATGAAAATATTTTATAAAATTATTAGGTTTTATAAAACAGAATTTACAGGGCACATTTTGAAAAGTGATACCATTTAAGTATAAATTAACAATTACAATACTATATGAGAATCTTATAATTACATAATATTATCTATTATTTCATTCACATGACTCTTTATGTAATAATAAAGTTACTTACTTGGGCATCATTTAGTTCTTGTAACCTATTTGGTGCTTCCTTCCTCGCATCACATACAACCACAAAGTCAGCCTCTCGTCTACCAATCAAGAATTTATTTCTAATGGCTGCCACAACATCAATTGCTGAACATCCTCTTGGGACCTATAAAATATATTTAAAAAATATACCAAAAGATTTTAAACCTACATAAAAAAGGCTTTGTAACAAGCTTAAGAATAGTAAACTAATATGTGACTTGGTACTGTCTACTTCTTTTATAAGCAACACAAAATGAAGATAGGAAAATAATATAATAATTTGGTTAGATATTATCATGATATATATGATAGTTACCATCTTTTATACAACAATAAAAAACAATAAATTTCTAAGAGCTTCTACTGCATTAACTTGTTTTGTAATATTATAAAATCAAGCATTTCCCAGCAATTACTTGAGACCAAAAACATAAAATATAATAAAAAAAATTGAGTGTCTGCATTTTTGAACCATTATGAAAGAAGACAATAATGATTTACCTGGCAATTCTCAATGTCCCAAAATATGCCAATAGGCACACTAACTGATCTCTGTTTATGGTGACGATATCGAGACCTCACTCTTGATCGCTCTGCACTTAAAACTCCATCATCTCTTATACTCCCACTCATGTCATCTGTAGAATCATCTTCTACATCTAAAAACAAATTTTAAAGACAAAAAAGACTAATCTGCTATTCCAAAATGTGCAATGAAATAACCCTGTTATTTATTACTCATGTATATATTAACATAACAATTTTAGAAAAATATATTATATATAAAAATTGTAGTAAAGTAAAATAAACCAACCTGTAATCCATAAACGAGGAGGGAATGGTAAATTCATAACTGGACTACTGGTACTTGTAAGACCTTGAGCCGAATGACTTCTAGCTCCCTTGGTATTATTTGTACCAGAATTTTCAATATTTTTAGAAAGACTCATATTGCTTCTTATATAAAAACAAATGGGAATACACTATGTTTCAGCATATGTCGAAAAACAAAGAAAAATAATTTAAGAATAAGTAGCCACTGCAGTATCAACACGCACAAAAAAAAACAGTAGAACTTAAGCTATACATAAAATACTTCAATCTTTGCAGATTTGCATCAAAATAAAACTATATACAAAATGTAAAATTAAATCAATCAACACTTTCTACGCCATTTCCAACACACACACACTACAGAGAGAATATGGTATGGACACATATTATAAGATTGATCCTGTGTGACCATATTTGAAATAGAATTAACCCTGTTCAGCAATTTTTAAAATCACTAACATCACTAAAGTAGATATGTCCGTTGAAACTAACGTAGCATAGATTAATTATAATAGCTGACATTTTTCCCCTTATGAAAATAAATAATTTTTATTAATATTATTTAATATTTAATTATTAACTGTAATAGTAAATAAAATAAAAAAAATATTTTAATTGGTGCATTAGTAACTGGCAGTATTGTCAGATTGGATATTTTTTTCGCAATTTTGGATAAAAAGTTTTCAAATTGCGAAGTTTTGAAGAATTATTTGGAAAAAAGAATCTTGAAGAAATTTTTCGAGAAAAGAAACGAAAAGAGAAATTTCAGTACTTTTTTGACAGTTTTGGTATTTGTAATTTGGTATATAAATACAATAAAATATATAAATAAAGACGACAAAAATGGAATAAAAGAAGTAGAGAAGGTAAAAGGTAAACAGGTAAAATAAGTTAACAGTGGATCAAAAATTTTTTTGTTGTTCACTTTGTTGCAAATAAAAAACGTAGTGAAAGACAATGCAAGTTGGGTACAAGTCCTTTAAAATCATATCGTTAGAAGAAAAATTACTTGGTGTTTGGTTAACAATCAAAATTCATATCTGGCAACCTTTGTTACAAGTGTCACATCAAATGAGCTTGCATTTACTATTTGTAATAAACGAATTACAATTATCCATTGAAATTTATTAAATCAGGTGTTTAATGTAATTGTTTTTTTATATGTAAATTAATATTTTTTTATTTAATATTCATAATAGTGATGTGAATTTTGCATTTTTTTTATTTCGCTATTCATAATCAAAGTTTTTTAATCACTTTACAGATTAGCGACCCATTTACGAAATCATCCCTTCAAAAATGACTACAAATGGTGATATTGGCGGTCTCGATGCCAGTGGTAAAATTATAAAAATGGAAGTGAGTATCTACAAGTAGTATTAGAATGTGAAATATAAAAGTTATAGCGATTAGGTTAGAATAATATACGGTTCCTTGACAAATTATTTCAAACAATGCCTATGTACTTAATATTTTAAATTAATATATTTCTTTTAGGTGGACTACAGCGCAACATGTGATGAGAAAATACCACTTTGGAAATCATGGGCTTCCAAAGGAAAAGTTCAGGACGCTATAGATCAATTGTTGGCCCTCGAGAAACAAACAAGAACTGTAATTATTTTTTATTGGCTATCCATAATATACCTTACATTAAATTATAAAATCAATTAGTCATACTAGTTGAAGAAGGTTTCTACCTGGTTGTCTTGCATTAAAATATCTATGGCAATACTTGGGGGAAGTAACTTTTAAAATTGACAGCCTCTTTGTTTACCATATACAGTGAACACTCTATATAAGCATCTCATTTGAACCAATTTCAATAAAAAAGCTTCTTATTGGGAAAATTTGCTTATGGAAAAAAAGGAGTATAAAAATACTTAAACTAAAATAATAACTATGGTGTGTAGAATAAATAAATTCATTTTTATTTTGCAAAACAAACATTATTATTATCATATAAGCATTTTTATTAACGATATTTAAAAAAAATTAAACAATAAAATTTTTATAAATCTTTGGTTTAGTATTGCCAAAATAAACGAAAACAATTACATATATTTATTTATAATAGTTTTTCTCTTATTCTCTGTAACAAAAGAAGCTCGTTGCAGGGTAAGTCATTTTCTTTTGTCCATTCTATCACCAAATTGCCCATTCTTACAATTTTCAATGTCCTGTAGCATATTATTGGCCATCATAATACACCTTTTATATTACTGGCCATTTTATAATTTTATATTGATTTTCTATTGTCTTATGTTTTACAATTCTGTCATTGATAGTCCTATATGCTTTCCTACTGGTGAAGATGAGAAAACTACAATATCAAGCATTTTTATTATCAACCTGTTTATCTTAAGTCCTTTAAAATAGATAGTTTATCCTTTAATGAAATTTAACATCTTTTTTTCTTCTGATACATATTTTATGGTTGAATTTAAAGCACAAAAATATTAATTATTTAAATTAACAGAAACTAACAGAATTCAAGTAACTATTTTATTTAACAGGAATTTACTTCAATACTGGCAGCACAAAACACAAACATATTCCAATAACAGATTTTTTTTAAATTTGAAGTTATGTTGTTGTAAACAGCTGATTTTACTTATGAATTGGCCTTAAATATTTAGCTTTAAAAAAAAAAAAAACAAGTTGCTTATACAGAACAGTTGAACTAAAAAAAGTTCCTTGTATAGAGGTTGCTTAAAAAAAATGTTGCTTATAGAGAGGTTGCTTATATAAAGCATTCACTGTATAACATTCATCATTGTATGAAAAAAATCCTATAATTCTGTTACCATTTTGTATGCTAAAAAAAATATTTTTAATATTATTATCTTTAGGGTGCTGATATGGCTTCAACTGCAAGAATTCTAGTTACAATAGTACAGATTTGTTTTGAAGCCAAGAATTGGTCTGCTCTAAATGATCATATTGTTCTTCTTTCAAAAAGAAGGTGAGTAATTAAAGCAGTACAGTACTCTTTAATTTACATCTGATACACAGATAAAACAATGTCAAAACGTTTATGTTTTTTTTTTACTTTGCCACATTATTCCAATATTTTTATATATTATTGATTATTTTAGGTCACAACTAAAACAGGCAGTTGTTAAAATGGTACAAGAATGTTATAGTTACGTTGATAAAACTCCAGATAAAGAGACTAAAATAAAACTTATTGAAACATTAAGATCCATAACCGAAGGCAAGATTTATGTTGAGGTTGAACGTGCCAGACTAACACATATTTTAGCAAAGATACGTGAGGAAGAGGGAAATGTAACTGAGGCTGCAAAGATCATTCAAGAATTACAAGTAGAAACATATGGGTCAATGGACAAACGTGAAAAAGTTGAGCTTATCTTGGAACAAATGAGATTGTGTCTGGCCATCAAAGACTACATTCGTACACAGATAATATCTAAAAAGATTAACACAAAATTTTTTGAGGAAGAAAACACTCAAGTAATTATTTTACTTATAATCTATTAGTTTACTTAAAGAACTGAACTCCTTTCTTTTTTCTCCTTATCTTAGAACAATAATGTATATGTGTATTTGCCAAATCTTATTGAAGTATAAAAGAAACTTAAAAATTAAACTGATTGACAAGTTCATAATCCATAATATACAACAAGTGCAAATAATTTTTTGAAAGTTTTAAAGTTTCATTCATTGGGATGTCTGTAATCTCTGATGTAAGAGGTATTACATTAGCTCTAGGTTATAAGTGAGGTCCCATGGATAATATAAGCATAATCTTGTTAATTAACTATTTGACTTTGGAATATATTACTGATCTATATCAATAATCAATTATATGTTTCAGGAACTAAAAGAAAAATTTTATCGTCTAATGATAGCAGTTGATCAACATAATGGACAATACCTTGCTGTGTGCCGACACTTCCGGGCCTTAGGGCCTGCAGGTGGCGCTGATGCGCTTATTGGCAGCGTCGTATTCCTTATATTGGCTCCATACGACAATGAACAGGCAGACCTCACACACAGGCTTAATGAGGAAAAGGATTTAGACAAACTGCCAGAGTATAAGTAGGTTTTTTTTTATCAGCTGTTAACTGTCCACTGTTGAACATAGTCTCCCCCATAAAGGGGGTTTTGCTAATAGTTGCCACACTTGGCAGGTGGATTGGTAACTGCAGTTTAGATTTTTGGTGATGTTTTAAGAGGAATGCTGCTGCCCATTTCTCAACCATAAGCTACCTTAGTTACTTCTTGTGACACCCATGGGAAAGGGGTGGCCTATTCTATGCCGGGACCTACACGGCTCAAGTAGGTTACTACTTACTTACTGTAATAAAGTATACAATTTTTTTACAAAATCCATTTCCTAATTTCTATTACTAAAAGGAGTTTCCCTTTGGTATGGTTGGTGTAGAAAAGTCATTTACATGATTGTAACACTATCTCACTATGTCTCACTATTTTTTTGCCATGCAATAGCTGTGCTTGTGCAATTATATTTCAGCATGAAGAGTGAGGCATTATAGTGATAGTACAGTAAGTGTAACACCATCCTTAAGAATTACAATATATGAGAGGTTCATTGTATTTTGTAATATGCATTGTGCTGTTTATGTTTATAGACTACAGTTACTACTTTTCATCAGGATTGTCAACTTGTCAGTGAATCTGTATTTGCATGTTGGATAAAAAATATTCAAATTTATATAACTAGTCTAGCCATAAATACTGTTACATAAAAACTTTTCTTGTTTTCAACTTTTTAATTATTTTGAATTTGGAACATGTTTATTATTTTAAAAACTTCTTTCGATTTTGCGCCATTTCACATATTTTTTCGTGTTCATTATCAAATTACAATATGGAATGGGATGTTAAAAAAAATAGGATTGCAGTGATCACCTTGCACAAAATGGATACGGAGCCATCGGTCATATTTCAGGCACTTAAAAGCTTGGCATCAGCCGTATGTTCGTATATTGTATTATCAACAGATAACTTCTTCTGTCGAAGGCCAGAACAGATCGGGGCGGCCGCGTGCTGTTTTTTTTTTTTTAAAAGAAACTTTATTTTCTGTCGTTAATTTTTATACAACTTTTTTGCTATTTTAGTTTTGCTATTGAAGGTCTACTTAGAACTAGAACTACAAAGGCTGTTAAAGCTAGAATTCGTCGAAACTCCATTAGGAAGTAAAAAATCTTATCGCGAGAAATGAAGATTCCCGCTAGGACTCTGTCGCGTATTATAAAACAAGACTTGAAGTTCGGTGCTTATGGTCGATATACAGGACCTGCCCTAAATAATTTTTTACAATTAAAGATAGCGGATCGATCAAAACACTTTCAGTCGCGATATGCAGGTGAAAGGTACAGCAATATCCTCTTTACTGACGAAAAAGATTTCACAATTGAAGAACACTACAATAAATAAAATAATAAAGTGTACGCTTACAGTTCTAAAGAAGCTGCTCAAGTGGTCGGAAAGGTATAACGTGATCATCATCCTTCATCAATGATGGTTTGGTAAGGCGTGTTTTATCAAGGAGTCACAAAACTGCATTTTTGTGAAAAAGGAGTGAAAACTTCAGCCAAAGTGTGTCAAGATACAATCTTAGATCGTGTAGTGAAACTTCTCAGCAATACACTTTTTAAAAATATACAGTGAACTTTCTAGCAGGACTTTGCACCTGGTTACAAGGCACCAACTATCCAAGCCTGGCTTGAAACCAACGTTCCAAACTTTATAAGAGCTAAAGACTGGCCCTTATCTAGCCCAGATAGATTTAGAGGACATGGCCTGTTCTAAACGACACGACGACATTCTCTTAAAAAATCTTTGGAGCAAGCAGTGGCGAAATTTGTCTTGGAAACAGTGCGTTAATCCATAGATATAAAAGACAGAGGTGCCCATTTCGAATATTATATTTTTTTTATTTTTTGCTGAGACTAATAAATATGTAGGTATAAATTTTAGTAATATTACATTACTTCATAAAAAAAAAATCATTTTCATTTGTAACAGAATTTTGGCTGAACTAGGTATATGTTGTTCTTTTTTCTTTCATTCATTTGAATTGTTATATGTATGAGTCGTGGTTAGTACAGCCAGCCGAGCTCCGCCCAGAAGTTTCCTGGACTCTTCACAGGTGTTATGGAGCGAGTTCACTGTACCGAGGATTTCTATAATAATTTATATATATGTTTATAGACAACTCCTGGGCTTGTTCATCAATCCTGAAATCATAAGATGGAACACCTTATGTTCAACATATGAGAAGACGCTACGAGTTACTCCATACTTTGATTCTACTGATGAAAAAGGACAAGAGCGCTGGAATGATTTAAAGAATAGAGTTGTTGAACATGTAAGTTATATAAAATTGCTATATTTGTATGTATTTTTTTATAGAACTTTTTACTGTTGACAAAAATAATTTTAATGCATTAACAACTGAATCGTACTTGACCGTATCATTTTAACACAATAATATTTTATTGTAAACACAAATATAGGTATGAAGTAAATGTAGGTAATATTTGGAACATTTATTACTTTCTATGCCCATGACATCATCCGCATAACGTAATTATCAAGACAATTAATCAACAGTTTTTTTTTTATTATTTAACAGTTCAATCGAATTGTTAAAGCGCCAAGCAGTTATAAATTAACATAGTTTCTATGAAATCCCACTAATAATCCACGTCATATCCACTTTTTATTCTCGTTTTATTTTTTACATTATTATTTTATTTCCGTAGAACATCCGCATCATGTCAATGTACTACACCCGTATTACGCTAAAACGTATGAGCGAGTTGCTGGGACTTAGTGAAACAGAGACAGAAGAGGCTCTAAGTCAGCTCGTAGTTAGCGGAGTAGTACGCGCAAAAATCGACCGTCCTGCAGGAGTCGTCCACTTTAGGTAAGTTTTACAACTTGTATAATCATATCTACTTTGTATTTTGATACAGAGTTCAGGGTAATATTGTTACTGGGTGTATATATAATTCTAAGGAAAAAATAATAATTCAAAAAGAAAAAGAACTCCATCCTGTTTAAAATTACCACTTTCCATCAGGTGGGCCGTCAGCTTGTTTGCCATTCTAAGTTGATTAAAAAAAAATTTAAACAATAATAATTGTAAGGTGAAAGACATCAATGAAACAAAAATATTTATATACTATAAAAAATATTATTAAACAGTTCATTAATGTCCACTTGGACAGTAAATAGCTGACCCAAATTATTACTAAGATAATTTGTTTAATTGCCCTAAATCGAGAATCAAAATTGGTATCCCATTTACCATGTGACAGTCACTGTATCTTTAAAAAGGTGAAATTAAATTTTTGATAATTAAAAGGGTCCCAACCTGTTAGTGTTTTTTTTTTTTTTTTTTTTTAATTGAATTTGATTATATAAAATGTTAATTTTATTGCAGCCTGAATATGGATGCATCCGACCGTCTGAATGAGTGGTCAAATAATTTGAACACTTTGATGCAGCTTGTGAATAAAACCACGCATCTTATCAATAAAGAAGAGTGTGTACATAAACATCTTATGGCTACTGCGGAATGATTTAAAGAATAATGTCATATTATTTATAATACAGAAATATATTCATTTCTCAAATCTTGTGTTTAATTGGCGTACCTTTAGTATAATGTACTATTCAATTTTAATGAACAAATAATTTCTAATTGTGTATAAAATCACGTGTAGTTAAATGAAGACCGATAAGAATTATTATTCGACGTTTGTGTTTATTCTCGTAAAATGATTAATTATCATGTGATTGTGTTGCATTTGATATAATTTTTTATGCACATATCGCGTTCGTGATATTGGCGCATATTTCTTATCTAAGCGTTACTATCTATAATTTTAGTACAGTACATAGCAGTGTGTTACAAATATTTTTATCTCACGTACAAACGTGAAAGTATAAATTATTCCATGAATTGGTACTGGCATCCTAAACAACAATAAGGAACTCAAAAGAGCTAAGCATTTCAAATATTATTATATAGGACCTTTATAGATCTAATTAAGAGGCTAAATTATATAAATTTGTGACGTGGTCGTGTTCAGGCGAAGGAATTTCCTAAGAGAATACTGGGGGGAAATACATACTCATACAATTATTTTTGAAATGAAGTATTATAATATTTTGATACTTTAGTTACTTAGGTCTTAAATTTATTCATAATCCTGGTAAAATTCCTATTTATCACTATAATCTTTGAAGACTTATAGTAATATTATTATATAAGTAATAAAAAACAATAATTATCAATTTATGGCAGTATTACCTATCAAAGAACAAGAATTATTGCCTTTATATAACATAACATACTCGTAAAATAGATATGCAATGCGGAAGCCATGGATTCGGATACCAAGAACTTTATTGACCTGACATATAGACTTTTTTTTATATACAAGTTAGAATGGCAAACAAGCTGACAGCCCACCTGATGGAAAGTGGTAACCGTCGCCTATAGACATGAGCAGTACCATGGACATAACAGAGTATACTGTTTCGCCCATGATACCCCCCATGCGTTGCCACTCCTGAGGACTTAGATGTTATTCCTCTGTACCCAGTAAATTCACGCCATATCCTACCCTTCAAACCGAAACACAGCTATGCAAACACAACTGCTTCACGGTTGAAACACGAATGGGACAGAGGTACCCAAGCAATCGACTTTTGTACAAAGTCTCCATCTGGTGAGACATTACAGTTTTAATATTTTTAGGATTTAATGCTTCTATTTCAGATAAATACTTACTTGTAATAAAGATTGTATATTGTAGCAAAGATAGTATTCGTATCATATCGTATCAGCTATTAATTTTCGGCAGCATCTCACAATACTATTGTTGTTTTAAGAAGGACACTGCTGCCTATCCGTCCACCATTAAGTTCTCTTAGTAACTTTTTACGATACCCACGGGAAATTAAGGGTTAGCCCATTCTATGCCGGGACTGCACGGCATAAAGCTAAAGATACCAAGTACCTAATACATTACTTGGTATTTTTATTGCTGTTGTTTCGACTTGGATTGGTCCACGTTTTGCCACAGCTGAACTGTTGAGCCCTACTTTCTGCGATTGTGAATTTTTAGCTCCTGCCTTAACATTTAAAGACTGACGTTATTGTGTACAGAAAACTAAAATTGAATAAGATATCTGTATCAATATTTAATATTTTGGTTATGGTCATAGTTACTTGACGTATTTGTGGTATTGTGATAGATACATTGCTGAGTTTAATAGTGGTACTGAGTTGGTTTTTCTTACGGAAAATCTGAGAAATTAGGAAACGGATTTAATTTTTATTTTCATAATTTCACTTATTCCTGAAGATTCCGGATTAAACGTCTATTTTTCTCTTAACACAGGGTAATCAAGTATGAAGAGCAGATATTTGACGTCATTGTATGGCATTTGTTTAAATATAAGTTTATATATTTGTGTGTGTAATTAAAAATAATAATTCGTATCCAAAGCATGTAAACAGCATCATTTCAACACGCTCACGTTGTCGTCTGCAATATACTATTTCTGTGTAAGTAATACCTAATTATTTATGGTATCGATAAAGAATCGGTTACTACGAGTTCCCGATAAGATACTCATTATTACTCCATTAGTACCTAATTATAACCGGTCACTGAAAATATAACTCTAGATTTATATCCAAGTAAATTAGTGTTATCACTAACTCGCGAGTCCTGTGTTCGGTTAAATTGTTATTTAAAATGATAATATTAATTATATCGGCATTAATTCCAGCATTATTGTTGCTGGTTGTCTTTAGATTTGCGAATAAGAGACGGAAGCCGGCGATTTTTGGAGTGTATCAATTACAAAATAAAAATTACTACTTCAAATTTGTTTTAGTGTATATATTTTTAAGAATAAGGCAGGTATGTATACGCTAAAAGATAAGATATACCCGTATATCTGTGACCGGTTAAGGATATATAATGTCATGGTTATACCTAACTTACGCTTGATAAGGAGGGAAGGGATTGTTAGTAATGGAAGCCAATAGCTCATTTGCTAACAATATATCTTAACATCTCCACGCGAAACCATCATGGTTAATTCTTGATGAATTCGTCACGATGGGCCAACTGATTTGCTTACATCTGCACCTATAATCTCTCACTGGTGCCCCGCTACCGTATTCCGATAGGGCAGGCGAGGTTACCATTTCATTTTCACCCATTAAAATAAAACACGCTTGATTTCCTGATTTCCCAGTGGTAACTACCTTATTAATAATATTATTTTAATTATTTGTAACTACCCAAATTCTTGTGTGATATCTCAGCCTAGAAAATTGAACACCTTTTCGATCGACTTTAAAAGGAGATTCTCAATTCAGGAGTAAATTTGTTTTTGTTCGTTACTTCATAACTCCGTCAATCATAAACTGATTACTTAGAAAGGATACGAGTATAATTACAGACTGGTCCAATGGAAATATGGTCAAAATTTGGTCAGTAGTTTAGTTTTAAAATAAAAATAACTGGTTTTGCCACAACTGAAATAATTTATTTTTTGCTAAACACGACCATAAATTGTTATAATAACTAAGATATGAACACCTATTCATGTATGTATAGCACATAAATATTCGATATAATCTTAATTTTTCTAGAGGTACCTCTACTTACCAAGGTACCTCTAACCTCTTTGATTAGATCGTTTTCAAAATATCTAATTATATTAAAAAAAGCAGCGATTTTTAATTATAGAACCATATTATTTATTACTTTTTTTTACATTATTTTAGCTCGTTAGTCACTTAAAGCGATTATTGGAAATAGAATTGGGTCGCAGTGCGGACGGAATTGTGCACGTTCAACGACAAGATGCAGTTTTGGAACAAAAGTATTATCTTAATGATCATGCACTGGTAAGATCGTTGCGATAATTAGGTAGATTATTTTTGTAATTACCCCCCAAGGGTGATCCTCGACACTATTAACATATTATTTAATTAATCATATCCTTATGGCAATCTATGGGGGAGACCTGTGTTCAGCAGTGGACAGATAACGGCCGATATGATGATCCAATGGGTGGTAAATATGCTTGTATGTATAACATTTTGTTTAAATGAAATACATATCAATAACTTATTTATTTACGTAGAGTGTGATATCTACTCATTTAAAAAAGTAATACAAATTTACCACTAGCATTGAATTTTGAAAATTTAAACCTATTTAGGGTTAATGTTTAAATAAAATGAATATTTGTTTACGGTTTGTCCTTTATACATTAATTATAAGATTGTATTAAAAAACAGAGTACCTACTAATAGATGAGTCAATAGTATCAATCATCATTGGTGAAGATCAGAATCAGATCAATCAGAATTGGTGAAGATGTCGCGTAACGTACGCAAAAATGATGAATATAGACCTTAGTTACTTAAAATGGTTTCATAGTCGGTCGAATAACAACAGCTTGGATATTAGGCCTCGTTCATATTTTTTTCTAATGGAAATTAGAACCCGACTCGCTTCCATTATCTTCACACTGTATAATATTTTGTAACGTTTACAGTACCTCTCATACGTTGCCATTTCTGTGGATTAAGGTGTTACAGTTCCGTAATTTCACTGTCATATCTCATTCTTGAGGTGAACACATAGCTATACAAGAGCAGCTGGTTTAGCAACAGAAGCACGAGTGGGATAGATATACCCATACAGATGACTTACTTCTACAAAGACCCTCTGAATAAAAGTATGTTACCTAAATATTTCTTGTTCGTAGGCAGTGGACGCAATTTATTTCAATGGAATGTCAAAAGAAGGAGACGCAATTATATGTGGGGTAGCGCGAAGACCTGGAAATGTTTGTGATGCATTTTTATATCTGAAGGTAATGAGATTATCAATCATACATTTTCTAATAGTTAACCAGATGGAAAGTGATATGATACGATAACAAATTCAAAATATCAGTTAGCTAAAATATACGCCTGTTTTTGTGAAACATGTGTTGTGCGGTTTACTTATCTATTGTGTAAATTTTCACTGACTCATCAGCGCCGGCAGGTTGGCATTGTTAAAGAAATATTGACGTATTTAATGAGGTATTGATTTATAATACAGATAAAAGGAGAAGAACTATTATTGTCACCAAATCTACCAGATACATATCTGAAGCAAAAAACTATTGAGGAAGGGGAGTACAGTGTAGAGGGTATAGAACTGAAAAATTTTGTTCCTATGAGAACTTGGGAGCTGAAATTTAATGGAGAAATGAAGTAAGTATCTAGATAATATTGGAATGTTAGGTCAATGTTATACCTATTTTATTAATGTGAAAGCTTTAAAAAAGTTTACATGATTGTTACTCTGTCGTAGTTACATTTCATTTAATTAATTTAAAACAAAGTCAAAGGTAGGTCTTTGATTTCCTATATCTTTTTGAGTGACTTTTATATATATATATATATATATATATATATATATATATATATATATATATATATATATATATATATATATATATATATATATATATATATATATATATATATATATATATATATATATATATATATATATATATATATATATATATATATATATATATATATATATATATATACACATATATACATATATATATATATATATATATATATCCAACAAAAGCAAAATGGAAAGAAGCATCATACATAACTAATCTTGTTGACTTTAAAAAAAAATATTAATATTTTCAGACCTAGAAATGAAACAGAAAAAAGAGCAGACGTACAAATGACCCTTACATGGAGTGCACAATGGGCACCTTTTAACTATGATAAGCAAATATCACCACGGTGCTTAGCTAGCAGCATGGCTAGGGAGCCGTGGTCACGAGACTATTTTAATTTGCTAAAAAGGTATGTTTTCTTAAAATTTTATTTGCCTTATCTACATACTTCGACTAGGTATTTAATTTTTTTTAAATAGATAATATAATAATATATATACGATAAATAATAATAATAGTCTCTAGTGACTATTGCTAACCATCCTTATCTTTTACTTAATAAATTTATTGACAGAAAATGTAGATGTACATGGAGGATAAGTATATTAAATATTGATCGAGTCAATTGTGACCCTATTTATTAGTATAATAATATGAACAGCATTAAGTAAATTATTGTGATTGGTTCAATTCCTTTTATGAAAAATATTCCATCTAATAAAGAAATCTTTCCTTTGAATAAAATTTATTTACGTTCAGCATACAATAATATACTTTATGTGTATAAAATTGGAATCTTTTTAGGTTACATCAAACTCATTACGAGCAAATGGGTTCCATTAAAGGCACTGTATCAATAAATGGAAATGAACATATTTTGGACGTGCCTTGTGTTAGAGACCACACTTTCGGTAATTATTCCACTTTATGAGTTTGAATAAGTTTTTAGTCGACTTTAGGCAGGAATAAAGCTGTAATATATTGTTACCATCCTAGAATGACATATCACTTTATCTAATATGCTAGAATTAAAGCAAGCTAACAAATTCTGTTGTCCTGTCCTCTTCTGAAAATGAAGTTTTACACATTGCATTTTGTTACACCATTGTATCTTACTTCCTGCTGTCATTACAAAAGCGAAAATTCCAAATATTAAATAAATATCTATTATTATATTTGCACAAATATATATGTGTATACATATTTATAAATCCTGAAATCTATATAAACGTGAAAGAGTAACATCATCCATTCGGATATTAGTTACCCGCATACTACTGAAAGAATTTGAATGAATTTTAGCATACGGATAACGTTGTATCCTTAATTAACATATAAGATACTTCATATACTGATTTAAAAGGAAAGAAAGATTTTTATTCAAGTAAACTGTGATTTTAACATTTTTTAATAGTCATTTACTAGCTTTTACTTGCGAGTTCGTCCGTGATACCGGGTTATATTAACTGACCGGATTAAAAAGTAGTCTACGTCCTTCTCCATGTCATATAGGACGCGTACACCAAATTTCATAGTGATTAGTAAAGCCATTAAGGCGCTATAAGATAACAACCAAACTCACCTTCACATTTATAATATTAAGTATTCATGAAGTCGCGGGATATAGCAACATAGTAAATAATAATTTAATTTGTCAATCTTTAATAAGCACAATATTACTTACAGGTCGATTCCGAGATTGGCGTACATTCCACCGATATGTATATCATTTTATATTCCTTGAAAATGGTGATTGTGCTGCTGTCGGTAACGTGTGTCAACCAGCAGTTTTATCTAAGTAAGTTTATATTGTGATTAACACAATCTTTGACCCCGTAATTTGAAATTGCTCTTATCTTAATTATTGTATAAATTAAGTGAGAATAATCCATGTAACATATGGTGACGGAACGATTTATTTTTATGTTATGCAGCCAATTAGTGGGATGGCACTGGAGTGTGGTGATGAATATGAATATCCAATGAAATAACGAGTATTAATATTTATATATTATAATTCAAGTTTGCATATTCAAATACATAAATTTGCATTTGAATTATTTATGAGACAAAAAATCTGGAATCACAGGAGTTATATTTACTGAATATTCTACTAAAGATAGTCTATAAATTGTTTAAAAATAGACTTACCCCTCAGATTTTAAAATAAATTCTAAATTTCTTTTTTTTTTTTAATTTAGCATGTATTAATTATTTTAGCTTAACGATTGGTTACTACTGTCGTCAATCCGACCAGAAAGTATTTCCAATAGATTCGTGCGACTTTCAATTGTATCAACACGGAGAGGATCAGATCCTGCCAAAAGATTATGGATTTGTTTTCGAAGCTGGTATGCCCTATATTTATTTATGTTTAGAATAACATATACCTAGTAATAATTACGTGCGATGCTTAGTCCAGTGAAGGCAATATCACATGCGCTCTGGAATCTTTAAACAATGAGATATCAGAGATCAGACATGCTTTATCTTTTTCACTCCTGCGTGCAATGCCAAAAAAATATTTATAAATAGCATACTCTTTATCTAAGCTTCTAAATATTTTTTTTTTTAACTTTCTTCCAAAGGTTGGGAATTATTTGCCGTACGTGTGAAAGTCGATGACGAAGAAACCTTTTATATCGGCAAAGATAGGGAGGCAAAGTTCTACGAGCGCTGGTCTACTGTTGAAGTGAACGGTGTTAAGGGCTGGGCCTGTGTTGAATGGCAATACAACAACGTACAAGCAAAAAATGTAACTAAAAATGTAGAGTAAATGTTGGTGTTCGAAAAATGCACTGTAACTATTGAATACCCATTAAATATGTCAAGTATACATATTTAATTGTGTAAATTATGTTATTAGGCATAGTATTGCTCCTAATTGGCTAAAATATTGTATTTAGTTTTTATAGAAATCGATTTTCTTATAAAAATACTTTTCAAGAAACAGTTCATATAGTCATTTGGATTGCAAATATCACGCGATAAAAGGCAGTAAAGCTCGCCATTATTATCACTAATGTTCACGAAATTCAATTTCGTCTCCACAATACATGTTTAACAGGTAAATAATACACAAATATAGCGAGGAAAGTTAATAATATTTAGCGTAACAATTCATGTAACTTAACTATTAACTTATAAGTACTACACAGACTAGCAAATAAATTATACTTTTATATTTTTATAAAGAATACAATTTGCTTTAAACAATATGTCTTTTCTTTGGTATTTAATATAAATTAATTTTTATTTTAATAAGCTATATCTCATAGAATAGCCATTTTGTAAAAGAAAGAAAAAATAATGAAATTTCACATTTTCATTGTCCAAAGTTGATTCACTCTAGTTATTCCAAAAATATAGTAGTAACTAAGTTCTTATTCTAGAGTACCAACTATATTATAATGGAAAAAATTGAAATGAAAAATTATTCACAATCTACAATCCAGTTTCTAATGAACAAATCCCTGCCAAGCTGTGTTGGCAGGTATAACTATAAAACAATCAAGAATAAATTAAAAATCTAGTGAGTCTGGACTTTCGCATGTTGCCATAATTATTGAGAATTTAATTAATGAGTTCTGCTTACTACTAGATATTTAATCAACAATATCAACTAGATAAAGATAGTTAAAAATACCAAAAAAAAAAAACAGATAACATCTCATCTCAGAGTTCTTATTTTTAATAGTTAATCCCTTTTTTATTGGCATCTAAAATTCAAGTTTATTGTATTAAAACCACTAATTTATTAGACACTTTTGTATTTAATATTCGGTTAGTAATTTTGTGTGTGCGAAGAAGTGTTGGTTTCGAAATTGGATTTGTAGTGAGTGATACTTTATTCATCATTAACCCGCGTTAAGTGTCTGAAGAATTAAAATTGTACTACTTTGATATCGTTTTCCTTGTTTTATAACCAAATTCCAATATAGTTCAGCTTCGAAATTATATGAAGAATTTCATGATCAATTCAGTTCGTGAGGCTTCATCTAGTTGATATTATTGATCGATGTTTCTTACTTCCACCCCGTCCCGTTCTAACCCAGGTATCGCCAACCCGACAAATGTGCAAAGCGACAAAATTAGTTTACTGCGAATTAGCATTGTAATACATTATAAAGAGCGATTCCGATATAAGTAATAAATAAATAGGATTTCACAAAAAAAAATGGGACAAAACAAAGTTATTGTTTTCAAAACTAAACTACAAAAATTTTTATGGAATCAATCTGTAAGTAAATCCTTTCAGATAAAAAAAGAATGTTCCAAATCAACTGATTTGGACACCTAACGATGAAGGTAAGAAATATAAAAAAAAAAATACAACCGAATAAAAAAAAAATAAAAAAAGAAGAAAAATGCAACCTTTTCCTTTTTGAAGTCGGTTAAAAATTGATGTTGTACAGAAGTTGACAATAAAGTGCATAAACATAATAACACATTATTTTATTGTTGACTAGGTGACTCTCATAATTAACAATAAAGTGAATATCAAGGGAATTATTTATATTACAATTATAAGCCAATCGAATGTACATTCGAAACACATGAATAATGCCATATTATGAAACGAATACCATCAGAGACTATAAAAGTTGGTACTTTTATTTTCACGTTTAGGTACACAATTATTTAATAGTTACAATGTATGGAAGACAGATTTATTACTTCATAATCATGAAAAATATTCCGTTTCTGGTCTATTTATTTTTATATTAGGGCCAAGTAACTTATTAAGTATAAATAAATTTATTAAATCTTAAATATAGTTGCATATTTATGAGTTTATTTAAATGGCAATTGACAGTAGCTGCTTGGGCAGGTAAGTAATAGATATTTGATAGATCATGATCAAGTGACATCTGGCGGGGATTTCATTAGTGTTATTTAAAAAAATGTTACAAAGTATATAATCGCCGCTACTAATTTACTAATATAGTGGCATTTACAGATTTTGTCGGCCCGTAATTTAGGACATAACTACAATTATTTTTTAATTATAATTAAACATTAATCTACATGACTGGAACTGTTAATGGTGGTACACTATTAAAAGATGTATTTTTGTTTTATCAACAATATAATATTAAAGGAACTTTATTCCAATTTGGTGATATAAAAATATATGTAATGGTAACCCTGTCAGAAAGTCACTCGTCATAATTGCTATAAGTATTCTACAAATTGACTTCTACTCGAACATTTGCCAAATTATCTTTAAATTCACACATTTATTTTCATTACGTAAGATAAATAACATGACACCAATTTAAGATATATACGACTTTACATAAAACACACTATAAATTGGACTAGATACCGAATGATGAATAGATTATTATTCCAAATCCTTTGAATTTGACGCTCATCTGACAAAAATGTACGCTTCTGTAGTATTCATCATTTGATGTCTATCTCGACCCTAAATTATATTCTGAAAAAATAGATCGGATAGCTTTTTTATTTTTATATAATTTTAAATTTAGAATTTTGCTACATCTACGTATCTACCGTAGGTATTTAAGTTATTGATCTATACTAGTTCCATTTAGAAATATATCAACAAGTGTATTCTGATTGATCGATAAAATTAGTCGACAGTCGATGACCAATCAGAATATAAGTTTCAAATCAACATTACAACATATTTACTCTCTACGAGAAAGAGTCAAGACATAATAGTCAAAATTGTGAAACACAGTTTTATGTAAATTCTAGCTTGTTACAAGAATGGCAGTTTCTTATAATGGTGTTTAAATAGACGGCTTAGAAGACTTGGACCGCTACAATATCTTAGTAGCCGAAATCAAAGCTAAAACTCAAGGCTTGTAAATCTAAATATATACGACAATAACATATAAATGAATGAACTTGTATACATTTTTAATTGATTATCCAGTCCCTTGGTAATTGATATTATTTAATACATTTTGAACCCAACAATAACAATACATATTGCATTAACAGTGTTAATGTCTTAATGTATTCTAAGATACATAATGTAACATAATTAATGTCCTGATTTATTATTATTATAAAAATATATTAATGAAACAATGCTTGTACTCATTGTAACAAGTGAATTTGCAGATAAATTCATTTTAAATAATACAATAATTATTGTTCTGTATGATTAAAAAGGCAATAAAAGGCGTTAGGTGGTAGACATATCGTCATAGTCGTAGAATACTGACGGATCTTTATATGTAATCTTTGTCAGATCCGTCAGTATTCTGCCGTATAAAAAATGTACACCTTAGAGGTGGTATTTTTACTGGTAGGTGTGGCCACCTAATATAAGGCGAAGACTCAAAAACAACTCATGAAAGTTGTCATTTTGTTGACGACCAATCCTCATATAATAATACCAGTATAAATAACACCTATGATCTCTTTGCACTTCTTATGACAATAAATCAGGACCTGTCTATAGGGTTGCCAGTTGTTTATTTTAAGGAATATTTATAGATCTGCCCAACTGAATATATCTGTTCTAGAAATAAAATGTGTCAACATAAAATAAATATTTTAAATTAAGAACTTTGGTATGTATACATAACTCCGTTATTTATAAAAAACGGCAAACCTCTTTTCCTCTATTGAATTGTTTTGTGTTTATCTTTCGCGCTTAATATTAAATTTAAAAGAAAATGTTAAAATACGTTTGTATTTTGTAGGTTTTAGTTTTTATGAAGGGTAACACTAAAATTATATAATAGGTGAAGCCCCCAATTCATAGATCGCAACAAGTACCCTTAGCATTTATATATTTATTAATATATAAATGCTAAGGGTATATGCTAAGGGTATATATATATTCTGTCTTTAATATAAAAAAAATAAACATTAATACTTCGTAAAATAATAAATCTAACATAATTTTAGGACAGTAAAAAAACAAACAATATATATATGAATCGTCAGTTTCGATGCTGCTTTATTTCTACGTAGAAATAAATTTTAGTATTATTGCATTAGACAACCCTATTCATATGGAATGAACAAACAATGTCAATCACAGCACTTGAATCAATTGGAAATGTTTTAAACATTTCAAGACGGTTGATTTAACACAGTATTAAGGCAGGAAATATTCAATTAAGTAATGTTTTATAAACCATAATTTATTAGTATATAATTATATATAGAATATAAAGCTCGCTTTTGCTACAACGGCTTTAGCCATCACATCCATTACTATTACTACGACATCGTTTCTCAAACTTTATACCATGTTCATAGACAAAAGAAAAGTATATATCTTTGCGCTTATTATTATCGTGATGAATAATTCTGTTTGATATGCTTCATATATATCCTTATTTAAACATATTTTTATAAATAAAATATACGGTAGCTTGCCCTTAAAGATTGAGAAACAATGTTTAATACATAACTACAAAACACTCAGTATTGTAAAAATATCATAAATATGAAAAAATAAATGTTTAATTATACAGAACATAACATAATGAAAAAAGGGCCTTGTAACTTTTAGTTACTGTAATATTGCATTGCAATATTAAAAAACTTAAAGTAATTTGTTTTTGCAGTAAAATTAGTAAGCAATAATGAAATTAAATTTCTATAAAAATAATACTAACCACATCAAACAACCTATATAATACTTTAATTACTACATAATACCAAATGTATGTCACAACATTTCTTCTGACTTTTAATATTAGGACTTCCATTGTTTATTGACTAGATTTGTCTTTTGTGTAAATAAAATTAGATTCTAAAATAATAAATAATCGTATGTAATTAAATTGTAGTATTTTTAATATTAACATTTTGTGATATATTATAATTGTGACAGTATCATATATCACTATTATTAAGTATATGATCACTATTCATTGCACTTGCTATAAACTTACATATACTGACTCGGTATCGTAAAATAAATTAAAAAAAAAAAAATAAACAAAACATTCATAAGTGTAAACAAAGTATTAAAATATCAATAAATACATTTAACTTTGGTATAATTTTTATTAAATACTAACAATCCAGTATGATTTTCACACAAACTTCATTCTCGTATACTTCATATGCAACATGCCAGTTGTTTAAAGCAAAATAATACATTGAAGTATATGTTTTGGTGTTTTTCAAATTAGGACCATTCCAATTTTAGTGCAAATGTAAGTCTGCATTTGCGCAACGTTTTAAACTCCACAGATTAACATTAAATAAAATTAGTATCAGTTCCATATATAAAATGTTAAAAAAATCTTGTACAAATGTTATCAAGTACTCAATGCTTTGCCTAACAAACTGCTTAGAAAATGGTCTATTGACAATCTTAATTTTATTAAACTAAATGCTATTATATTGTGTATATTTATATGAATTTTAAAGTTTATTTGAATATCAGTGTCTGCCTTTGACCATCAATACCACTAGATGTTCAATAAGTGTCAAGAGCAGCTGAGCGAATATCATCTCCATAATAGCATGCATTCGTAATTCAAAATTAGTTTCTTTTGATACAAACAAAACTGCACTTTACTGTATGCTAGTAAAGTTCAGTTATAAAAAACCATAGTTTTAGATCGTTTTTCTTTTCAATATTGATGGCCATATCTGAGGTCAGTTTTGGTTTATAGTGTAGTGTTGTCTAGTAGTATTAAAGATCGAAGGTTACTGACCGAATTGTAGGATTGGGTTCAGTAGAATACCTGTTGAATTATTGGAGAGTGCATACAGCAGAAGTACCGGGCGCGTGGTCGAGGAGGGCGCGGCGCCGTTTGATCCCTTCGAGATACACCTCTCGGTTGAACAGACCTGCTGCCAATGGAACCCTAAAAATTAAAAGTGACTAATATAGTAAAATAGTATTATACTAAAGTAAAAGTAATAAGTAAAATATTAATTATATTTATACATATGAAATAATTTAATTTGAACTTTATTAACAAAAGAGTCACCAGTCAATTAAGTCCATAGGCTACAGTGACTGTTTATCATCAAACAGGCGTGTTTGCCACTTTCGTAGTATAAAAAAACACTTGAAAACAAATTGCAAAATAAACTTTCAAACAGTACGGAAATTTATTTACTTATGTCCAAGTTCATATGAATTCATTCATACACTCCATAAAGTATGTAAATACATTTATTTATTATACTCGAATAATATGAATTTATATTATGACTGGCTTTTACCTACGATTTCGTTCGCGTGACTGAGATAAAAAATAGCTTATATCCTTTTCCATCCCATATAGTATGTGTATACCAAATTTCACAGTAAAAGGATGAACAATGGTACCTGTTTTATAATAAAGTAGTATATAGCATAGTTTCTTATCAGTATTGTTTGTATTGCTTACTTTTATATATTGAATTTATGAGTACTTCATATTGCAATATTGTTATTTATTTATTAGCAAAAACACGTTTTTCACGACAAATAAATAATACAGATAAAGATATATAAATGAAAATTTACATATTTACGCTTTGATTAAAATTTTCAACAAATATTCCATAATCTGAATTAAAAATCAACCGTAAAATGTTCCATGGCCTCATAACTCAAACTACCATATTACTATTAAACTCATTATATTTTACAAATGATACGTACACATCAGTGCCCGGCCGTAGCGCTGCAGAGAACAGTCCCCAGACAGGCTTATGGTCGCTGGTGCACACAGATTGCACTGAGTTATAAGCCAAACACTTCAGACCGGATGCCACTGGCACGCTACTGAAGCGACGCAAGCCTAACAATAATGATATTCGTATAAAAATAAATTTGTTGTATTTAAATTATATGATAAAAAATTTTCAAACAGACTACAAGACGAAAAGTATGGAAGAACAGTACTTTATCCTTAACAACATTTAAAGTGAGTGCTTTTATAATTTATATGCTAATAGAATAGTAAGATATATACAATTCATGAATTCCCTTCTAATTTTTATCATCATAATTATCACGTCATTGCAGTGCAATGCTTATTCCAAAGCACAATTCTAATAATACTAATAATAGTATAAAATAAATACATATAAATAGTACTTTACATTGTGTTTTCATTTTTACACACACAAAAATATTGAAAGAAGTAAATAATTAAATATGCATATAGATTAATATTTTTAATTACCCGAAAAAGCGGAAGTTGAGTTCCCCGTCATCGATCTAGCTTTATACAGTATTCTGTCTGTATAAGCCGGCGCTCTCTGTTTGCTCGAAGTATCAAATTGCTGACTTCCTGGATCATACTGCGGATTAAAAAAAATTAAGGATATAGATATTATATTTTAGATTAATATATAAGAATTTTGTGTTATGTTAATTTACGATAATAGCCAAAACTGTTCGATTTATTTTAATGAAATTTAAATGTGTATTATTTCCTCCCACTTAAGAGATAGGATAGTTTTTATGGTGATAAGATAAAATCCATTTTATGTTATTTTATGTTCCAACGTATAGAAGGCAATAGGAGACAAAAGAACGTTTGCCCAATCAACTATAATACCTCTGTCATTAATGTGAAATATGTATCAACAGATCTAAACAAAATCTATTTATATACATTTTTTAAATAGAGTCGCAAACAAACTGACGGCCTACCTGATGGGAAGTGGTAACCGTCACCTATAGACATGAGCAGTACCATGGACATAACAGAGTATACTGTTTCGTCCATGATACCCCCATGCGTTGCCATTCCTGAGGACTCAGGTGTTATTCCTCTGTATCTTGTAATTTCACTGCTATATCCCACCTTTCAAACAGAAACACAACCATACAAACACAACTGCTTCACAGTAGAAACTCTAATGGGACAGAGGTGCCCAAGCAAACGACTTTTGTACAGTCTCCCTCTGATATACTTATACATACTTTTAACATAAGTAAAATATAGTTTGTAATACAATATCTATACATATCAAAGTGTAACTAGATCACAGATATTAAAGAACTTGGGGCTGTGACAATTTAGTACCTGGGTCAACTCAGGATATTTTTACATTGTAAAATATTCTTTTCTGATGGAAAAATTAAAAAAAATTGAATGAAATGCGAACGTAGTCGCAAGTACAGTTGGTTAGTAATATCTTAAGAAAATTTATTATAGTCTCGTCATTGTTTGTTATCGTGACCAATAATAAAAATCTCTCGCTCGATATACGCGTTTTCCGCTATTAAACTATGACGTCACATTAGATATTTGTTTCTTAGTCATTGACTAGGTACGTGATAACCTTGAAAAATTATATCAATATAAAAGGTGGATCCTTCTATCAACTAAAACATTCAAACATCTTTATTAACTTTCATATTTATAATATTACATATACATTATAACGTAAATAAAGAATACTCATTCATTCATTTATTACTGGAATTAATATAAGATTTGGATTCCTAATATTACTAGAATAGTAACTTTCTGGATATTTGTTGTGACTTCACACGTTCCTTAACATATCACAAGCATTGGGATCCTTGATGTCGACATCTCTAGTGACGTTCAGTTTCGTAGCCATCTCGAAGATAAGGTGAGGTTGGCATCGAAAAAAACTCGATGTGCTTAATAAAGTGAAGCAATACTTCACGTCGGATCGAACGATTATTGCTCTACAAATCGCAAATACTAGTGGTGTCGAACCCTTAAGTCTTAGGAGAGATTTTGCCTCACTTTGCTTGTTCTATGGTATTGTAGGCTTCATAGGCTACAGTAACCGCTTGCTATCAGGTGGGCCGTACGCTTGTTTGCCATCTCAATCGTATAAAAAAAATTATTCGCGTGATATTTATTCTGTTAATAAACTAGTCAAGTCATTTTAGATCCTAAGTATATTCAATTTACCTTATAAGTTGGTGGGAAGGTAATTGGAGCTTCTCGAAAGTCTCTAAATGCAGCGCCATCTTCTAGCACTGCCGTTAATTGGTCCGCGTGAAGGAGACCATGCGGTAAATATGGCGGGAGTGGGAACTGTCAAATTAGAAATAGTTTATTAATTAAATAATATTTAAATGATCTTGTAACGTAGTGGATTTACTGACTTTTTAAGTAACATTAAGATGGTTGCAGGTTCGATCCCTGCACAATACAAACAATTATCTATTTACATTGTTCTGGGTGTTTAATTTAAAGTAAAATAATCAAGCAGCATTGTAGGTCTATTGTGCAGGTAGGTAAACTATGTAACATTATATTAATAAAAAAAATTGTAGTTTATACAATCTACAATTGGATACTGACTTCTACAATTATAGTGATGTAAATGACCTCTCGGATTTGATCCTCGGTGATGTCTAATATTCGTATATTGACAATACAGAGAATCGAACCATCCTATTATCTGTCGTATTATGCTATAATGCTTAAAATAATATAATCTTTTTACTGTAGGTATAACTATTTGGTGTTCAAAAAACTAACTTCAGTTTGCTCGATCCAGCGCAACACAGCTGCCCTTGGTTCACCCAATCTGAAATTTAGGTCCCCACACCAGAATACGTAGTCAAAGTTGCTCGTAACGTCTGGAATGAATATATTTAAGTTTTAGCAGTCCGGGGGAAAGCAATTGTTTGTAATGGGGGTTCTAATAGCCCATTGCTAGCAATACATCTAATCAGATCGACCTCCACGCGGTTCTTCTTAGAAACCGAGTTGGTTAATTCTTGTGGATTTGGTCACGATGGGTTAACTGGCTTGCTTTCATCCTCACCTATTATCCTTTGGCGTCCGCATATATCGATAGCACAAGCGGGGTTATTGTTCTGTTATCATCCATAAAAAAAGAAGTGTGTCCTGAATGATTACAGGGCAATTCGGGAAACATTGCTATGTTTAAACGTGTCATGTATCTTGTTATACCTTCATTCGTATTTATTATGCTGTCGTATACATTATCTCGTGTTTTACTAAGCGACCCGCCCGGGTTTCGCGCAGACAGTTATGTAGAAAGATAGATAAAATACAGCCTATGTCAACTCCCTAGTAATGTAGCTTTTTATAGGTAATTTTTTTTCATTGATTGTGGTATATAGAGTCTAATAAAGTTAACAAGTATCTATAATATTTCAAAAACAGAGACCAAACAAAACATAGGCACTATGGTACAGTCATAATTTTAAAACATTGTATGCTAAGGCCTATTTGTGACAAGACAATGTTAGAATTATGACGGAGATTAACTGGTTTGCTTAAACTGCTTCTGTTTGTAGACCATGATAAAAAAGACAACCTTATTAAGATAGGCCATCATAGCATTGTTGTAAATTAACAAAAAATCCATAAAATAATTTTAAGCACTAGAATAATATATAATTATTTTTATAGCTTTGTGTTTATCATCAGACATCCAGAACGTAGGGTTCAATTTTACAGCTAGCCCAGATTTTTTTGTCAACATGTTTCATACCAAAAGTATCAAGTTGAAATTTATTTACTCTAATTAATAATAATAAACTTTAATATTTATTTAAATTAATAAATATCTTAATCACAACAATCCTTTGAAGCGATTTATAATAATGGTGATTCATTTATCAACAAAATATATATTTATATTTTCTTAAAAGTTTGTTAAAACATTTTAAATTAATTTCTATCATATTTTTTGCCAACTAAGAAAATTTGCTGATAAAATCATGCTGTATAAACACAGTGAGTGTAAAAAATTACCTTTACTTCTGTGTCTACAAGGTAAATTCTTCGGAAGGTCAATGGATCTTATTATCCTTTTGATATCGGATACTCGTTCTTTCACTTTCTCTTGATGCGCAGTCAAATGTGCCGTGACAAATAAAAATGAAGAGCCGAATAGTGCAAATGAAATGGCGACAGCGCCTTTTGTGCGGAAAGCGGTGCCAGGTCGCACAGAAAGACTGGCATCTTCAGGTAATGAGCAGAACCAAATAAGGTCTCGGCGTATAAAAATTGTTAGGTGGATTGTACCTGCAAGAATAATGTAAATTAAAACTGGAAATAATCCGCCAAAAAATCTGTTCATTTTCTATTAGGCAAATTGCTATATTAATCTCTAAAGTATGTAGGTTCTCATCATACTAATATATAAATTTTGTATATCTAATTAATTATAAATAATTGAAAATAATCTTATTAAAATAACAACCTGTGCTTTATACATATATCAAGTTCTAACATTACCAATCATAAGAGTATCAAGAAACATGAATATTACTAAAAATTTGTACTATATATTTCTTTTTTTAATTACAAAATTTCCCAACTTTAATAATAGATTAATAAGAATATTATGTATATATTATGTTTATTTAATGTTATCTCATTTAACTCTTAAATGGTTAAGCTAAACTCTCTTAATTAGAAATTTAAAATGTACAAGCCCTACATATAATGACAATTGATAAAAGACATACCAAGGTAATATGAATGCAGCAATAAATGAGAAGGTCCCAATACTTCCTGTATTGTGATTTCCCACTCTGTCCTTTCAGAATATGATTCTTGTGTGCCAATAGCAAATATATCGGGTACATGTTTCACTTGGTTCGGAAATATAAAATCTGCTAACTCCCTGATGGCAATACGACAAAGAATTTAAACATAATCTGATTTAATAATAATGTTTCTACTTAGTAAATTTCTTTAACATGTACAATTTTATCATTAAAATAATTTTTGAATTTTTCTTATTAAATGAAACAAGTGACCAGGTAGGTAAAATGAGGAATCTTTTTTTTACCACCCTTTGCTCTTCTTAGATATAGTTGATCTGTTTCTTATGTACTATTATTTCAGAATTATAAATATAAAAATACAATTAAAGAATCATAAAAAAACGTACATAATGATGAAAACTACTTAATAAATTTTTTTATGTTAATGAATATATTTAATTAAAAATTTTAATTCGATTTTTAATTAAATATATTTAATGATTTTTTCAAAATATAGATAATACCAATAAAATAAAATATAATAAATTTACCTTGGAGGAGCTTGTCCATTCATATTCCATGTTCCCACAAATATTCTAACTTCTCGGTCTGGAAAAACATGTTCCAATTCTGCTGCTCCTAACAAAGAATGGGAAGCCAGTCTACCATAGAGATAATTTCTAAAAAAAAAATTAATAAGTATATTATTTACAGTATTAATATGCATGAAAACAGTGAAGCACATAAGTATAAGATACATTTAATTTCATATTTTACTTGAAAATATTTCTCAAGTACTAATGATAAAAAATATTTTTACCTCTCTCGTGCTTCCTGTGTTGGTATGAGGCGTAATACTTGTGCAGCCAACAAAGAGTTTCGTGCCAAGCTATCAGTACTTCCAGCTCGAGAAGTTGATCTTGTGATTGTAGATTTAGTTCTATTATTGAAATAGTAAGAAATACATATTAAGCACAGATAAATGCATTTGTGAGTTGCAAAAAGCTGATTATTTAGTTACAGAACTGACATTACAACTAAGTATTATATTAAGATTTAGTTACTACATTACTACATTTAAAAAAAAAGCATTTTAGATTATTTTGTTTTTGTAAATATTGCATTTATTAGATGTATTGTTTACAAAATTGACAGTATTTATTTTATACCTACCTATATCAATGACAGTGACAACAATGAAATTCATACCATTATCAAGATTGATAAGATTATTAGTTTAGACAGATTAGAAATATAATTCTTTATTTAATGCAGATTTTTTGTATTTCAATTATTAAGAGAGAATGTAACTGTGACATTAGACAAGTATTCTAATTCAGACATTTTTGTAAATAAAAACCTAGTTTCCATGATCATTCCAATTTATTTAGTATAAAATTTTATGTCTGAAAATCTTACCTTCTTTTACGGTCTAGAGAACTGCTTCTATCACTTTCAGGAGATGATGAACGATAAAAAGGTTTTGTTTCATTAGATATTAAATGATCAGCTGAAAGTCTTTTAACAAACAACTTATTTTTTGGTTTGATGCCTTCAAATGAACCAGAATGCTCAAAATATTTTTTTGGATCATCACCTTTCGGAAATTTTACTGTTACTTTAGGTATTTCCTCAGATTTCGATTGTGTACAAGACATTGTCTGATCACTTAAACTGTTACTAGAATTATTCACTGGACTGCATGGTTTTGAATGTGATTCTTCTTTAGAGGGTTGACCTTCAATAAGACTTCTAGGGCGAGATCTTCGAAAAAAGGTACGACAGCATTTAGGATTGTTTTCGTCTTCATTTTGAGTATGACATGACTTCTGACTTGAACTATTGCCAACTGGTTCCACGACTGGATTCCGCTGGGAATCCGTATGTTCAGCACTTGAATCTGCACTATAAGCACTGTGAGCTAAAAAAGGATCTGCTGGAGAAATTGGTCGTGATGAAGGCTGATTAAATTCGTCGTTTGAATCTGTATCAACGTAACAGCCTACTTTTGGTGATTTCTTAACGAACAGCCTTTTCCGCAATGACAACTTTTGCTTGGTTCTGACGGGGGATGTTGTCATGGTTAATTTTGAATTATAAGACCCTATAATTTATGTTATTAATTACATTTTTATTAAATAGTGTTAACATAACCTACTACGTCTCAAAATGACACTTTACATTACGGAAACTGTCAAATCAAATCACTTTTTTATTGAATTATCTCACTTTAAACGCACGTGCTTCGTATCATTCTGCCCAAGTAAGTTTAATATTTTATCTTATTTCAACACAGGTTTTGTAGATACACGTCTAATCTTCTCATGATATAGGTATAAATATGCTATGGGAAAATGTTGCTCCGTAAATACCGTATCGCATCATAAAATGTTTGTTTTATGCACCAACAGTGTAACTATGACGACTTCCAATAATTATTAAATGACATCAAAAACAAATCATAATAGAATTCCTTCTAAAAATAAATTCGCTATTATATTGTTAAACATGTTAATCTTTATTCTCCTTTTTGTATGCAATATAACAAACATTCCTATTCGCCTGCTTAAATATCAGTGTCTTTATTATCAGGATCAGCTAGGTACCTAACTTCTTTATAATGAAGTACATGTATATGAATAATTCAATTATTATAAAAAGTTAATTATTGTTCACCACTCTTGAGATCATATATTAAGATATTATCTATGATCTATGTATATAGGGTCTTGTGTTAAAAATCGCAATAAAGTTTCAGTAGTTAGTAGGTACCAACGTATCCAGGTATGAGTACTTAGATATTTTATAAATATAAGGTGCTTAAGTGAAATTTTTGGAAAGATTTTATTATTATATTAATTTATTAATTATATACAAGCATAGTAGCACATAAAGTCATAATATATGTAACTAATGTTATCTTATGTTTTGTCGCATTTCCACGTCCGATGCCTGGAATTAGCAGATTCGTTCCAGTGTATTCCGGTGTAGGGGATAGGCCACCACCAACGACGGACTGGACTCCATCGCCTTCGGAAAAAAAAAAACATTAAAATTTACTGTAAGCACTTATTATATTATAGACAATCAATTAGGTATAATTGAGGAAGGTTCCGCTATTGTTTCTTCGTTTAAACACCAAGCGATTTACTAGTATGATTTTGTAGTGATTTATAATATGTTTTTACCTACTAGCTTTTTACCTGCTACTTGGTACGCATGAATTTTAGACGTAAGAAAACGAATGAAATAACCATTTCTAGATGGGGTAACATTATAAACTCTAAGAATAAAACATATACCAGATTTTAGTTTTCTTCAGGAGTCTGTGTATATAAATGTTCTAACATTCATATAACTTTAATTGTGTCTAGACAGACAGACAAAATTTTGAAAAAATATTGTTTTGGCATCTATTGGTCTCATTAAAACTCGTAATCTTAATTTTTCTTGAATATCTCAAATGTATAAACTGTCTAATTTTATTATATTAGTAAGACTGAAGATTAAGTATTTTATTTTCACAGTAGGTACATATTTCACATACTTATTTGTTTTGTTTTTTTAGCCTTATTTTCACACAACAAAGGTACAGTACAGCTTATGAATATGAACGTCTGCAACACTAGGGGTGTCACGTGCGCATTTACAACCCTTTTGAAGAGGGGGGAAAGGGATTGTTAGCAATGGTGTTTGACAACCTCAATTTTTCAATTGTTAGCAATATGCCCTATTAGGTCGACCTCCACGTGGTTCCCCCTGGAAACCATAATGAACAATTCTTATTGAATTCGTCACGATGGGCTAACTTACCTGCTTCATCCTCACCTATCACCCTTCACTGGTGCCACTCCGTATATACCGATAGCGCGGGTGGGGTTACCATTCCATTATCACCCATTAAAAACCTTTTAGAAGAGGGGGGAAGGAATTGTTAGTAATGCGGACTATTAGTCCCATTGCTAGCAATACACCGTCAGGTTGACCTCCACGCGGTTCTTCCTCGAAACCATCGTGGTTAATTGTAGTGGAATTTGTCACGATGGGCTAACTGACCTGCCTTTTCATTCTTACTTATCACCCTTCACTGGTGCCCCGCCAGTGTATACCGTTGACGCAGGTGGGGTAACTAATATATTATCATCAATTATATAAAAAAAAAACTCTTTTGAAGATACATACTTCTCTATAAAAAATGTCGGACGAAAAACTCATTCTACAGCCTGAATGTTTGTGAAAAGAAACTTCAGAGACTGAACTGTACGCGACTGTTTGGTTGTATAATGTGAGAACAAATTACTGTAGGCATAATTTTGAACAATTACACAAAATAAAATCTATTAATCTAATCTATACTAGAAGTAGAACACAACTTCATTATTCTAAAAAAGGAATACTTACCAATATTGCACAAATCTTGGGTGCATGCTCTATAGTAAGTTCGAAAAGTGGAGTCAACGATATCGTGATTAAGATAATCTGGTGCTGCTTCACAAGTTCGTATGAAACTTGCCACTACTCCAGAAGGATCCTAAAAACAAGATCAACTTATAGGTATAATGCTGAACAATATGTTTCACGTGTCAATAAAAGGTAAAATAATAAAAGGTAATACTAGTAGTATTGTAGTTTTAATAAATGGAGACCTGCAACAATTATACAACATAGTTAAACACGTAAGGGTCGATTAAATACTGTAAGCTTAATTATTGATAATTTTTAATGGTCCTGAAACACAAAACCTTTTTTTTGTGTCTTAAAATGTAGAAAAAAAGAAAAAGAAAATCTGGGTGAAAGCTTTTGCATTTAAGGTTCTTCCGATCACAAAATAAAATGAGGCTATCATGATAGTACCTAAAGCCGTAATCAGTTTGACAGCGCCATTGCTGGCGGTATGCCCTATCGGGTCGACCTCCACGTGGTTCCCCCTGGAAACCATCGTGAACAATTCTTTTTGAATTCGTCACGATGGACTAATTGATCCGCTTCATCCTCATCTATCATCCTTCACTGGTGCCCCGCCGGTGTATACCGATAGCGCGGGTGGGGTTACTATTTCATTATCACCAATAATAAAAGCCATAATCACATTACATAAACCTACACATAAAAAATATAGTTAGGCGATTCGGAACATTATCCTTATTAAAGCCTTTTTTAAATTAAAAAAAATTAATGCTATCCAATGATAATGTCATCCAATTTTTACCATTTAATTGGCAAAAATCACACTTACTACATACTCCTGTCTGAAGATCGTACAAAATGTACTGGTACATTCCACTGTCGGCGTGTCATCCGTTATGGTTAAACAAGACTGATCAGATTCCGTTGACGAAAAACTGCACGCATAACATCGAAACTGACCTGAAAATGTTCAGTTTTTATATGCATTATTGAATGGTAAACTAACGGCCTGCCTAATGGAAAGTAATAATGGTTGCATATAGGCATAAACAGCACTAGTTTGGCACACTGTTCAAATAGAGTTATAGCTATCTATCTAAGGCAATGATACCTATTTACTACTCACTTAATAAATATCAAAAGTATTTAAACTGCTCAACAAGGTTATAAGTTTTATAAATATTTTTTATACTTCTGCGTATCCATAAGTATAATATCAGGGAGGAAACAGATGAGGAGTAGTAAAATCAAGCATACCTTTGCATGAAGTGCTATAATTGTAAAAATTTTATCAATAGCAAACATAAAATGTAGACAGGACCCCATATAAAATGACTGCCAGTTTATGAAGTATAAAAATATCCCTACAATTGTGATTCAATCTTTGACAACAGAAATAATGCTATTGTCAGAGATAGAACTGGTTATCCGACGGTAATCATAATATATCAAATATAATAATCTCAGCATAATCATTGCCACAGAGCAGGAATTGGTATCATTTTACACATAGAGTTTAACCAGATCACATAGAAGTTATACTCTTTATCTTATGATTACGTCTATGTATAAATAAATTCATGCTGTTTTATATACTGTATTTATATGAAAATGTCTTTGTGAAGGTAGCCAAATCACTGCTATTTTAATAAGAGATACTTTTTCTTAAAAAATAATTGTAATTCAAATATTTTTTACAATATCCAATAATTAAATTTATATCGCCTGATAAAAAGGAGAAGCAATGGTACAAACAGAATAATTGAAATTAAGCAAACATGCCTACTTTAGATATAATAAACGGTATGTAAAAACTGGACGTTTCTATCCATATTCCTTTACAGGAGGTATATTAGCGTCAGTTAGCTAGGAAGAGTTTTGAGTTTATCCATAAAAAAGAAACATACCAATATCTAAATTTTTTTTTATAATATTCGTATAAGATTTATTTTTCGCCTAAGTATTAAGAAAACTAATTGATTTTAGGTGTAAATAAATGTTATAGAAGTATTAAGTTGTAAATTTTAATAATAACTTTCACCTTAGTACTTTTTAAAAATACAGTCTTCCTGTATTATACATAAACAGAATTACTCAAAATATAAATAATTTATATATACAAGTAATTTATTGAATCCAATTATATTCTATAAGTACCTACTTTTATTTCACATGTATTGATAACGATTTTCTGGAAAATTACGTCATGTCATATAAATTATGTTGTACTTGAACTGTATGAACTGCTAAGGTAAAAGTAGTAATTTAAATTTATAATATAATACTAGTATTAGACTTATTTACACTAAAAATCAATTTAGTTTTCCTACTTCCTAGGCAAAAAAATTGGTAGTATATACTTTACAGAAGATAGAGACATACCTACAGTTTTCCCAATTAAAGTAAAACACACTAAAAACAATAGTTCGAATTTCATTTTGTACACAACACTTTTCTTTGTCACTGAATAAATATAACTGCAAGTAATTATTTCCTTGTCTCACTATCACGTAATCAATGTACCTTTTTATTGCAAGGCAATACTTATATCTTATCTATTTAGGTATTCGGTGTATTAAAGAATCACTGTATATATAAACTATCAGAAAATTAATTTGATTATTTGTGACGTGTAACATTGTATACGAGTAAATACGAATATAGACATAATATAACATACTCATGTACCTATTTATAAATTACAGTTAATTTCCTTGATAATAACTTAAGAATTCCTGCAATACTTTTGATGATGTCGCTTCATTTTTTTGGGTGTAGTCAAACACTGTGTGCTTACACGAGTTCACAACTTGACACTCAAAATGAACGGTAGGTCATTTCATTCGTCATCTGTCCATTGTTGAACATAGGCCTCCCCCATAGACTGCCACAAGGAACGAGAGTGTTCCGAGTAGCCTATCATTCGAGAGATTTTACCAGCCGCGTTTGGTAGGCGAATTGGCAATTTCAGTTTGGCTTATGGTGTTGTTTTAAGAGGGGCGCTGCTGTTCATCCCTCGATCCTTAAGTTCCCTTAGTCGCCTCCTACGACACTTACGGGAAAGCAAGGAGTGACCCATTCTGTGCCAGGACCACATGGCTTTATGGGTATATGGGGTAATAATATAATAATAATACAGTGTATAACGATCAGAAAATTATGCTACTATTCTGACCGTGATAAATTCTGTCAGACGATGAACTAATCAATACAGTGGAAGTTACCAATATATATCGTAATTACAATTTCACTTCATGATCGTTATTTAAGATCTCGATGGTGCGATAAATCGATTCTCACGTGATTATATACCAGTTTCTAAGCTGTTAAAGCTTGTAGGTGCAACAGACTGCACGGCAGCTACAGCCAGTTAGACAAGACTAATTAATACTTGTAAAAGTTCTTTGAGATTCTGCAGATTGATTCCTTAAAGACTTTTTTTTTAATTTCATTTATTTTTAAACCTAAAGTAAGGGTTTACTTCCTAAAAAAATATTTAACAAACTTTTAAATGTCTTTCTTTTTTGTCTCTATTCTTTTCTATTGCTTTTTTTTTTGCTTTTCATTTGTATTTGTTGTTTCAGTCGTAGGTATTTTTCTGTCTTATTTTCTTTTACCTGCTGTTCTGTTTTATTATCATTAGAATTATTAGTGTATGTCATATGTATTTATTTGTGTAAGTATGTATGTAAGTATGTATATATGTATTAACCTTTAATTGTCCACTGCTGAGCATAAGGGAGAGGCCCTTGGTAGGTTTTGCCAGTATTTGCCATGCTTTGCAGGCGGATTGGCAACCGAAGTTAGGGCTTTAGAGATGTTTTAAGAGGAATGCTGCTGCCTATCCTTCGCCCTCCCTTAGTCAGCTCTTACAACATCCACGGGAAAGAAAAGGGTAGCCTATTCTATGCCGGGACCACACAGCCAATGTAAGTTGAGTTGGTATATCGAGTGTTTATTAACTCTAAACTGCATATTATAAAGTGTATTAGGATGAGATTTCTCTCCTCAAATTTTATATAAAATAAGTAGCCATAAGAAAAGATAATATTTTTTTATATGACAAAACATATATGAGTATGACATTATAAAACTTGTAGGGAACTTGAGCCTAAACTATGTAACTAACGTGAACAGTTCTGTGACTTCATTAACTCTTCTGTTTCTGCCGTTGTCTGGATATCACATTCTGAACTTTCTCTTTCATTAGTGGCATTTCCAGGTTGTTCATTGACTTTGAGTTTGTAATAAGTATATCAAGGTACAGTTCTTGTAGTTCGGAAGATAATAATTTTATTCTTTGCAGATCAGATATTGTATGTGGCTTTAAGTATAATAGTTAAATGAGAAAAAGATAAACTGTGCTTGTTGTTTATTTGTGCTAAAGAATACGTTGTACTTTTAATACTTATTAATTTTATACATATTTAAAAAAAATGTAACAAGAACTGTATTTAGAACTTAACATCTACTTATGCGTACTCATATACAAAGTAAAGACGTTTATTTTCACATCAAATTGGATAATTACAAAAAAATCTGTGTAAATAAAAGTAACATGATAGTTTTCTATTCATTTATATTAACTATTATTGGTTTAATATTTAGTATATCCTTCAAAATACATTGTTTTTTAACATTTGTCTGCGATGTAATAATATTTCTATAATCATTATTGCAAATGATAAAATCATCCCATATATTAGAAGTAACATGACTGGATAGAAATCGATCATGTTGACGGATTGAAAACTTCCCCCACGGGCTAAGCAAACTGGTCTTCTGGAAAAAAAGTAGCGGTTTTCCCGATCACCTATACCAGTTTCCTTGATCCTTAACAGTCTGTAAAAAAGAATTTCTTTATACGTTTTTAAGGTATAAACTTAATTAGTCTTTTTAATTATTTTTTTATAGAACAATGGTGATGAAGTTGGTTAAGATGTTTTTTTTTTTTATAAGATAATAAGCCTATTTAAGAGAGAAGAGGAGATGTGCTCATCCCTCATAAATAATTATTAATTCATTATTCTTCTTATAAATAATTTATTATGCAATCCATAGTATTTTCTTTAGTTTCGTGATCTCTATTTTAAATACCCTTACTTGTAGTATATTAAGACTTTAAGATGATTGATTGAGCTGTTAAGATGCCAAGAGGTAATAAAGAAATAAACTCACTATCGTGTGTATAATATTAGTAAAAATAAACAATGTATTTTGTACTTGCCCGACTTTAAAAAATTCTTTGTATGGTGTATTTCGCTGACACGTCAAGTAAGTTTTTGTGTTATCCAAATATTGAATTTCTTGAAGCCCACATTTTTCATGTTCATAGAAATATCTATGTACTACATGATATCCAAATTCTGTGGCCATGTGAAAAGCAAATGGTTCCTAAAAATTATAATTTCATTTATTTATTTTATTTATCATCGTATTTATATAAGGTAAAATCTAAATCATTGTACCAATGAAACTGTATACTTTTTCCGAAGAATTATTTGACGAAAATGACAAAAAGTTTTAACCCTATCGTATCTGACAGGCTCAGAATTATTTGTCATTTTACAACCCATTTTCCCTCGAGAAAAATGTTTAGATTTATTGGTGGAACACTATCGTAAAAGAAGCTAATGATTTCGATTCCATCATGTAATCTTGCACATAATTATTAAAAATTATACTTAATAATTTACTTTCTGTAACTTCTTAACTCCTTCTTCCAAATCCATGAATTTTGGCTTTGCTCCAGGTGGAGCTATTTTCTTTTGATAGATTGCTTTTCTTATTGGTTCTGTAGCAGCCTGAGGATTAAATAAACAGTGAATTAAAAAAGAAAATAGATTATGACAACTGTGTCACTGTGTTTGTAAATTGTATTTTGCTTTTGTATAATACGTAAGTCGTAATTCTTTTAGTTATTGTTGTGAATACAGGACATGATAGATTGATAAAGGGAACAGCCCTCAACTACACGCATTGATTGAATCACCGAAAAAATTTTAAGTCGTGGATAGTCACTCCATCTAGCTGACTTATCTTTATCTATATAAAGTTACAACTGAAGAAACTTTCTTCTCCATTATTTGCCGATCCATCGTGCTATGTAGCTAGAACATTACTATTTCAGTTTGTTTTTGGGCTACATTGGTCATTTTAGTACATCCTTTACGTATCTCCTCTTTAACATACTACGCTAGCAAAAACGATATATGGGGAGTTATAAAGTATTAAAAACTTGTGATATTAAGAAGTTTGATTTTTGTAATATGAAAGATTTTCTAGTAACATAAGAAAACCTTCATTTAAGTTTTCTTAACCTCCATTTATTTAAAATATAATAATGAAGAAGAGGAAATAATAATGACAAAATTACAGAAAAATAATGCTTATTATAAGGTGTATTCTCCACTCCTAATTCCAATTTAGAATTAAGGAGATCAGCCAAAGTACGAATCTGGTTCGATCTGGATTGCAGTAATGCTACAATACTGGCCGAGTATGATGAGTAAAGTAATAAGAAGACGAGGAATAGCAGAAATGTCACAAGTCGACCAAGGCCACCTGAAAATAAAAACTACTATGTATTGACCCGGATTGACGTTAGATACTATCTTATATTTTATATACTATCTATTACCAGAGGGAGACTTTGTACAAAAGTCGTTTGCTTGGGCACCTCTGTCCCATTCGTGTTTCTACCATGAAGCAGTTATGTTTGCATGGCTGTGTTTCGGTTGGAAGGGTGGGATATGGCAGTGAATTTACAAGCTATAGATGAATAACACCTGAGTCCTCAGGAATGGCAACGCATGGGGGGTGTTATGGGCAAAAGAGTATACTCTGTTATATTCATGGCACTGCTCATGTCTATAAGCGACGGTTTTTTTAATGGGCAATAATGAAGTGGTAACTCCGCCTGCGCCATCGGTATACGCTGGCGTGGCACCAATGAGCGATGACAGGTGACGATGAAAGCAGGTCAATTAGCCATCGTGACGAATTTCACTAGTATTAACAAAGATGGTTTCCAGGGGGAAAGCAATTTGAATTGTGACAAAATTAATATAGAACAAGTTACCGGAGTAAATTTTATCGATTACAATTAATAAGTAAAATTGGTTCATTATTGACGAAATATATATATATATATATATATATATATATATATATATATATATATATATATATATATATATATATATATATATATATATATATATATATATATATATATATATATAATATATGTAATCGATAGAATTTACTCCGGTAACTTGTTCTATATTAATTTTGTCACAATTCAAATTGCTTTATTTTTATGTAGGGAACAGTCATATTATTAGAATCTAACCTTTTAGTTCTAAAGAACTTCCTTGTTGTGCTATGGCTGTCACTACTAACATTGTAACATCGCTGACGTTTGGTCTTAAATAAACATGTTCAATTTTCTTCTAAAAAGAAAATAAAATAGTACATGATTTTTTGGTAATAAATAATAATAACACCTTCGTGGACACTGAACGGCTATAACTGTAATAACAATTTAGGAACGTAAAACGTATTTGTATTTTTGAATCATCTGAAATAGTTTTCTTTTTTTCAAAAGGCTAATCGCATCGACAACTTATCTTTTTCATACTAATTTTCATAACCAGAGGAACAGTTTGTACAATAGTCGTTTGCTTGTATACCTCTGCCCTATCCGTGTTTAAACCGTGATGCAATTGTGTTTGCATGGTTGTGTTTCGGTTTAAAGGATGGGCTTTGGCAGTGAATTTACAGGGTACAGAGGTATAACATCTTACTCCTCGGTATCATAAGCGAAATAGTTATGTCTATTGTACTGTTCATATCTACAGGCTACGGTTACCGCTTTCCATCAGGTGCAAAAAAGCTGCTATGATCACTTACTATAAAATGAGTTGCAGGGTTAATAAACTGTAGAGACCTTTACTTCTCTTCTTTACATAAATTACTCATATATTACTCGATAGTAAATGTAGGTAGGTATATTGGTGAAAGAATTTTTAAAATCTATTGAGTAATTTTTCCTTTTTATAGTACGATAGTAGTTGAAATCTTACCGACTCATTATCCACCATCTTCTTTTTTTCCCATAATGCGTTGATATAAATAATGAATATCAATATTATAACAAATGCTCCAATGCAATACCATACGGTAGATTTGAAAGGCAGAAGAAACAAATTATTCTGGTATGACAACGGTGGTTCTCGGAACACGAACTTGAGTGAGATGGGTGAAGGAGATATTAAGAAATCCACAACTTTTATACGTTGAAGTGTTATTATTAGCACTGTACCTGAAAAAAGATAAAGTATTCCTTGTGTTTAATTCTATTTGATCGATGACGATATTACATTATTTGATTTATTATTCATTCAAATATTACCTAAAATATTACATACCATAACTGATATAATTTAACACTGGAAGGCATTCTCTACTAATAAATTTAAATTTCTTTAAAAAAGTAATTGATCAGTTAATTAAGCGGACTCTATAAATACTATTAATGATATTAAATATTCAAATATTGAAATTTATATTTTTTTTTTATAAAATAAACTAAAAATTATATATATACATAAGTTAACAAATATTTTTCGAGTGATGAAAATTATAGGCGTAGATAATCTCTAGCACATTAATCAAACTTACCTGTAACCGAAGTTCAATTTTCACTATGGAAGTAATTATTTAATGCATGAGGAGTTAGGATAGGATATATAAAATTGTCTTGGAGTGAGTACAAAATAATAAGACTATTAAGTATTCATATAAGCGGTACCTATTTCTTCTTTATAAACATTAAAATTTACCTGCAAGTTCAGCTCTCTCATTCGTTAATTCACCAATCATACCGTTAAATGATCCATTTCTATAATATCCCCAATTATCAGTATAGATAAATTCTATAGATGCATTCAAATAAGTAAAGAGTGGATAAACTTGACGATAATTAGCTTTTGTCGCAGTGTCCGTAAAAAAATCGCTGCACAATAAGAAAATTTATTTTTCAGATTTCAAACAATTATAAAATTATATTTAAGTTATTTTATGGATATTCTTATTCGCTTTATTTACGGCAAATTATTATGTATACAAACACATTGAGTAGATGCAGACAAGTAGGTATTATTATTGAATATTTTTTTTATTTGCATCAAAAATATTTAGGCAATCTGTGTGTCAAAAATCATCAAAATCTATGAAACTATTTAAATATAAATAATAAACATCTAAACAATTTTCAAATTAAATTTATAATATTAATAGTTTATCAAGAATTCATTAATATAAGCCATTTTGTGTACACTTTTTAAGTCTAATTCAGTAAATACCAATTATATTTTATTACCTAAGGTCGAAAAGGTCTTCTTTAGTTTTGTTGTTAAAGATAACCAAAGTAATCTTTATGGGAGTTCTATGGAAATTTTTCCTTCTAATTGAAATAGACTGTTCTGTCAACTTAACTTTCTTTAGCCCAGATAACGATGTCCATTCTCCGTAGTTTTCTATGATCCATTCGGATTGTGGTCTTATCCTGTAAACTGAGATGGATAATAGTGGTTTTACTGGGGAGAAGGATTGTTAGCGACGGCCACTTATGACCCATTCACTGAAAACTACTGTGGTGAAATTCTATGGTGGATTCGTTATAATTATCTGACTAACCTGACTACATCATCATTATCATCTCTTCTAGTAGTCTGCTATTGTAAACTCGGCATTCATAAGTAAAACTAGATTTTTTTACAAAGAAACATGGGTTAAAAGTTATTCTTAAAGAAATTATACATACAATACAAACACAGCACGTTCGCTATAAAAATACCATTGGAGGCTCACATTTTTTAATAATTTTTGACTCATGTTTCTTTGGTAATAATTATCAATTTCACTCGTAGAACACTTACTTAAATGGACCCTAATCATTTAAATATCGCCCGTTACTTTTTTATTCACATGAAATTTTCCCAAATAGATGCGGCTATTTATGTTAAAAAATATTTTGACATATTTTATCGAATTCATATCAAATGAACAGGATATGAGAATCATGTTAATATGCTTTTGAGCTGTATAAAAAGTACAATAAACTATGACATAACTGCATTTTATAATAATATAAGTGCAAATGTCTATTATTAAAATAAACTGATTTTGACTGTTAACTTACAATAGTCATATGTCCTACATCTCAAAGCAAACCCACATACTTACTCATACTTAGTTTAAAAGAATCACTGCCGTTATTTTGTGCGATAATAACTTCTGAATCAGGCAATATATCGAGTTCATACATTTCACGCGGCACTGTACCATCTTTATTTAGTGATTTTCCTATTATCACCCATTTATACGGTAAACCAAACTTTTTAGCGATATTTGCCTAAAATTATAAAAAAGAATTTTAATTTTATATCTAAGGTGAATATTAACAGATTTATATTATTATAGTACTAACTTTTTTGAAAAAATATTCAATCCTAGGACAGTTTATATCTACTATAAATATAATAAAATGCCGATTTAAATAATCGTTATGCTTATTTATGGTATTAGCATCTATAAATCGATTAACTTTTGGTTTTTCTTCTAAATTCCCCAAAGTTGACATGTAGTGAAGTTTCATTGCTGTAAAAAAAAAAATATTGTAATAATTTTTTAATTTGCTTTTTTTGTTGTTAAAATTTCAGAAAAGTTCATAATAAATTACACTATTAAACATCACATATGTATTAAAATTATATTCTAAAGTATTTAGTTATCATATATCAAAGTATGAATTTATTTAAATTACGTTAATTTTAATAAATCCAGATAAAGAAATAATAAGCACTCAGTTACAGAGTCAGTAAATACCATTCTTATTTTATATAATTTAAAAGAATTTAGAATTTATACTTACACGGATTCCAACAAACTTTGGTAAATAGAGACAATGGTCTTTCAAATGAATTTAACAGCTCGCTGAGCATTTTAATTTCAACTGTAGAACCTGAAAGGCTGCTTATAAAGAAGAACAATAACAATACCATATTTTTCATTTTAATAACATTAAATAGACTAATATATAATTATTATAAGTTATTTTTATAATATATAAATATATATTTAAAAGTAATATAATTTAGATTTTGCAATTTACGACCTTTCTCCTCGATTTCTGAAGTAGGAGTCTCCTATGAAAGATATTCAATATGTCTTGTACTGTGATATTAAATTGCTATTTAATTACAGTATAGTTACCAGTTATGGAGAATAATTATATACCATGTTCAACATCAACGTCTCCCTACTAATCAAGGAGGCAAAACTCAACAAATAATTGAAAGCATTGCAAATGTCCATTTTAGCAAATTGATGCCTTTAGTAATTTGCAACGAAACAACTATAAAATATTTTTTTTTTATTTGATAATGGGTTATATCGGATTCTTCGAATATTATAGTGCTTTAATAGTTATGATGTTCTTTTTTTATGGATTTTGTGGCATAATTTTATCTCCTTAGGATAAAGATTATCCTTAAAAGATAAACAGTATATTTACCAAAGGAGATTTTTATAATAATGCCATTTTTGTCAAATATTTAAACCCAGTTTGACCGTGCAATAAAACATACTTATCATGTTTCCTGAAAATAAATATCATTCATTCATTTACTTTAACTGAATTAGATAATAAACAATTAAAAGACATCTATGAGAAATATTTACGTATTTCAGCTAGAATTAAGATACAAGTTAGACTTACATATAAAGAGTTACTGCAAAGAACCTGTTGATTACTCATGAGGTTCAATGACAACGAGATCGATTCAAGTAAATATATTTTGGGGATTTAAGACAGACAGTAAGTTGCATAATGTAAATTAAACGAATTTGCAATGTCCGGTACTATAGAATGTAATAAAAATTGATTACAGCAAAATTAAATTTAGAAAGAAAATAGATAAATTAAATTAATGCTCTAAAACTATTCTCAATAACTCGGAAAGTGTAAATACTGAGAATTTTTAATTTCTTGACAGCTATGTACTTAATATTCATGATATTTAGTATAATATAATATAATAACTACTGGTTTAACTAACGTGTAATTAGATCGAAAAAGCTCTACTAGTTTCAGAATCAATTCGCGTTCCTTAGTTATGAGCGGTTGTGACACGAACACGAACCTATATTCATGATACGAGTATTTTCAATAGTATTGTGCACTGTGCGATTATTTGATGAAACTAGTATACATTATTTATTTTATCATGTAAATATGATGTGAAACTAAAAACATAAATGTACTACTTACGCAGGTATCTGCATGAGTAATACTTTGGAAAGATGGTTTATTTTATTTTATTATTTTAAATTATTAGAGGGTTGACGTCAGGTAGGTGGCCGGTCGTAAAACTAAAAACCAAATCTTTTTGTAATATAGACAAAATCATATTACGCCGACCCCAAATTATTGGAATAAAGGTAAGAAGATGGTTATTTTAAATTCAAATAAAAATTCTAAATTCAAATTTGTTTGCTGTAAACTTTACTATTGCCCAAGTAATCATATCATCATCATTATTATTATATATTACATATTATCGTAATCATTGCGTCTCTGAATTAAAAATTTTTCTAGTTTAAATGCTCGTATCATCCTATTATATTTACTATTATTACGATAAAAATATAAAAGTTTATCTAAAATAACAAAGGTTTAATACACTTTTAATTTTTAATCACAATAGTACATAACGTATACGGTTATATATCACAAAATAAGGCGTGCATAAACGGATCGATTCCTATGAAATGTACTTTCATTTTTCATAACCGCGTGACGCTATGAATGTTGAATCACAGATAATATAATACTGTACGTTGAATCCAATTGCTTGCTACAAAATCGTGAGTTATTGGGTATGGAGATGAATTTATATAACATATATCAATTCTTTTATTACGTTTGTACGTATATTTTCAATTTAGATTTTCAAAATAACAATAAATACCTAAAAGATTTTAAAGTTGTATTAAATAATTTCAATATGAAGTATATTCTTATCAAAGAGCCTACTCGTATTACAGATTGTACTGAATCCTGTATAGACAATTTTATAACTAATTTTAAGGACAAATCCGTTAGAGGCTTAGTATTAGATTATAAGATATCAGACCACAATGTTATTCGACTTAGTTATGCGTATAAAACTAGGCATGCAAGTAAAAAGGATGTTCAAAACTATATTATTAGACGACACTTTTCTAAAAGTAACTGTAATTATTTCCATCACTTAATTAATACTGACAAATTTTTCCATTATGATATATCTAAATGTAATGACCCAAATAAAAAGGCTGAAACTTTTGTACTTGGACTAAAATATTTCTATGACATTGCCTTTCCAAAAAAGAAAACTTACGTAGTTAAAAATCAACCAGTATGGGAAACAAAAGGAATACTGAAATCTAGGGATACTCTAAATAAACTTGAATTTCTACAATGTGTTCTTCCTTCTGAAAAACGTAAACAAAGAATTCATAAATTTAAAAAATGTTTAAAAAAAGTAATGATTACTGCAAAAAGAATACAAATCTCATACAATATTAAAAATTCTAAAAATAAAGTAAAAGAGTGTTGGAATACCATATCCAGATTAATAAATAAGACAAATCGACTAACACGTAATATAAACAAAATTAAAACACAAACTGGAACAATAATAACAAACCCAAACTTGATTGCAAATTTTTTTAACAGTTATTATTGTAATATTGGTAAAGAACTAAGCGATAAAATAAAAACGGATAAAAATAAAAACTATGAACTTTTATCAAGAACAAAAAAGCCAGATAAAACGATAATATTTAAAAGAATTACTCGAGACGAATTGTTAAAAATTATGCGTTCTATAAAAAATAAAAAATCTAGAGATATATATGACATGGATTACAAGATATTGGAACTTATATTTAATAATGATAAATTAATTTACTTATTACTTGATGTTGTTAATTCCTGCATTGACAACGGAACTTTTCCAGATGTTTTTAAATGTGGTAAAATTATCCCTATATTTAAAAAAGGTGACGCTGAGGACCCCTCCAATTATCGTCCAATATGTATTCTGCCAGTCTTATCTAAAATTATGGAGATAATATTAAAGAAAAGTATAGTAAGACACTTTGAGGAAAACAATCTTTTTACTGACAAACAATATGGCTTTAGAACAGGAAGGTCCACCACAATGGCAATTACAAAAACTATGGAATTTATATTGGAGTCTTTGGATAGGTCCATGAAATGTGTAAGCGTATTTTGTGATCTTACCAAAGCTTTTGATTGTTTAAGGCACGACATAATATTGAGCAAATTACAATACTATGGATTTGAACATAAATCACTAAAAATGATGCAGTCATACTTAAATAATAGGACACAAGTAGTAACATTAAATGATAATACTATATCCCACATACATAAAATTAATATAGGCATTCCTCAAGGTTCCATACTTGGACCAATTCTTTTTCTTATTTACATTAATGATCTTCCGGCAAATTTACCAGAGGAAGCATTTGTGACTCTATTTGCTGATGATACACATGTAGGATTAAGAAATAAATATAGAAATAAATTGAATAGAATGATGGATAACATCATAAATTTATTAGATGTTTGGTTTCAAGCCAATGGCATTATACTAAATGCAGCGAAAAATGTTTTTATGTCTTACAGTACCCGTAAGAATAAAAAATCACCTCCAAACAATGTTTATAGTCAGAGTACAACATTTTTAGGATATACGATAGATAGTACAGTTAGCCATGAATCGCATATTGAAAAATTATGTAGTAAACTAGCTTCCGCCAATTATGCCTTGAGTAAACTTAAGCAACTAATAACAAAAAAAGCTCTGAGAATGGTGTACTTTGCATATGTTCAGTCGTTGTTATCATACGGTATTACAATTTGGGGCAATGCAGCTCTCGTGTTAAAAGTTTTAAGGCAACAAAAGCGAGCTATGAGGATTTTATGCGGAATTCATAAACGCACCTCAGTTAGACCTCACTTTATCCAACAACGTATAATGACAGTGTCATCGTTGTTCATATATAATTCTTTACTTGAAATATATGATAAAGGAGGTACTCTTCGCAAAAATTCAGCCATTCATAGTTACGCCACGAGAAATAAAGACAAATTGGAATTGCCAAGAACACGACTAACAAAAACTATGAAACAAGGCATATATCTAAAAATAAAAATGTACAATAAATTACCCAATACAGCAACGCAATTGCCGCGAAATGAATTTAAAAATAAAATAAAGACATATTTTGAAGAACATCCTTTTTACAACGTGACCGAATACCTAAATGCCAATATTGAATTATAGCATTATTATTTATTTAGGTTTAACTGTAAGAAGTATGACAATAAAAATTTTATAACTTGAAATCATCATTATTGTTATATGGTTACCTTTATATTGACATATAGTAACTAATTTATAATGTTAACTATAATTCATTTGTAATTTTATTTTATAATTTAAATCTTATTGTTATTATTTATTTTATTAATTTCAAAATTATAATATAAATATTGACTTGCCATTGTGTGACGAAAATTGTTACATTGGTTAATAAAGAAATATGAAATATATATATTTTAATCAAGAAAATACTACACATTACATGTATGTGATTAACATAGTGTAATTAGATAAAACACTAAAATATTGTGCTCAATGTTATAGTTATTAGACCTATTCTCATACTATGATTATATTTTTTTTTAATTTGCCGAATTATATATCCTATAATTACCCCCTTTGTAAGTTCTCTGTATCCTTTTAACTATAGTCTGGCGCCCATGCACAACATTCTCAAGAATCATCAGACCTATTGATATTATAGTGCCATATGATAGAATTAGCAGTGCTGGATAACAGTCGACCATGCTAACTGAAACGAAACTAGATTCACTACCGGAACATTTAGGTCGTTTTTCGTACAACAAACGGTTCTCTCTACTTTGTAATCCATGCTCTTGGATGCGTTTCGTTCTGAAAAATAGCAATAAACAATTTTGATTATTTTTTCTAATTTCTCAATTAAAATCTATAAATACAACTGAGCATTTCAATAAAAAGTGTCAATAATGCGTTAAGTAATATTATAGAAATACTTTTTATACCCTACCCTATCTTGAACATTTCTTTATATGGAGTATTTTTTCTAACTGCTAGCCATGGGTCTATTACTTGTAGATATTGTATTTCTTTAAGACCACATTTTTCACTTTCATGGAAATATTTTCCAACAAATTTGTATCCGACACCAGTTTCCATATGGAATGCGAATAATCCCTGTAAATATATTCAAAAAGTAGTTTATATACACTTTTTATATATATATATATATTATATATATATATATATATATATATATATATATATATATATATATTGAATATGCTATGGCTCAAAGTATTTTATTAAGGTAGAAAATACAATTACCCTACATTTACTTTTCTCATTGAATAAATATACACGTAAAAGGGACATGTATCGACGCGACGTTGCGTTGCTTCGCTTTTACGGAATAATTTTATTAAATGCATAATTTTGTTCCTTGAATAAATAAATATGGAATTTTCTCTTACTCCTGCTACGTACTGATAGGAGTATGAGCACATAATATTCCTCTTTACAAAATATTTTTGATTTATTATATTGTAAATATGAAACTACTAGTGTACGTATAAAGTAAGATACGGTCTATTTATTTTATTCAAATCTTTTCAACTAATCATTAAATAGTAGGATATAATATGAACAGGATTTATGACATTTGCGATGTGACGCAAAGGGCTGTACACACCCTGTTCTTCAGGGATTATTCTGACTTTCAGATGAAGTCAAAACAATTATGGGAAACGGCAAACACGGTAAGTTTATAAATTTCGTATAATATACTACAATCCCAATAACATATACATATAAAAAATTATATACATATAAGACTAAAATATATTTTATTTCATTTCAGGCATCGAGTACTACGAATGTTTTCATATTTAATATTGCCTACCTTTCGTATATTCTTGACACCTTCTTCCATGCTCATAAACCTAGGTATAGTACCAGGTGGAGCGACTTTTTTCTCATAAATTGCTTTTCGAACTGGTTCAGTTGCTGTCTGAAGCAATCATGTATTTCAATTAAGTAATTGTTGATATTCTTAAAGTACTGTCGAAATTTTGCGTCATGCCGATGAATGTGATAAATATAAAATCATGCTTTTATTTATTAATCATAATTGCTACTTCTGCTCAATCGAAAAAAATTATTTATAAAAGTAAATAATTGTAAAGTTGTTACAGAGTTAAAAAGTATCAATACAAGAGCTGCATAGCTATGTTAAAAGAATTTTAAGATAGATTGGAAGATATCCCGTAATATGTAAAGAAAAAAATATCATCGAATTAAGAAGTTATCCTTTACTAAAGTCAGATGAAAGCAATTTATTAGATTTATTATCTTTAAGATTAAAAATTATACACATATTAATTAATTCAATTTTTAATAAATGAATTTAAATATTAACTTTACTGTTTACTCGTGACTATGGCTGGTGTAACCTGGTCGAAAGGTCATGATAACTCAGGTAAATTATTATACTTTACCTGCATTTACCTAGATCGCGTTAATTCCTGTCTCTTATAAGCCATAAACTAAAAACTAAAATGTTATGATCTTTTGACTGTTTAAAATTAATTAGATTTTGAGCTAACATCTTAGGTCAAATAATAATCATTAAACACGTCGGCATTAATTAAATTTTAAGCATATAAGCGCAGGTAAGTTTTAAAGTAAACCTACCGAGAAATAATGTCTGTTGAAAACGTTGTCATGAACGCCAAACTTGAGCCTAGAATGCAGAAGGTCATCTAGGGTATTAATTTTAGAGGAACTGGATTGTAAAAGTGCGACAATGTTTGCAGAGTACGACGTATATAAAAACATCACTGACAGAAACAGGATCAGCAAAACAATACGACCCAGAGAGCCTGCAACAAATAAATTCATGGTCATCTAAATTATGAAGGATAAAACAATAAATGCACGGTTTTATCATTATTTATTAGAAACTAGCTGACTCCGCGAACTTCGTACCGCCTAACAGTAGATTCTTTAATTTTATAGTTTTTTTTTTTTTTTATTAAATATGTTGCTATTCGGAACGCCGGGTCAACTAGAAGAAAGAGAGTTAATAAGTCAACAATTATATTATGTCAAAAAATAAAAATTATAAAACACGCCGTGCCACATCACTCAATTGTTTTGCCTTCCCGGAACTTCTCCACTAACACTTGAACTTTATAGCATGGTAATAATGTTCAAATTGACTTTTAAGTATTATTAAGAATCGTTTGTATGGGAGTATAAAAAAGTGTTCTTTTTATACTTTTACAGGCAATTTTTTAAAATTTTCTCTCCGTAAGAACTATCCTCGTACTTCAAGGAAAATTCTAAAAAAAATTTGCGATATCAGTTCAATTGTTCTCGAGATTTGCGCTTAGCAACACATTCAGCGTATATATTATAGATTATTATAGATATAGAATATTATTTATATTATAGATTTTAGACACATAAAAGACACAATATTATTGATATTAGCATATTATAATTATTATTGTTATCAATTAAAAATTTGGATGACGTAAAGGATAATAAATTCAGTTTGTTATTATAATATTAAAAAATACTTTGTTAACTACATGTATATTTCTTCACCTTTTAATTCAACTGGACTTCCTTGCTGGCATGTAACACCAAGTATTAATACAACTATATCTGCGAAATTCGGCCTTAGGATTCCGGAATCAGTTTCTCTCTAAAAACAAATCATTATGAACAATTCATTATTCTAATGATATCTCTTAATAAAAAAAAATTGTCTAAAATTTGTGTAGGTATAGCATAAAATGTTAAAAGAACATAATATTTTACTGAGCTAAGTGTTATCTTGCTGAAGTCTATATCACTGGTTATTTGTTTAGTATTATTTCGTTTAACTCCTCTACCGTTAAAATGTATGTGACTGCCAATCCTCGAAGACTGACCACCACTATTACTACCAGAAGTGCCACAAACTTTCATTTAGCTATCAATACACTAGACTGCAAGCAGCAATCGAACAATTTGCTTAAAGATGCTTCGTTTAGAGGTAAAACACGTGTCGCAAAACGTGCGCGAACAAAATAGCAGTCGGGGATTGATGGCTAATATGGAAGGTTGTGGAACTTGTGGTAGTAATAGTGGTGGTCAATCTTCGAGGTTGGCAGGTACTCATGTACTAATGGTAACGGAATTAAACAAAGTAATTCTAATCAAAGAACATGGCACAGTTGATATTTGCCTCCTATATTAAAATAGTCAATTTATTTTTATAACATTTAAAATTAGTACATGAAGTTCAAAATAAGACTGTTCTGTTTTGTTTAAAAGCAAACATTTACGTATTGTTGACTTTACTAATATTATAAATATAAAATTGAATTGGTTGAAAGTTATATTCGGCACGAGGAGTGCATTAAAAGATTCTTGGTTCCAGAGACAAAATTACGGGCACAACTAATTTGTTTATTTTTTATTTATTTATTTTACACTTTATTGCACCGAGTAAAAAGAAAAATAATAAATACAGTGAATATTAATGAGAAGTGACACAAAAGGTGGACTTATCGCTAAGCAATCTCTTCCAGACAACCTTTGGGTAGAGGACATTGAGAAAAAGACTACCCTTTGTCTTTTTCTCAATGTCCTGGCAGGCAGCGCACTTTTATATAAATATTATCATATACGGACATATATAAACACTAAATTGTTTATATTATTTTTAAAACTTATCTTTTTAAAATTCTCATTATACATATATAATAAATATAGCTTGTCTATATTTTCGATTCGCGAAAATATAGATAGGCTAGGAGATATAAATTATGCTATATAACAATTAAAATGAAATATATACATACATACCGTATTAATATCATGCTTAGTTTGTTTCCATTCCCAAATTGCAACAGAGAAAAGTGCTAGAAGTAATAACAAAAGTAGAGCGATACTGCTATACCAGACGGTATTGCGAAATGAGAGTAGGAACAAGTTGCTTTCATAGGAAAGTTTCGGTTGCTGGAAAACAAACTTGGATCTTGTTGGAGTTGGACTTGATATATATTCCACGACCGGTATACGTTCCGATGTTAAAAACATGGGTGATCCTAAAAAAATAAATATATATTATTAGCACAAGTCCCTTGAAACAAAAATTCAAAAACAAAAATCTTTAAGCCATACACCATAACATATAAAATGTATATAACAGCTACATGTTAATATGGAATGCCTAAAAATCTTGCCTTTTTTTTAACCTTTGGTGAAAATATTAATTTTTACTGGCATCTTTATCGATTGTTGTTGTGGTGATAGTTAAGTATATATCTACATGAAAGAGTTATTGAAATAGAGGATACAATATACTATACCATATAAGCCGAGGGGAGGATTTGTCAATGATTACCATGTTTGGGAGACGGGTTGGCAACCGCAGTTAGGCGTTAGTGATGTTTTATGAGAGATGTTATTGCCCATTTCTCGACCATTAACTTCCTTTAGTCACCTCTTACGACACCCACGGGAATGGAAGGGGGCCACCCCTTGTATACCTGGACCACACGGCGAGAGAATACAATAGGCATATCAAGTAAAAACATAAACACAGAAAATAAAGGAGTATATTATATGTTACCACTGTATTTAATTTTTATTGTGACTAGGGGTATAAAGCATACTAGACTAGAAGAAAAACTTGATATAAAACACTATACAAAGCCACCTGGCCAACTAAACTCCCACTCGTACCCAGTAATAGACAGTAATTTTGATGCTCCGATTAATAAAGAAAATCACTACCTCCAATTTCCACTTCTTCTCGGACCAAATAACCGGTCATACCGTTCCACGTACCATTCTCGAGATAACCCCAAGTGTTTACGTATATATATTTTCTACTCGCATTGAGGAAATCCAATAAATGGTTTGTAGTTGGGAAATTCACCTTGGTTATTGTATCTATATGATCATTCCTAAAAAGTAAAACATTTTAGCATGTTAGCTCTATGTAGCAATTTGAAGGACAACATAATAAAAAATCTACTACCTACCTATTATAAATCTGATAATGAATGTTTATTAAAACTGAAAAACATCAAGTAAATATTATCAGTACTAAAAATATTAAATTACTAACTAACCCAACGGATATTGTTTCGTCATTGGAGGCTAAGAACAGTTTTTATGAAAGAAAAATGGGATTTTAATGTTTTTCGGGCGATATTTTAAATTTTTCTTTACATAAAAACTTTGCTTGAACTTCAAGGAATATTTGAAAAAAAAAATAGCCGAATTGGTTTAGCCGATCTCGAGTATTGCGCTCAGCAACACATTTAGTGACAAATTTTTATTTATATATTATAGATAGAAATTTAATTCGAACTTCCTTACACTTCATCAGTTAAGTGATTAACACTGTCATTCTCGGTAACGACATAACAAATGCTAATTTGAAAGTCATCCAAATTAGATCTTCTTAAAGCAGTTACTTCAACCATATCATTTGTTTTTATTAATTTGTTATCCTTATTCCAAGTACCAAATAATTCTGAACGCCACATCCCTCCATTGTTTATTTTGTAAACTGAAATTGATATACAATAACAGTAGTTATATAATATTATTGAGGTATATTATATGCATTTAAAAAAAAATTATATAAGCACGATTGTATCTTATCACAATAATGTATAATTCAAGAGGTGGGAGGGGGATATAAATTATCGCCAATTACATTAACAAGTAGGAATACAATAATAATTTGTGAATAAGGTACTAAAATATTTTCAAGGAGATCATATTACTATTTAGATGAAGTGTCAAGTATCAAAAGATAATTCAAAATAGGTCCATCAGTTATTTACCGTATGTGTTGTTTTTCATATATTTATATAAATCAGGGGTGCAAAAAATCACCAATTTGACTAATACAATTTCATATCTTCCGAAAGGTCTGTTTTAAAAAATTGTAGAAGTCGTTATGTCAATTTTTGTCAAAATTTTTCTAGTGAAACACTTCATCTAGACACTGTATAGTATAATCTATTTATTTATTGTTGCACGTAATTGAAATTAGAAGTAATAATTTTTCTCGTACCTAAATATAAATTATAGGTTTCATTATCCGTTTTACGAATAACCATTACTTCACTATCAGGTAAAATATTAAAGGAATCAATAACATCAGGAATTTCATTTTCATTATTCGAATTGTACAAAAGGAACCATCGGAAAGGTGATCTAAAATGTTGTAATTCTATGTTCTGTAAATAAGAAAGTGATAAAGTATTAACTCCTTACAAATACATTTTTTTTAAATTCTCGCTAATTAATGTGTAAAGTTTTCTATCTAACTTCAAGTATCAAGTAACTGATAATTAAATAGTGTAATTTATAGACCTATATTATTGTATCATTTTATTAAAAACTAGAATTATTTTATATAATTCCGCTGTCATTAGTATGTGTGTGACTGCCAACACTCGAAGACTGACCACCGCTATTACTGCTAGAAGTTCCACAACCTTCCATATTAGCCATCAATCTCCGACTGCCATTTTGTCGCGCACGTTTTGCAACACGTGTTTCACTTCTAAATTCATCTTCAAATCTTCAAATTCATCGTCATTAATCTTACAAATTCATCTAGTTTCAACTTTAGGGAAATTATTAGATTGCTGCTCAGAATCTAGCCTATTGACGGCTTCTGGTAGTAATCATCAGCATTATTTCAGTCATTATTTGTCCACTGCTGAACATAAACCTTCGCACTAAAGGAATTTTTGCCAGTTTTAGATGGTGCCCCTTCAGACGATGAAAAATGTCATCGAGTCTACTGAGTCTGTTATGTATATATTGGATTTTTTAAATGAAAGTTCATCACAAATTTTGATATTGTCCGGGTATGCACCTCTCTTATGTCCCATGAGTGTACTGGCCCCTTTTAATCGCGGTGCCCTTAGAAGCCACACGACTGCGCCATTCTTTAAGGCCAGTACTGATGTTATACTAATTATTAAAGTTGCAGAAGGTATTTTTTTTTATATCACAAAGGTGGCAAACTAGCATACAGCCTATCTGATGGAAAACGGTCACAAAGGCTATGGACGCCTGTAACACTAGGGGTATCACGTGCGCGTCGCTGATTCGGAAGAAACCTTAATGTACCCTTTGTGAAGAACCCCATACTGTAGTTTCTGGGAAAAACCCTGGCAGGGAGTTTATCCTACAGCCTGAGCGTTCGCGGGAGAAAACCGCACCATACATCACAATTTAGGTTTAATTAAAAATTACATAAGATATACCTTTTCGATAAATTCAGAAATATATGGACAATTAAGGTCCACTAAAAATGTAATATGCTGAGGTTGCGCATTATAATTACTGATATTATTAAATTCTGCAAATTGTATCATATTCAATTGATCAGTATTGTTACCTCCCAGCATTGAAAAAAAATGAAATTTTTTATCTGAAACAAATGACAATGATGAGTAAAGTAAATAAAAAACTACCTAATTTTAAACTTAAAATTTCCTCACAGACTGGCCAGCAAAGCGTAGCGATTAAGGCTGATGGTCTTTCAATTGAATGAATAACATCAGAAATCATTATTGCATCAAAATCCATGTCCACAGTATGGGTACTTTGGAAAAATAAAAATATTAAAATACAAAATTTTATCATTGTGCTAAGCGATTAGATTGTACATGAGAATAAAAAAATGCTACCTGGCTACTTACTTTATACTCCGTAATACTATAAGAATAGATTTTATATACCAAAGGCAAATCACATAGGTACCATTGATATAAAAAAAAATCCAAGAAGTACCTTCTGACTAATGTGTGAATACGATATAGGTATATATGAAAAAAAAAAACGGTACTAAAACTAGAGTGTGATAGAGTTTCGAGAAATTACGTATTCATTTTTAACCATTGAGTAATATTTTAATCAAATTATTTGACTCCATACACATGACCTTATCCTACAATTACTATTTACAAATGGTTTAAGGTAGTTTAAAATTATCAGTAAGCAAAATATAAATTTATTTTAAAAAAATCGTGACTTAACTGATACCTTTTTGTGAGAATGTGTATCTGATATTATTTATATCAATGGTATCCTATAACTTATTCAAAAGAGAACTTTTATTCTAGAAATTGTATTACGTTTGAAATTGCATGTTGAAGAAATTTAATAAAATTGGAAGAAATTGACATGATCACACCTATTTTCTTAAATAAATTATTACATGAGCTAGTATTGAATAACTGTAATTTAGTACTCTTTTAATACTTTTAAAAATAGACTAGCAAAAATGTCACTTCCTATAGTTCTTATTTTTTAAATGTATCCTTCAATGTCTTCCTTTAAAAGAAATAACAATAGAATAACAAAATGAATTTGATATATCTACAGAATTTCAGTCACGTTTTAAACTTTTACCTCTAAAATTTTGGTGTCCTCTAAAATTTATCTATTAATATATAAATACCTATTAGGTTAAGATCCCGCTGTAGAATTTTGGCAGATAAAAGATTTTTAGGATTTAGTTTGAATTAAACATGAGTTAGCCGCAATTTAGGAGTATCCTTAAACTTACAAATTACATATACATTATAACTAGACGATATTGGTATATTGGAGATATTTAAGCTAAATAATTTGAGGGGTCTTAATAAAACTAATAAATGCCAAAACAATTATTATTAAAAATGTTGTCTATCTGTCTATCTGTGTGTTTGTTCTAGTATCACCCAAAAATTACTACACCAAATTGGATTCAGTATTCATAGTTGAGTGTCTAGAGGTCTAACTTTAAAAACCGGTATATATTTCACCTTGATAGGCTTCTTAAATTTATGTATACTAAGAAGTAGTGGGCAAAAAAAGAATGTAAATCCTGTGCTACTTTTATTTTTAATCGGCTCCAATAATGAAGATATTTTATTAAGTAGGTAAGTGTATAATATATATCATATGATATATATTATACACAAGATGTTTTCCGCGGTTTTGCCCGCGTACTTCGATGCATAAATTATCCTCTGTGTTAAGTTAGAATATAACCTACCCGTGTACAAATTTCATTCAATTCCGTTCAGCCTTTTAAACGCGAATTGAGTAACAAACATACACTTTCATATTTATATTATATTCATATTGCAGCCTTGTCTTTTTATTTCTTTATGTATAGGCTAATATCAAAATAGTTCGCATCTTATGAAGAGAGTGTTCTACTAACAAAATAGAATATTCACCAAAGAAACGTGAGTCAAAAAATGACATCATCCATTGTTTAACATAATTGGGGAATGAATTTTGAGAAATATTGAAATTAAGTTACATTATTTTTATATAAGATACTAGCGGCCCGTCCCGGCTTCGCACGGGTGGACATTTTTACAACATTTTAAAAAGTGGTTATTGTGACATAACGATAATAGTTGGACATATAGTATCGCCAATTTTTTTGTACTTATTCATATTTTCTTCAATATTGTAGAACATACTTTTGTTCCATCACCAATAGTTTCCACAGTGCATGCGACGAAAAATATTTTATAGCATTTTTTTACACCTTGAGTTACGTTACTAAAGTTTTAATAAGGATTCCTAATCTTTTCTAGCAATAAATATAGCCTATGTTACTCAGGGTGAATGTAGGTTTCTAATGGTGAAAGAATTTTTGAAATTGACGAAGTAGGTTTTGAGTTTATTCATTACAAACATATACACAAACATACAAATCTTTTCTCTTTATAATATTAGTATAGAGATATATGATAATTCATATAAATCGGTTAAAAAAAATATTTTCTCATACAAACTTCCACCCTTATTAATAGACTCTAAGGGGCCAAATTTAGAAAAATTCTTTCTTATTAAGTAGTTCAGAGTTCTTTTATGAATTGCAAAAGTATGTAGGTCATAAAAAGAACCTACTGTCAAAATTTGGTAATTCTAAATTAAGTAGTTTCGGTTGGGCGGTGGTGAATACATGTTTATCATTTCAAAACAAATTATATTAATTGTTTTTCACTGTTGTTTTGTTTATTTACAAATACTGTGTACAAGTATCTTTCCACGCCTATTATCGTAAACGTAACGTCCCTGTCTTAAAGTGAGAGTTATTCTATATTAATTTTCTTAGCGGCATTCAACATCGTAGAATTTAATTTTAATGACAAAAAAAGTCGTTATATAATAGGTTGAAATCTGAGATTAGTGATGAGTTAGTTTCAAAATTCACAATTTTAAATTGATATTACGACTCGGATCATTAATAAATATATAAATATAATAAAATACTTCTAAACTTCTTCTTCTGTAAATTAATTTCTGGGTTGTTAAAAAGCCCATTTTACTGACTTATGGATTGCACAAAGCAAATTCTATTATGATTCGTAATTACAAGTTTTTTAAACCTCTATATCAATTAACAAAATAAATAATAATTTTATTGTAATATTAAAGCGTGTATTATCATTACGTAGTGTCATTAATATAATTTCCTATGTTATCAGAAAATGTGTGCATGGTCTTCTATTTTTTAAAGAATGATAATAGAATCATAACCCAGCTTCCACTATTGCTATAAGTCACATTAAGTATAAATTATTGTTCTATATTTTATAGTACAGTAGAAATATAATCGGAATAAAAAATATGCATGTATGTTACCTCATTATACTAGACAGATTTAATCATGTAGAATAGATGATTATTTACGAATAAAGATTCATGATAGATCGTAAAGGTATTTATATAAATATAAAACAACATTTAATTTACATAAACTTTTCCGCTGTTAGAGTTACTATTTATGTAAAATAGTAAACTTGATATAAAACCCTATACCTACCAACACGGCTGATCTTGGTCGTGATAGTAGGGTAATAGGACAACAGTGGGATATTAATGAGTTCTTATGTTATAGCTAGTATGGTAATAGCAAAGATGGATTTTTCCAAGGATCGCCCTTTTGCGTTCATTAAAACTGTGTTTCACACGTTAATGATATGTCCTCAATATTTTATCAAATACAGTAAACACAATCGAAGTAATTAGCAGTTAAGTGAGCTCAGTTGAGTACTAGTATTTATCAGACTTATATTCTGTACTTATTTATTGTTATAGCTATATATAAAAGAAAACGTAAACTATGTGGAAAAATTTACTAACTTTCATAGAATTCATATGTAAGACATAACAGTATATTTTCTTCAATACTTTCAGTATTAAACAATTTATGATGAACGTGTTTACAAAGTTTGTAGCTGGTAATTGTTTAGATTCTGTGTCGTTTAGACAACAAGGGGAATCTGCATCAGAATGGACGCCGCTTCTTGGGAATTCGCCGGGAGTCACACTTTCTACTCTAGGTATGCACATACACTTCTATTGTTTTGAATTCGAAAGCTTATTGGAATGGAAGGCCTTGATGTTTGTAGAAAAATAATTTAGGTAGAAACGATTTAAGATTTTATTCCCAATCAGTTATAAAAATACAATGTTAACCGCTGTGATATGCAATGATGTACTTGTGTGTTTATAACAATATTATGTTACGAGCATTTATATATATTTAATGAACATTATAAGATTTGCATTATAATAGATACAATACAATTATTATTTTTTATTTTTTTAACGAAAATAAAATTTAATTAATGATCAGTCTTATTCATGATCCGTGCCCGACCCAAAGGTCCCCATGACACTTACGGCATTTCCGCGTTGGATTGCCAGAGATATCCTTTGAGCCAGATACGAACCGGAACGGCGATCATGGCCCCTATCCGCAATGCGCAGACTCAACTTATTAAATACAAGTAAAAATTAAATAAGAAATGAATATGTGAAAATACATTTGTAATTTTTTTACTAGATATAGGTTTAATTGCCTAATTACTATTTTTTACCTGAACATATGATTATAAAGTTAAGGAGACTGAAGACAATTTTAAGACATTCAGAGATAAAATGAAATCATTATTTTCGAATATGTTAGTAGGAATTTTATTATGTATAGGTGATTGTGTGTTAAATGTATCTATAATTATTAAAAAGCTAAAGGAATTTTATGCTCGACGAATGAGCAGCAGCGTTCTTCTTGAAACATCACCAAAGCCTAATTGCCGTTGCCAACTCGCCTATCAAGCGTGGAAACTACTGGCAAAACCTCCCAATGGGAAAGCCCATGTTTAGCGGTGGACAGTTAACGACTGATATGATGATGATGATGATGATGATTTAACTTAATTGTATAACGTTATCTATTTATCTATGGGAATCTATGTATTAATATACATTGACCAAATGATATATTATAAAGTAAATAATTAATGACATTGATATATGTCAGAATGGCCGTGTGGTCCCGGCATAAAATATTTTTTACTACATCCACGTGAAAGGGGTGGCCCTTTCACGTGGGTGTAGTAAAAATCGACTAAGAGGGATGGGCATGGCAGCATTCCTCTTAAAGCATCTCTAAAGCCAGACTGCGGTTGCCAATCCGCCTTCCAAGCATGGCAACTACTGGCAAAACCACCCAAAGAAGAACCTTACGTTCAGCAGTGGACGTTTAAGGGCTGATATGATGACGATGATGGTGATATACGTCAGAATATTTACAAAAAAGTTGAAAAAGTAGAGACTTTGAATAATGCCATAAAACAAAACCGATCAGCTTCAATAAAATAAAATACAATTGTGGAATATTACAAGTATTTATACAAGTGACAACAATCAATATCATACAATAATACAAGTGATTATTCACTTCTTATTACATGCATATTTTAATGTAGCATATTTGAGCATTAACATTATTTCAATAATAATTGTTGTAATATATTCAGGTGTAATCTTTGTTTACTTCTTTCGAAAAAAATATCTAAATGATATATTATATATAAATAGCGAAATAAAAACCTCTTAATATTAGTAATTTTTCGCTTCTATTGTTCTTAAACCCTTTATATCAGTTTTTTTTTAATATCATCCGTATAGTCTACCGTTTTATTGTCTCCTCCTGTACATAGGCTACCCCCATAAACGGTAGTCTGTGGTAACATCTGACAGTCCTGAGCCACTTGCATATACTGATTCATTGCAACACATCTGTGACATGTTTCTAGTAGAAGTAACTATCTTACACTGCATTTGCATGTTGACATTAAAATGAAAAACATTTTATCGCTTACTTATCTTTTATGTTTTGGGTATCTTTATTACATAATCACTTCCATTTATTAATCTCTCAAACTACTGAAGCAATTGTAAAAACTATTTTACTAATTGAAAGCTATGCTATCCTTCAATAATGTAGACAATATTTTTTTCATTAATATTCCCATAGACAGATATCCTGAAACTAATTTAGACTGTACTAATATTATAAATAAGAAAGTAGGTTTGTTTGTTTATTATACGTTTATGCCTTGCTCCTTGGCCTTTAAGGGCTCAACCACAAATATAGATATTATGTTAAATGGAAAACAACGGAATTTTTATTTCGTTCAATCAATCGACAATACATTGTTTAATTCACGTAAAAATATTGAATTAAAAGGTCACAGTGGACTAACTCACTGGTGAACGCTTGGAATAGTATAAAATAATAGAAGTAATGAGCAATGTATTCATATATATTTACGTAACTACAGATATTACACAGTAAATGTAATTTTATGATTCAATTTCAGTTATGATGTAAAAGACTAGAAACTTATTTTAGACATTGGCTTTTTTTTCTTGTGTTAATCTAAGCATGGAAGGAAAAGAAAAACGGACGATCACGCTCATTTTAATTTTAGAATAAGGAAATGTATTTATTTTGATCTTGCTACTTTGTCTATGATTTGCTTCCGGGGAGTATTATAGAAAATATTAAAAACTAACTAGGTATTAACCTCGACGTCGCCTGGGCGGCGGGTTAGTCTCATTGACCGGGATAAAAAGTACCCTATGTTCTTCTCTATACCAAGCTCTACATGTTTATAAGAATCCTCATGAAATTAGGATGACGATTTGGTAATTTGTTAAGGCGTAAAGTGGTAACTAACATACCAGTTATTTTAATATTTATAATAATTATATTTGGTAAGGTAAGGAGGTTCTTATTATATTATGTATGGATACGTTCTAATGTTCTGTAATCAAGCTTAATTATCTCCATATGAAGCAAAGTAGATGCACCTAACTAGTTTACATCTATGGAAGTGGTCAGTCAACTGTGAAGTAGCCAGGCAGTCTGTTGCCACACCTTTACAACCATAATTTATGTTAGACTCCACATAACTTTATCTAATTTATAGATTAAAGGCAACTAAACAATAATAAATATGTAGGAAATTATACTATCTAAGAATATGTGATGATGGCTCAGTTAGATAACGAGTCGAAAATCAATTGTTAGTAATGAAGATTAATCGCCCCATTGCTATCAATGCACCCTGTCGATCTCCACGCGATCCTGCATGAAAACTATCATAGTTAATTCGCCAAAATACCAACTTTCCTGTCTTCTTCCTAAATGTTTCATCTTCATCCATCATTCCACTGGAGTCCTGCTATTGTCGTCGTGTATATATCGTCAGCATAGGCGGTTGCAAAATTCCATTTTCGTCTTTTAAAAAAAAGAACACTAGACACACCTTTACAAGAGAGTGATCAAATATTTCATTTAATACCTATTTCATTCCTAACCATAATTAATGTCGTTAGATTACGTGGCATGTTTATTATATTCGAAGCTTCCATACGGAAGATTTGTTACAATTAAAATTATTATTTAATTAGACTATTAGCATAATTTAAACACACATGTTTATAGTCGTTAAAATAAATAGGTATGTACCTATAACTTGTTTTTCTATATTTAGCAAAATTATAGTTAACAACCGAACATATCTTTTTATAGAAATATACCTAAGTACAAAAATTAGACAAATAGCTAATATAATACAATATGCATACACGTATATTTACTTATTTACTTGTTTTATTTATAAATAACTAAATTCGATTAAAGATACGATAATATTGTTTACTATGCCAAGTATGTACGATGCGTGTGGTATAATTATGTAAAAAACTATTTCATTTACATTACTCGTATTTTTACAAAACATATGTAATCTTTCATAATTTGTTATAATAAATAACTGACTGGTTTCACCTTTCAAGATATTTACTTGTACGAAGGTTTATTTTAATTTATTTTCTTCCATGGAATATGTATTTTGTCATATACCCTAGCTTATAGATTTTGCTTTAATATATAATGCCTAATCTAATATGAAATTCTCTTGTCACGATGTCAATTTAAACTAATCTTCGAAAGCGGTCAATTGATTGAATGAAATTTTATAAATTTGTATTTTTTTGGTCCAACTTGAAAGATAAGTTACTTTTTATCCCGATAAGAAAATATGAAGCCAGGTGACGGCAGGAGAGACAATAACGTTTCACGGGTCAGCAAGTAAAGAATGTAAAAAAAATAGAACGAAATAATTTATTCTATTGTGGATCGTATCGCCATAGAAATCCTGTAGTTTTTTTTTTTAACTAGTATATGATTGACTTGTCACCACAAATCACGACACCAGGATGTGTTCGTCCGTGATTTATTTGTCCTCTTTCAAGTGGTAATGTATTTGTACTAAACTCAAATGCGAATCTTGTCCTTTCAATTAGCCGCTATTCACAAGTTGTTTTGTGAGACTTGACTAAACAAATTGATCGTCATTTAATATTGAAGAAATATATAATATCTACAGGTAAGTATAGATTATACTAGCTTTTATCAGTAACTTCGTCTGCGTAGGTGGGTTATATTCACTGACCGGGATAAAAAGTAGCCTCTATATTTCTCTATCCCATGTAATACATGTATACCAAATGCCATAGTTACTGATTCAGCCATTGAAACGCCAAAAGGTAACAAAAGAACAAACTCAGTTTCACATTTATAATGTTAGTAAAGTATATACAAGTAATTCTATTGGCTAATAATAAAGTGATGAACAGTTTCAACTAAATTATGAATCTAAAAGTCCTACTTTTAGATGTAAATAATAAGATAGATATAGATTTATATAATATATATAGGAATTAAATTATATTATTAAATTAGAATGCCATTTTTTAATTAAATAAGAGTGAGATAAAAACAGATTAAACAAAAAGGTACGTTTGGAAGGTAGTACCGTTATTACTGTTTAATTTATTGAATAAATAGATACATATAAAATTATTTTTACAAATTGATAATTGATGTACCTAAAACTGGCACAAGTAATGGTCACATCACTGAATCATTACTTGGTAATATGAACTTTTTGCTCTACTTGGTTTATGGTTGTTTAGTTCATAG